CTACCTAAACCTCAGCTGCAGTACAGCTGACTCGGAGTGCTTACACAGTTAGCTTGGTGTACAATACGTGGATTTGTAATGTGTTTGTTAGTGCAAACAGAGAGCAGAGTGATAGTAGTCAAGAAACACGTTCACCGGATACAGGAAGTCACGTCCCTCAGAAAAAAATGTATGCAGCCGGCAGCCGAAGTGTGAGCTGTCTTTTCATGCGTGAGCAACCGAAAAATGGTTTGTGTTTGGCTGCGTGGGTTATGGTTTCGGGTGGTGTAGAGATGGGGAGGCACCTGTACCTGTACCAGGACTAGTACTCGCTGACATAGACCTTATACCAGCCCTCACCCGCGGCCTGAAATGTTAATGCGCCTCTCACAGCTCAAGAGAGAAGAGTGCGCACAACAAGCTGTGTACACATTACTTACAGTCTTTACACAGAGCTTTCGGACATATTTAATCTCCTCCATTAGATGTAACAGTCGTGCTTCACTATTCACATTGAACATACAGTACAGTACGCCCAGCGCTTGTACTTGACTCAGCACCAACTTTCAACAATGAGTCAATTGGAACTTTCAAATAAGGTATAGCATGTGCACATCCGTCAGTCAGACCAAGTAGCATGAGCATTATGTGCAGGAGTTTCCTGTGCCAGCGCTTATAACCCGTATTCCAACAGCTTTCTAAAGAGGGAGGAGGTAGAGTCTGTAAATGAATAATAGTAATAATGTCACAAGTGTAAAAACAGGTTCTTCGGACCCGGATTTAAAAAGGACCACTGGATTAAAAGCGAATTAAAAGCAATTTATTATAAAATACATTAAAAAGCTAAAAAAAAAAGGGCTAAAAAGCTAAAACACAGGCTAAAACACGTTCCCGCGGCCTGGGCCGCCAGACCACGGGGCTCTCCCCTCCCGTGTCTGGCTCCTGTGTCTCCTTCTGTGTTCCCCTCCCCCTCCCCATCTCAGTCTTTTATTCTCAAGGCGCAGGTGTCTTGATTGCTCACGTGGGGAGCCCGGGTGCTTCAGGTGGTGCCAGTTCAAATCAATATTAAAAAACACACAAAGACAACATGCATAAAATATGAATAAAACCATATTAAAACCCACTACCCATTTTGCACCCCCCTGACACTAACTTCATAAATGAGCTAATCCATATAAAGTAGGTCAATAATAGTCTATTTTCTCTTGTTGAAGATTGTAGATGATTCATGCAGGTTAAAGTGTATCAGTTAAATGTACAGCTGTGTTGTAAGATTGCTTTTAGAGGTGGAGGACAGACATTGCAATGGTCTGTATGCACGAGGAGGCATGACGTCATTTCCTGTTTACAAAGCACAGCCCGTTCACTTCCTGTCTCTATCGCTAGGGCTTTTAGGTGAGTTGTATTGACGTTTTTTAATAATTAGATTGATACATTCAGCTGTGAGACTGACCCAAAAGTGTCAACATGCTTTCTCTCTGAGGTAGAGCTTTGACTGTGGCCACTCAGAGAGATTAGTTAACTTTATAAAAACACAATGACAGCACAATCAAAGAGCACTGCTGTGTCCCAAAAATCCCCAGTATCCTCACAGTTTAATCCCCGTTTGAGCATTATTTAGGAAACTCGTGTAACATCTGCTGAACTCCAGTGAAACTCAAGCGTTCCCTGCGCACAGGAAGTCAAGTGGGGTTATCACTAAAATGAGGAAGTGGTGCGTGCATAGAGCCCATTCTACCTGTGGACTGGGATTGTTTTTCTGGATCACGAACTGAACCAAGATCCAACACTTTGTACCATGGTAGAGTTATGGATTTAGGGCTGGGCGATATGATTACAAACCGTTCCTGGTAATACCGATAACATTTTGAGAGTCAATTTTGGGAGATGGAGTTCTTTTTATTATGACTTCTCTCAGCTCCAACAGGTTTAGCTACAAGGCGGTAGCCCCCTCGTTTCATCTTGTCATCAGTGGGTCATGACAGTTGTTGATGTTGCCTATTTGGAACTGACCACGGAGAGAGCACGAAGCGAGGGAGAGTGCCATTTACATCTGGAACAGTATCATAACATGTATTTGACCCTGGACTTTGGTCACTGACTTTTTTTGTCTTTAGAAAGTTATAAAACAGAAAACAGAAACATATGGAGATAAAAATAAAATAAAAAACTCATTTAGATACATTACCAGCATTATTGTCTTCTAGGTCTTAATTAAAGTTATAATTTTAATTTTCATCAAGAAGCAAATGAAGCAGAACATTGAACACAAGCATTCACCTTGTGCTTCTGTGTTTCTTTGGATTCTGAATCAACATTCGTTCGTCTTTTCGACACCTCTCCACAGTGTCAGGTGGACGGGGCACAGAGAGAACAGATGTGTGGACTCGGAGCGATACTAGACGACAAATCCAAGAACAAAATGTGCCCATCAGAAAAATCTATCTCCCAAACACGGTAGATAAATGAAAAACAGGACTGCAGGAGGAGAGTGAGATGGAAAGCAAGTGGTATTAACAGATTTGACTGGAAAATGAGTCCATTCTCTGAGCTGTATCACATGCTGCTGTATGTCTGGCAGCAATGGAAGCCACAAAGATCGCTCTTTTTTTCGACTTGGAAGTACAAAGTGCAGCTCTAAAAACAGTTAATGAGGTGGAAAATGCAATATATTAGCGGCGAGATTGGACCGGGCTCACGTGGCTGGGGCTTCAACACATGTGAACACAAGTGGAACAAGAGGCTGTTATCGTGTGCTTTGTCAAACTGGGCGCACACGTCTCTCACACCTACTTCTGCATTTTTAAAACAGCAACACCTTCACGTCGATAATGCGTCCTGTCAGGGGCTTTGTGCGCGTCTATTTGTCTTTGTGGTTTTACAGTGTATCGGCCCCCGGACTGTTTCCCCACAGAGAGAGATCTTATAAGTGCAGGTGCATGCGTTGGCTTGAGTTGAAACGTGTGAATTTGCATCGGGAGGTTGTGCAAGTGCTGTGAATGTGTGTTGCAGGAGTTTTAAATTGTATCTTGAATTGTTTGTGATTTTAGTATTTGTTTTTTGTTTTTTTTAGGGATAAGGAAAATTACTTTAAATTCAAAATAGTGATCACTTTTTATTAGCTACAATCTGGAGAGGTGTCATTAACATGCACTGTCCCAACCAGATATATAATAAATCATAAATCAAATCACTTTTTACCCCATTATTTTTCAGGATTTTCCAGCATAATCTCAAGTCCATTTGTTCAGTAAAGTGTCATTTACAGTATCTATTGTGTGTCATGGATCCTGGAGTTACTCATGTTTGCATTGAGTTGTGATATAACTGTATTTTCTGCTTTATGGAACTATTGTCATGAAACACACAAATCTATAATAAATGCCCAAAACATATTTGAGAATAAAAAAGTGTTACATCCTGGCAGTTGTGAAACAGTAAAACACTCTGAAAAATTGTGTTTTCAATTGTTTTGGTAAAGTGGTTAATGATCCTCAGCAGTCGTTCCTTTTCTGCAGACCTTGAGTGGTTTTGTGGCGTCAAGAGTTTGCTTTTGAGCATATGAGAAACTTTGGTGTGATGGGTTCGGTTTTGAAAAGAGACTGTGAGGTTGTGTGTACGTTTCTTTAGAAAACGTACAGAGTTTTGTGAAAATGATTGTTTAAGCAATAGAGAAAAACATTGGGCTCTCCTTTCTCCACATTTTACTGAGCCTCTTGAAGTCACTTGCTCCATTGTAGAAGGACACATTTATTGTTATACTGTGTGGAAAACTGCAGAATAAACAATCACACATTTACTGTCTGTACTTTTGTCCCGAGCAAAAATCAGACCAACGACAAGGAAAGACTCTCCGTTCACCTTAAAGGCAAAAGCAAAAAAATCCCTTTGAGCTTACACAATTTTCATTTCATATTATTAGTTATTTTTATATTATTATTATTATTCATCCATCCATCCATTTTCTTCCCCTTAATCCATTTCTGGGTTGGGGGGTGTCAGTCAGAGCTACACCCAGTCCACAGAGCACCAGCCCCTCACTGATCCTCCTGCAGGTGGTGAGTCCACAGGAGCCTTAAGCTTTCAGTGGGGGCTTCAGGTAAAGTGGGGTTAAGTGTCTTGCCCAAGGACACAACAACAGCAGACATTAGTGGGAGTCGTGAAGTAGGTCTCATGGTGGGCTCGAACCCACAACTGAGCCACTGTCGCCCCTATTATCATTATTATTTTCTCACATATTGTGGACAAAATCACCCATTTTGATTTCAAATGACAAATGTAATTTATCATGTGTGATTGTAATTTGACAACACAATGCAATCCCGAAACAAACATACAACAATAACCTCGTGTTTTGTGTTGAAATGTGAAGTTTGGACTTGACTTTTAAAAGATCCCAGACTCCATGGACTCTCGGCCCTCCCTTTACTCACAAACATTCCAAACACGCAGAGCCATTATGCTTTCAGGAACACAATACTTAGCTCTGATGAATTATAAATGCTTATGGATTCCAAGCGTATTATTTTTAGTCCGTGTTCACTTCACACGCGTTTGAAAACAAAAGTTTGGTTTGACCCCTGCGGCTTTGTTGTAGCATTTTCTATAATCAAGCCCGGATCTTAGCTTAGCCCAAACTCACATATTCAAATCGTTTCCAAGCTACGACACCAAAAGTAGACACATTATTTCAGAGTGTCCATAGCAGCAGATGTCTTGGGGAGTGAAGACAGTCCCACTCGTATTTGCTTGTTGTAATAAATAGCAGGGATATTAAAAAATTGTCGGTGCCAACTTTGAGGATATCGTCATGGTAACAGGGGCACGCTTCACTTATAGAGCATTGTGTTGACTTGTTTTTTATCTTTCGTTTACTTCTATGCATTCGTCTCTTGTTCAATGCAATGTGAGTCTGGACATTATGGATGATGAATTACAATGAAGCAGGTCTTTGTAGTTCCAACGGCAATTTGGTGCATGTTGTTGTGAATATTGCCATTGGGTGGAGAGGAGAAGGCTTTATGCCGGGAGCCCCCTCTGGAAGTGACCAGAACTAATGACTTCCTCCTCTCCCTGTGACACTGATGTACTATTAGGGGCAACATAGTGCTTAGCCCAGTGGAACCAGGGCTCCCCAATACATGCATCAAAGCCCAGTCCAATAACTATACAGCGTTCTCTGCACAATTGCGTTCCTATCACAAGTCGCACAATGGAGCCGGGCAGAAAGAAAAATCTCCAATTATTTTTGCTGTTGTGAAATGCAAGAAAAGGACGCAGGCAGGCATACATTGTGAACCGGGATCTCATTCTATCTATCGCTCTGTCCCCAAAGAAAGATTTGCTTTTTGGCTGGCTGGGTGAGTGAGTTTTATGAAAGGCTCTGGTGACAACAAGAGGAGTACAATGTGCGGCTGAGGGTCCGCTGTGTACATTAATTAAAAGGAGCATACAGTACGTTTAATCTTCTTTGGGTTAAATCCCATTCACACATCACAGGCATTTCATTCAGCAAAACACAGGGCCGAGAAGCTTCTTAAATCGGACAGCACTTTGGAATCAGCGTAGTTTGAACTGAGCACTGGTCACATCTCAGTGGCAGAATATATTTTGTTGTTAAATAGTGTTAATAATGTATTTGTAGTCCGATAGATCAGTGCTCCCCAACCTTTTTGAGCCGTGGCACACCTTTGTCATCGCAAAATATACCACGGCACACCACAAACTGAAAATGATACAACATTGACGTTTTAAAGCCGTTATTAACAAAGTCATTCTCATCAAATATAGCAAATCAAACAAGCACAAAACATATTTCTAATTATCTCACATGATTTTGACTAAGCAGATGAAATATTGGGCTATATCCAAGGCACACTAATAAACATCTCATGACACACAAACGTGCCACGGCCCACTGGTTGAAAAACAGTGCGATAGATCGACAACGCTTGAGAAAGTAGTGCCATTGCTCGTTCCAAAAGATTTGATAGTGACATTAAAACACGTGAACTTTTGCTTGAATTTTTGTTCGAAAATGCTTTATTTAAACTCCAGCTTTCTACATTTATGGACCAATCTCTCTCTGTGTTTTTTATCATTGAATTTCTTACACAGATCAGAGAATCAAACCGTTCAGGTTTGATTCTCTGATCTGTGTTTGCGAAATTGTCGGTTTTGTAAAGTCCTCCGAGATAACTACTGTTGTGATTTAGGGCGATACAAGAATACATTGACTTGAATTGAACTGAATACCCGGCCGACTCCGAGGATCGTCCCAACATGTTAATGGGACATGTTACTATACATAACCACCTTCATCCTTTTCTGATGTTTTTGAGGTATATATTTTCCGGACAGCCAGGGGTTGACCTTCCATGTTCATATTTTACAGTAACAAGTTGCACCAAAACAGAAGCCAGCCGTCTAGCCTCAGCACATTTTACACCGTGAATTCCCAATGCATTATTTAACCGCACATTTAAAGGGGAAGTAACGGCCACCTCAGCAGCAGCAGCAAAGCGATCTCCGGAGTGTTTCCACTCACTGACCTCCTCGACAGGCCATTCACCACGCACAGTTTTATCTGAAATGAGAAATTCGAATGTTAATTGAACGGGTCAGATTATGGCCTGGATTTCAATCAGACTGGATTGCTTTTAAATCGCTGGCCCTCGTGATTTAAGAGGCTCTGAAATGACCGCGGGAGTCCATTAAAGGTGGCCGCTTCTAACCGCTGCTTGACTTTTGTGTGACAGGTTCGAAGTTCCTGTGTGCCACTCACATCATCCCGGTGAAGAACGAGGAGGGCGTGGTCATGATGTTTATCCTCAACTTTGACTACATCATGGAAGAGGGCAGCAGCGACTCCCTGGAGAGACTCAATCACACCTCCCCGAGCAAAGCCGAGCGTGAGTACAGCCGCTACACACACACACAAAACACAGGCCAGAGGAAGGAAAGCAGTGCTGTAACAAATGACCTTTTACTTCACTCTTTTCGGCATCAATTTGAAGCGGGACCCAAAGTGCGGACTGAGCCTTTTCCTCATAACAAGCCCCCTATTATGCGGCACATGTTTCCATCAGCACAAGCACTTACTTTTCAGCCCTGCTTAGACACAGATCCATACATCGACCTTAAGACTCCAGCCCTTCTTACATGGAACAAGGTTGTAGCGGATGCCCAAAAATCAATAGAGATTTGCCAAGATTTTTAGTTTAGGAATGCCCTGACAGAAAATGAAATGTTGTAATGCTTTTTTTTAACATCCCATGGAGCCGGGTCAAGTGTAAGTCAGGCTTGTGGCGACAAAACTGCTCCAGTAAGAAAGCACGGTTTGAACTTTTAACACTTAAAAAAAAATCAAGTAATTCCTGCACAGCCCGGTCATGACCAAAGTTGCCTGGAAGGATGGAATAGGTAAGAAATGATTCCTGGAAGAAAAGTGGGGGCATATATGTATATATGGCAGGATTCTGTTTAAACTACACTAAGAATGTGTTTCTGTTTTCAAAGATTGTAAATAATTGTAGCTTTTGCAATTTTCTAATGGCAGTCACTAAAATTGGGATTTTTTTAGCAGCCCTAATTGCGTCAAAGACTTCAGACTACGGGAATAAATATGAGCAAAAAACCACTTGAATTTGGTAAAAAGTCTCTTTACAAGTACAAAGTACAAAGTATTCAGAAGATTTGATGGGACAGGGATTTATTCCAAATGAAACCTCTCAGCTTAATCAATACTTCATAAAATGTGCTCAACAAAGCTCTGACAAGAAGAATATTGAGAGAAAAGATAATAAACAACTGGATTCCAATGTTTATGTTCAGAAAGTGTTTTACAAGAGGTTAGAAATGTGTGTGGAAAAAATGTGTAAAGAAATGCAATAATATTGAATAGTGGCCCAAATATCGCATTACTATCGAATTATCACATTTTTGCCAGTTCCCACCCCTCAATGTTAGAAATGTACGATTATATATTTTGCTATAATGGTGGAGCCGTGGGTGATGCCTTCTCCGCTCAGATCCTGTGTCTGCTGCGTCTCGGCGTCCCCTCGGCTCTGAACGCCACACGGCCGCAGCTGCACGGTGGGTTCTTGGGCGTACAGATTATTGGCGTGTTGACATCAGCCTTTAGCAGATACTGATTGGTTACTTTAGCGCTTGCTCAAAAGGCCTGGCCCAATTATAGCTCAAAGGCTGCCAGCGTGGCTTGATGAACTGCGTGCTCTGCTGGGGTGGTGTGACATATAAAACAGCAGCACAAGGACTCGGGGTCAGGTAGGAACGCTGTAATTGGATGAAACCCGGTCCCTAACAGGCTGCCTGCTCCGAGGCGGCCTGTGTCGAGTGTAGAAACAACCTCTGTGTAAGGTGAACCGACGGCTCGCGTTCGGCTTCACATTTAAATCCGAATCAAAGTTGTTATCTTCTGTCTGCAAATGTAAAAGCAAGGTCCCTGTAAAACGTTTTCATGATTTTATTGTTATGTAGTTTCAGCCAGTTATATCTGAACTCATTTCAACTCTGCTTCTGAGGTCCCAAGACTTTTGATGTCCCAAGACTTTTGATGTCCCAATGAGAGATTCATTCATTCATTATCTTCCCATTGATTAGTCCTTTTCTGGGTCCGGGGTGTGACAATCAGAGCTGCCACCCAATGCTCATAGCACCAGCCTGATCCTGATCCTCTGGCAAAATGGAGTAAAGTGTCTTGCCCAGAGACACAACAACAGCAGACATCAGTGAGAGATGAGAGATTTTTTAATGTAAATATTCCACAACAAAATCGTTCTGCCCAGTGTTTTGATTAGTTTTATAACATTTTATGAGTACTTTTTGTAGTGGGGAAGGAAGAGATGAGGGAGTGTCTGCAGGTTGTTTATCAAAGCCTGGTTCACACGGCAGGATAATTAGGCCGATTTAAGACCCGATTTACCTCTAACGACAATCTTAAGAACGCTCCGATTCTGATGTATTTTCTGTGTGTGGTGTGTTAAGACTGCGCTCGTCGCTCAGAAGGACTTCAGGACTGCTCCGATCTCAAATCGGGGATATCCAACATGTTGGATTGTTTTGGCCCGATTTCTCTTCGTGTGTGGTGTCCTCCGGAGACAGACGAGAGCGTTGCCAGGTGACTGTGGCGTGTAGTCAATCAGAAGACGAGATAGGCTACGACATTCGTATGAGGAAAAAAACAACTCACTTCCATATCACGATGTAGCAAGTCTAGTCCATGCTCGCGTTGTCTCCACTTCTTTTTTCTGCAAAAAACAGACTGGAAACTTAGTCCGCATTGACTGTTTACTCTGAAGTCACGCTTAATCTCGTGAGATTTTGTGAGATCTGGGAATGCTCGGGGGGTAAAATCAGTTGGTGTGTGGTTCGTGTGATTTTGCGTGATTTTGCGGTGCAACTGCGCATCACACACTGTACGACCAAAGTGGTTAGACCCTTGATTTTTCTATCTCCGTGTGTGGGGTCTCCCAGGTCAGGATCTGCCGACAATTTTAAAATCGTCTCGTGTGAACTAGGCTTAAGTCGAGAGAACAGAACAGAACCCCAAAAGAGACTATATCACAACGGTTTAACATGTTTGCACACACCATGAGTGATTCTATCTGTGCCAATGTGAGACCAATAAAGTTTATTTTATCTTCCAACCTCACATTTTGTAACGCAGACCGGGTCAGGGGGAGTGGCCAACGCACACGCTACTTCGTCCCGCACAATTGTATTCCAGAACATCTGGATGTTGAAGGTAAAAGCTGGTGATCAAAACGAATGGCTCCATTAAAAAGACTCCATCTGTGGAACACGCAGCCATGTGTGAGCTGCATCCATTCATCAAAATGCGATGATGAATCCGTATGCCAGCTTTATCTCAGCCAATTTATGTAGAGACAGGTCATTCTTTGAAAAAAAAACACTGTTGTTTGTAAGCATTAGTGTATGACAGAGAGTGCAAAAATAGCATGTTTATTAATCGGAAGCAACTTAATGTTAATCTGCACAATGTGTCAGCGGCTCCTTACCGAGTTGAGGCCTGCCGTACAGTTAGCATTGCCCTAATGAGGCCGTAATGAAGAGTTTAGCTCATGTTCTTGTTATAAATGGCTGTGTATCCAAGTGGCAGGCAGCAGATTTCATGTTATTCTCTGGAGCTGTTGAGTAATTGGAGCAGTGGGAGTGCAGGTAAACAGTCCTAAAGGTAAAAGCCCAGAATGCATTTAGTCTGGTCTGCACAAAGACACCTTAATAAAAGAACATAATGTTGCCAGTGCTCAAGTATAACACGTCTATTCTCTCTAGCTGTAATTCTCTTGACATTTTGAGTCATGCCCACATAACAAAAAGACATTTCCTTTCACAACACTGGGATCTGAGGGCCCAATTAATATTCAATGCAAATATTACTATCCTGTATCTTAGCAACAAGGGCCAGTGTGCGTCCGCTGGTCGGGCGAGGCAGAAAGAGTGAGTGGTGTTCAGGTACTGCACCTCGCTCTCACAGCTCTCCAGGGCTTTCTGTTCCAGCACACTTTGTCGCTTTCAAAATCACAGTTTAAAATATGCCCCTAGTTGTTCACTGCCCACATCTCTCTAAGTGTGACTGAATTATGGGATAATTAAAGGATTGGTGGTGTATGTGTTTATCCTCCAGGCACAGTGATTAGATTCCTACTCTCTGGCTCCATTCATTACATTGATGCCATTTGAACAGTGTGCAAATGTGCTGCCTTTGAACATAGCTCTAAATGATCAATTATATCATAATGTCTGTTTTGTCAGCAGCCAGCTGTGTTTAATGCAGTGACCGAAGCAATGAGTTTCTGTCTCCTTCGTGCTGGTCTTATCTGAATAAAGCAAACAGCAAGAAAGATAAAAATGCATGTTTTGTCCCACTGCGACTGAGAATTAATTCTATTTTACTTCCTTTTGTGCCCAGGCGCTGCTGTTGTGCACATGAATAGAGCTGTCAAATACACTGAACTTAAAAAAAAGAAAAAAATGGTTCCATCACAATTTCACTTTAGGTGCTTTCATTATTCTCACTATCTCGCTTTTGTAAAAACAAGATGTATTATTCTGAGGAAAGCCTCAGAGCCTGTTAAACCGTTGGATTGATGTTGTTATTTTGAATATTCACAGAGTTCCAGATGTTCCAGTTAAGACCTATAAACATGTTTGCTGCATAAAGACCAGCCTTTGAGCCCTGCATCTCCCTGTGGAAGTGTTAGAGCTATAGCCCCTGTTATTAGCAGTGCAGCGAGGGATTGTCCTGCTTCATGAATAATTAAAGGAAATTGAAGTTTGAACTAGTGCCTCAGGCAGAACAAGCATTTGTTTTGATCTACATTTCTCTTTTCACAGTGCTGCATTGACAGCTTCTCTTCACTGTTGGTAAACAACTAGACGATATTGGTTCAGTTTTCAGCAATTACCATAAAGAGGCCACGGGGGGTGGCAGTCACTCTTATTCTATCTGTTTGTGATGTTTCAGGTAAGGGAAGATTCTTTCGCTTCCGCCTGCCAGCGTTACCTCTGCTTGGGATCAGTAAACAGTCCCTTCCCCAGGAGGACCCTGACGCTGTCATGGTGGACTCCCCTCAGCACAGCGACGGCTCTGTGGCTACTAGGGATTATCAACTCCCCACCACGCGAGAGAGCTGCAGCCCGTCCTACGCCAACGACACCCGCGCCCTCATCGCCCCCAGCCACTGCTCCACCCCTGTGTCCGGGCCTTTGGACCACTCCTCGCCCAAAGGTCCCTGGGACCGGATCTACCCTGAACAGGAATCTTCAACGCAGGCCAACAGTCAGGATGACACCCTGACGGCCGCCCCTTCCATCCCAGGCCTCACTCCCACCGCATCCAGAGAAAGTGTATGTAGCATACGCCGGGCCTCCTCAGTGCACGACATGGAGGGCTTTGGCTCCAACTCCCACAAGATGGTTTTCAGGGACAGACATGCCAGTGAAGGTACGCCAACAATTACTACAATTGCTATGAATTATAAAGTTCTGTTATCTCAAAAACATTATCTTACAAAGCATCTGTGTGTAGTTAAACCATGTGCTAAGTGTATATTTATAACTGCCTGCAGTTATGGGAAGCTATATGTGACATGTCAGTCTCTTAATCAGTGTAATGACCAGTCACTGTCTGTATTGTGAGCTATCAATCTTCCCTAGAGTCTAAAGTGCTCATTAGCCTTGTGGCCCTCATTTTGTTGAGGGGAGAAGTTGCCAAAACGTCCTGGTTTTCTCTGGGCCGGTCCACTCATGAGTCCCCCTATTTTCATTCAAATGGCTCCCAGGGGCTGACAGTGTAATACGTCTGCTTCACAGTAATGAATTGTGCATGTGGACAGCAGCGGGGGTTTAATGCCAGGCCACATTTGTCATCATAGAAACGCTCCTCTCACCTCCACCCTTCTCTCTTTCTTCTTCGATGCCAATTGCAGACAATGGTCGCAATATCAAAGGTAATTCTAGCCTTGTGCATCCCCTAGTTCTTACAATCCGGCACGTTTAGAAGGAAATAACATAGATTAACAAACTTGCTTGTTGCATGATGTTCTCCCATGACTCTGGCCTGCTCTGAATGCAAATGCTTTGACTGATGTGTGCTGAAATAGCTGGGCCTCTTTAGACTGGCACGGCTCTAAACAACTCGCTGGGATTGTGGGCGCACGCAAATTACTGAGCCGTTCCCAGTGGGCCAGGGAAGCCCCGATGACCTCCGCACGCGCTTGCATGAAGCCGCACGTTCAGCCTATCTTCTGCTTAGACTCTGAAAATCAATGAGGCGTGTTCGTCCTGATGTCTTAGTCTCTGATTTCTCTGCAAACCTTTAGCCCTGTCTGACATGTTAGAGTCATCACAAATCTTCACCATTACTGAGATCTACTTTATTCTTATGCAGCTGATAAAACTCTAGCGTATTGAAATGGCTTGAATTTAAGTTAATCAACCTGTAATAACTTCTTGTGGTAGTAGACCAGGTATTTCAAACTCAGGCATTGATGGTTATGGGCCATAAATGCATGTCATACATAATCTATTTTCGCAGGAAAATAAAAAACTTTAATGTATTTGAAATATTAACCCAACATATCAATAGAAGTTGAATAGTGAATATAAAACAGTGTGTTTAACTTTATACTTTGTCCAGTTTTGGGTAAATCGAAACAAGATTTAAAAAAAACACAATAAACCAGGCGACAGTGGCTCAGTTGGTAGAGCATTGGCCTTTGGGTCTGAAGGTTGTGGGTTCAAGCCCACTTTGCCTGGAGCCCCCACTGAAAGATCTAGGCTCCTGTGGACTCACCACCTGCAGGAGGATCAGTGAGGGGCTGGTGCTCTGTGACTGGGTGCAGCTCTGACTGCCATCCCCCCGACCCAGAAATGGATTAGGGGGAAGAAAATGGATGGATGGATAATCAACCAGAAAATGATAGTGAAACTCATGAGCCTTGTTGTCTCACAAGGCCCAACACATGCCTCACGTTAAAGTAATGTCAAAATACCTTCATTATGTAAAAAACAGTTCTTTGAAAACAAAATCCCGTCTATTATATCGGCCCTCGACCAAAATGAGTTTGTTTTCCTGTTTTAAACCACGGAAGATGACAGACTTTTAGACCCATGTTGCTTCTTTCTATGAACAAAGAGTCATCGGTCAAAGAGGAACCTTTATGTTTTCATGTCCAGCTCTCCTTTTCAAAAAACATTACTACATCAAACTCAAAACACAAGCAACATTCAGAGTTCGAGTTGTTTTAATCCTGGTGTATTTGGTGCATGCATTAGAAACCTGCTTCTGTAACAACCTGTCTAAACCTACACAGTGAAACAATATTTTCTATGACGCTTTTTCTCCCACAGAGATGCCATAGAACAAATGCGCTGTGTTATTCTGAGTGATTTTGTTTCTACCCTGACCCCTCAAACAGCCCTCCATAACCCCCTCTCCCCTCTCCTCTCTCCTCCCCCGCTGTAGTGTCTCGCTCCTGGATGGCTGGCGGTATGGCTTCAGCTTTTCACCATATATTATCCGACTTTTGCTTTATTCTTTTGTTGACACCCACAACGAGCCCTCAGCATGAATTAAAGCCGCGCATGCAATCGCTCATCCTCAGCTCTGTCCTTGAATTTCAATCACTGTACTTTGTGAAAATGGGGAAATCTGCCGTATCGCTTCCTCTGCCGGCTCACACAGCTGAGCCAGCAAAACCTTTCACTTCCAATCACGTCCATGGGCCACATGTCGCTGTCTATTGTTGTACAGCATTGATGTGTATCGTTTTTTCTAGAACTAAACTATACATTAAGGTTGACTCTCCGGTATTGTGCGGTCAAACAAACCGGCCGGGTCTTACCTGAAAGAAGCCAGTTTGAGCTAGTTCTGTCAATTTAATCATATCTTGACTTCTATTTGCAAATTTCAGCCTTTTTTTCTCCATCATTTGACATGCACAGGGCAAGTATCAAATCCACTTTATCTATATGGCACATTTGATTGAACAAGTTTCCCCAAGTGCTGCACACATTTAGATATACAGGTTTACCAGCTGTATATGTTTGGATAAATGAAATAAGTTTTAAAATCATGTACAAAGTAAAAACAATACAAATGTAATAATAATAAAAAAGTAAAAAAACAACAAAATAATTAAAACAAATAAAAGGGAGTGAAAATGGGTCTTAAATAGGGCTGCACGATATATCGAAAATATATCGTTATCGCAATATTGGTGCGTGCAATATCCATATCGAAAATATGTGCAATAAAAAATAATAATAAATCAAACTTAAACACCAGGATCATGTAGAGTGTTGAAAACTAAGCATAAAAGAGAAAATACGAGAATAAATATTTGGTAAACTAGGTTAGAAATTCCAATCAATTATCTTTATTTATAAAACTTCATACACAATGTACTTTCGAAAATTTGTAGGGACTTTGTAGAAGGGAACTACAAGGAAAACGCAGTATCTTTTAGGCCCCAAAAAGTTGTTCCTCTCCGATGCAGGAGAGCCTAAGGACAGTGGTGATGATCATCTGCCCCAAATGTGTGTTTTTTTACCATTGCATTTCTTGTGATTAATTCCTAATGATTTGTGTTGGCGATTTCAACTATTTTTGTAAAGTCCTCCAAGATGAAGTCCTCTAATTTTGATTTAGAGCAAGAAATACAAGATTACATTAAATTAAATACTATATCTTTATCCAATCTCTAAACTAATATCGAAACATTTCAATCACGGTGAGTCCGACACCAACTGTTCCGGAGTAAAGGCTTTTACTTTTCAATGAAAGTGAACGGAGCCAATGGGAGCAGAAGCAACATTTCCCATTAGGCTTCAGCAAGCTGCCGGGTAAGCGCCGTCCAGCTCTATTATACCGACCATGGGCTTGTCAGGATATCACATTGAGAAACCAGATTTATTGTTACAGAAATATATTGCAAAAGATCATTTTAAAACTACACTGTGTCTGTCCGAAAATGACATTGACAAAAAAAAAAAATGTGGTAAATTGTTAGTTGTAAATTTCTCCAGTGTGAGATCAATAAAGTCTAACTAATCTTATCTTAATGTAATGATTGTAATTAGTCAATGCAATCTTTTATCTAAATCACAACAGTAATTACCTCCGAGGACTTTACAAAATCGTTGATTTGCCAACACAGATCAGAGAATCAAACCGTTCAAACTCAAGAAATGTTATGATTAAAAACACATAGAGCCGTTGGTCCATTAGAGACGGATGACCGATGTCCAGAAATGTTGATAAAATGCATAAAAGTCGTTGAATGTAAAATGTGCAGGGACTCGTTCAACACTTAGAACAGCCCTAATGTTATTGTATCTCAAAATATTTACGGAAATACAGAAAATATATTGTTTAAGCTGATATTCATGGATCAATATTGTCTATTTATCGTGAAATTCATGCATTTCCTGAACAAAATGTTATCTTAATTCATATATAAGCTCATAGACAGACAGCAGATCTGAGCCATGAGCAGGATAGGTTGTTTAAATCATACCAGGCAAAACAATTCCAACGCTTTTTCTTCTTAGGGCAGTGTAGTGAAGGTAGTTTCCGACCTTACAAACCGATACATTGATCACATTTGACACAAAGCCGTTTTGAGCTGGTGTTATGTTGCTTTCTTTGATTGTGTGTTAGATCATTCCCTTCTTTCACCAACAGTGTTTCCATTATGTTTTAATGAGAAACTTTCAAAGGCTCGTTCATCCTAGCCGGGTCAGTGCGAGGCTGTGGCGTTTCGATGTCACGGTGTTGTGTTGTTGGACTCAAAAGGGCCACCCCATGCTCGCCGCTCATACAATCATAGACCAACACAAGCCGTTGATACTTCTCATCCTCGCCTCTGTCTTTCCAGGTCCACTCAGTCAGATTAAGTCCAGTTTACTAGGCTCCACGTCCGACTCCAACCTCAACAAGTACAGCACCATCAACAAGATCCCCCTCATCACGCTCAACTTCTCAGAGGCCAACAACGACAAGAAGTGCCCGTCCCCGCCGTCGTCCGAAAAAACCATCATCGCTCCCAAAGTCAAAGACCGAACGCACAACGTCACCGACAAGGTCACGCAGGTGAGGCGCCGACGGAGACTTCTGAGAGATTTTGACCATGTTTTTACTGTTTGTCCTTCATGTTTACTCTCTTCAAGACTGGCCCATGCTTTTAAGATAAGATAAGATAAGATAGACCTTTATAGGAGACTTGTGGGGAATTTTTGATGTCATAGTTGTTCATATTACAGCAGAATAAAAGGAGAGAATAAGGTTCAGATTGCACACATCAAACAGGGTCTATAGGAGGATCTTTGAGTGACGTTGTGGTTTATAATTTCCCTGCGCCGGTCATGTGACTGGGTGGGAAAACAGCATAGAAAGCTACCTGGATGCTAGAGCTTTAGCTAGTTACAAACGTTTCTGCAACTAGCTAACGTTTTCTCATTCCTTCGGAAAAGAACAGCGAAAAACGGCCGTGGTAAAGTGATCCAATTTTTAAAGTAATAGCATAAAGGGGCCACCCACTTTTAGAGTGCGGACCACTTTACCGCGGCGGCGAAAAGCCAGGCCAATTTACCGCGGTGAAAAACACGACAAATAGTTTTTGGGTTTTCTATGAAGTAAAAAATCGGTGCCAAGACAAGTTTGTTGTCATCCCAGGTCTCATATGGGCTTAGAGACGCCCCAATGAGGTAGACTTCAGGTCCAAGCTTCAAGTCCATATTAAAAAGTGATCAATACACTACAATACACAATACAATACAGTACAATGACACGATAACTGCCAATATAGAAAGTGTATTTTTTTAAATAATTTGTGAGGATTTAGAATGAACAAATATGTGGGGCGTTTACTGCTGGTCTTTAAATCAAGTCTTAGCAACAGTGCTTTTTGCTTTTTGCTCTTTCCCGCTCTTTTTAATCAAGACTCCGCCGTGAAGCTCATATTTTACTTAGGGCTGTCTGGATTGATTTAAGTTCTATATAAATAATAAGGTTAAAAGAGAAATCTACCTGCTTTTATTAATGATCCAGGTTGGTCGTCGATTAATCAAACCGCGGCGGACTAAAACACAATCTGTCTTAAAACCAAGGAGCACGTGCCAAAACCTTAATGAACCCGGGGTAATGAGCTCAAGGGCTGGATACGTAAAACAAGGTGTCAATCACAGCGGGGATACTCTTACACCAGCCAGACACTGTTCGGGGCGAGGGTTCGTTTCTAGAGTTACAGACACCTTCCCCAATCGGCCTCAGAGGTCCCTGAACATGCACTGACTGTAAGTGTCCCCGGAGAAACCACTCCTCGGTCTCACTTTTACATTTCGCCCCTTAATGGTGTAACGGAGAGACGGCAAAGAAATTGACCCCAGTTCAAAGTCAAAGAAGAGGGAAGGAATAGAGATCGCGGGCCCTGTTACAGTCTGTTTGGATGGAGAAATACTCGGTTGGTAATAAGATAGGATATAGAGCTGCAACTAACGATTATTTTGTAGTCGATTAATCTATCGATTATTTTTACGATTAATCGAGTAATCGCTTGGCTGTGAATTGTGTAGAAAAAAAATATTTTTTCATCACAAAAAGCTCAAGTGGCAACACTCGAGGACGTATTGATGGCGTAAACTTAAAGTAAATGTTTGTAACAGGCTCTTTGTGCTAATTCTGCTCTGATTGGATGAGACACAGATATTCATGAAATTATAAAAACAAAGTCGGTTTTAATCAAAAATACTACATTTTCATGTCATTTTTGCTCTGTTTGAGTCCGTGTGAACCAGAAAACAATTAATCGATTACTAAAATAGTTGTCGACTATTTCAATAATCGATTAGTCGTCGATTAATCGATTAGTTGTTTCAGCCCTAATAGGATATTATGTTCGGTATTTTTATCGTTTACAAAAAGCTCCTTTGTTATTTCATGTTTATCGGTGGGTTGTTTATTCTGACCTGGGGAAACATTCTTGATCCGGCCTTAAAAGAAAATCCACACACACTCAGAAAACCTGCATTTGTTTTAGTCTGTTTTGGGTAGAGACTTTAGCGTGACGCCCGCTCTCCTCAAATCACAGAACGAGGCTGCGTCCTCTAGCCTCTACAGCGCTGCTAAACACAGTAGCATGTTAGCATAAGTGGCTATAACTCCTCTGGCTGTAACTGCAGACACAGCAAAACAGCCCAAACCACACAACAGTGAGGAAGAGAAGAGGGAACTAAAGCCACAACATGATCAAAGAAGAAACCAAGCCCTGAACATAGCTAGCTTACATTGTATCCTCTGGAGAGACTGGTCTATGGGAGAGACCTGTGGGACCGCCTCGGACTATCTACGCTCGGACTATCTACGCTCGGACTGTCTACGCTCGGACTGTCTACGCTCGGACCATCTACGCTCGGACCATCTACGCTCGGACCATCTACGCTCGGACTATCTACGCTCGGACCATCTACGCTCGGACTATCTACGCTCGGACTATCTACGCTCGGACTGTCTACGCTCGGACTGTCTACGCTCGGACCATCTACGCTCGGACCATCTACGCTCGGACCCTCTACGCTCGGACCATCTACGCTCGGACTATCTACGCTCGGACCATCTACGCTCGGACCATCTACGCTCGGACTATCTACGCTTGTACCACATTTGGACGTGAAACTAGCGCTAATCTTTCAGTTATATATTTTGTTAGCAGTGCGTTTCTTTTGTACCATTTCATCAGTGTTTGTTGTACAGCTTACAAACCTGTTAGCTCATGCTAATGTTAGCATATAGATCGCAAATAAAACTAGATGGCTCCGTGGGATGAGAGCGTAGGGGAAATGAGAAGCCTGTGAGTGAGTTGGGGGCGGGGCTAAACATTCAAACCTTTGCAGAAACGGGTATAGCTCCTTTAAAGAAAACCGATTCATTGACTTCCTGTTCAAAACTGTAGCACAGATAAACTCCGCCTCCTCATAGTTACATGTCATGGTTAGAAGAAGAGTTTCTTTTATGTTGACAAATGGCTACAGTACATAGAATTTTTATTGTCAACATTTTGGAATAATAGAGGAATGGGTGTGAGGCGGCTCCAAAATTCATTCAAATGGTGCTGGAAAAATGACGCCAAGGCAAGAACTCTGGTGTGTGCCATCTGGTGCACACTGGGTTAGTCTTGCCCAGTTGTTCCAATGTGGTTTTACTGCAAATGGCAAATTGATACAAATGAAATACATATATTTGTAACCACAGAGGGGAGAGGTTTGTTTGGACAACACACTGCAAAAGCGAGTGTCATCACTTTGGATGTTGTGGAAATCTCTCCAGACACCTGCCAGTGAGGGCCACAAAGCTGCAGCAGATGTCTGGGGTCTTTCTCTGGACCCCTCTGAGTTCATTTGAAGCCTGGATCAAGGCACCAGAGCAGACACGCGCTCGGCTGTCCCTGGCAGCGCTGAACCACGGGCAGATGGAGCCCAGGACCAGGAGGCTAATCACAAGACAGAAGACACACACACATACATACACTCTTTCCCCTGGTCGGCCTATTATTATGGGAAAACACTTAGGCAGACTCTCAATTAAGAAGCATAATTCACCCAGACGTGGATTTACGCTGCACTCTTTTGTTTGGAACGAAAAAACCAGAAAAAAGACACAGGCCATTTTTGATTCAGCGGTTTTTGGAGCCACGCCAGCAGCCTCCATTATCCCTCATGAGATTTCATTTGCATCGCGCATAGCTACAGTAGGTTGATTAAATAATGAAGTCGCAATCTTTCATTTAGCTCGGCTCTAACAAGTTCATCCAGAATTACCTTTCAGCCGTAGGACTCTCGTGGTGGTTTTGGAAGCGACCGAAAGGCAGTGGGGTGAACACATTTTGACACAGGAATAGATTGGTTGATTAAACAATACATGCGGTGTATGTTCAGCCCAGCGACTCCATTACTGGGACTTTGCGTTCGTGATCTCAGTCCGGCTCTCTGATGAATAATAGATCAGATTCGCTTTCTCTGTCCTTTGCTTTCTGATCGATTTCAAAGGTTGTTCCATATCAGGAGGTGAAAGCGTTTGACCCTGGCTGTCTTTGAGCTTACGTGTCATTTAAAAAAAAAATTGCAATAACCCTCTCCATGAATTACACAGGAGTCCTTTTGTCTTTTCAATTCCACTTTCTGACACAAGCCCATAAAGATCAAGCAAAATTGTTCAGAGATGCAGAAAAACCATATTCCTAATTCAAGTTGCTAATACGTCAGCTCGTTTGATCGAGCCAAAATAATCCGAAATTTGCGCAATGGTCTGGAATCTCCTCGCGACCATTGAGAAGCAGCGTCGTCATCGCAAGGGCTATAATTACCCATAAGTCATTGAGAAGCTTCCCCCCAAAATGGTGCATATCGCTGCAGTAATATTCATGTTAAAAGCTATTCAGGCATATACGGGAAGTGCAATAACCGGGATAATGATAGTGACATTCTGCCTTCCAGGAAACATTACGGACCCAAACAATGATGCCATAAAAGAAGGCGCTCTCTATTGTCGTAGATTTCGTGTAGCTGATTTATGTAGCAACTTTCCAGACATTAGTTTTAAAGGTTATGTTGTGAAGTGGTTTTTCGTAGTCCGTATAGAAAATGTTGGATTTGTCAAGGTTGCATAATACATAAAACTGCTTCCAAGTAGATGTTTGAAGAGCTGGAAGGGAAGGAAAATGTTGCCGCAAAGTTGAATAATTAAATGCAGAGGGAGTAGATATGCAATAATTATTCAGGGATGATGGAGAGGCCGATGGCACATACTGATGCCTCGCTTCTGTCGCCGTGCACAGAAAGCGTTACCTTTTTATTGAGCTCAAAATGTGAGGCGTCTTTGAGTGTCTTGAAAAGCGCTGTGTAAAACCGATACATTATTATTATTATGGTTAAAAGAGCAAACTTGTCTCCATTATTATTTCTGTTTTGGTTCCAGCCTCACTCACACATGGGGAGGGTTCTATCCATGCCAAATGTGACATGTACATTTCTCCATTGTGAGATCAAGAAATAAATCTTATCTTAGCTTTCTGGGTCAGTGGTAGAGAAACCTAGAGAAAATAAATTAAGTTTTGTTGTGTCTGTTATGTTATGTTGTTATCTTGTTGTAAATCTTATTATTTGTAACTTGAATTATAATTTCTAAATTTCATCGGGGCGACAGTAGCTCAGTTGGTTCGAGCCCACCACAAGACTTTCTCCACTGATGTCTGCTGTCGTTGTATCATTGGGCAAGACACTTATCCTCTGGGAACACCTGATGCCACAGTGGGGCGGCTGCGGCTGTAAAGTGCCAAACTGCTGTTGTGTCCTTAGGCAAGACACTTCACCTCCATTGCCTAGAATGAGTCTGGTGTGTGTGTGAATGGTTGGTGGTGGTGGGAGGGGCTGATGGCACAGACTGGTTGCCTCGCTTGTGCCCCAGGGCAGCTGTGGCTACAGTAGTAGTTTATCACCACCGCGTTTGGAGAGAATGAATAATGACACATGTGAAGCGTCTTTGAGTGTCTAAAAAAAAGTATTTCTGGACATTGGTCATCTGCCTCTTTTGTTTGTATCATTGCATTTCTTGCGTTTGAAATGTTTGATTCTCTGATGTGTGTTGGCAAATTTACCGGTTTTGTAAAGTCGTCCGAGATGACTACTGTCGTGATTTAGGGCGATACAAGAAAAAATGGAATTGAATGAAAGGAGAATGTGTGGTGTCTTCCAGGTGCTGTCTCTGGGTGCAGACGTGTTGCCAGAGTACAAGCTCCAGACCCCGCGGATCCACAGGTGGACCATCCTTCACTACAGCCCCTTCAAAGCCGTGTGGGACTGGCTCATCCTGCTCCTGGTCATCTACACGGCCATCTTCACGCCGTACTCCGCCGCCTTCCTCCTCAACGACATCGAGGAGCAGAAGAGGCGCGAGTGCGGATACTCCTGCTCCCCTCTCAACGTGGTGGATCTCATGGTGGACATCATGTTCATCGTGGACATCCTCATAAACTTCAGGACCACGTACGTCAACGCGAACGAGGAGGTGGTCAGCCATCCGGCCAAGATCGCCATCCACTATTTCAAAGGCTGGTTCCTTATAGACATGGTGGCGGCTATACCGTTCGATCTGCTCATCTTTGGCTCCGGATCCGATGAGGTACGATGAAATCTGGGCTTTTTTTCTTGTAATGACACAATTTTGTCAACAAGATGATTTAGATCTGACGGATTATTTACTTTAAGCTGGGGTATCTAAATATGCAAACAGAAAGAGCCTTGTAAATAGTTGACGTTTTGCACTGAGAGCTGATTGGCTGGTGTCGAGGGTGGTCCTTTTTTCTCGTTTCTGTCTGAAATCCTAAAAAAATATACATTAAAAGCGCCATGCCTTTTATATGGCTAATTTTCAATGCTAATGTCAATGGACTAAGATAGCTGTAAATCATATTTATCACAGAAAAGCAGCAAAGCACAATATTTGATCTTTTCTCCAGTTCAGCAGTATACAGTAAATGTGTGACGGTGTAGGGTTTATTCTATATTTTTTGTACAGTTTATGAAATAGAGAAAAACATGGATCAGTACAAAGTGAAGCTGCTTCTGTGGAGTGCGGCCACAGCCTCGAGCGGTCCATGTGTGCGATGTGTTTTCTTGGATTCATCTGACGCCTCTCTGTCACAGCTGTTTACCCTTGATCTCTCTTCATCAGAGCCAGACTGAAGGACTCCAGGCTATCCAAATTGCTCAAAAAAGGTCTCCGCTTCCCCTGCCATTTTGCCTGCCTACTTACATGAATCGCAATGCTTTAGAACGCTGAGAAGTTGCAATAAAATGTACAAATGCTCGTGAGATGATGCTGGAAGCGACAGGTTTCAAAGGTATTTTTTTTTCCATCGAGATACACCCACCTCAGAATAGTTTTTTTCAATCTGGAATTGCTTGTAAAAATATAAATCAATGCTATCATGAGTCCAGTATGCTGAAAGTGTTGTATCAAAAGGTTCTTTTAAGGGGGAATCAATAAACCAGGATAACATGGCATTAAAAGTACAACTGCAATTTGGTCGACAATATTTTTTTATCTTTTTTAAATTGGGTGCTTGTGGTGTCGTCGATTGTTGTAGTTGTAGAAGTGTTGTATTAAGTATGTATTTTCCATTTCACAATTGAAAGTATGTTGGAATTCTGTCACATCATTAGGTTTTTTCTGACGGAAATGGAAAACTCGAGGACCACCCTCACTGACACGTGTGCAAAAGATGTGTTATAAGAACATGTCTGTGGGATGACTTTACTTTGACAAGATTCCAGTTTCAGACTCGTTATATTCGCCATTTGTAGAAAACCCACCTGTGCAAAAGTACCCAGTGTGCACCTGACAAATATATATAAAATAAAATAGCTAGTATTCTGAGACGCTGAAGGCCCAGATTGGCTGCCTTGCTCCCGTCAGTCTACCCCAGGGCAGCTGTGGCGTGTATGGAGTGAATTCTTTTGATCATTTTCTGAATAATAGTTACTTTATTGTCCCCATGGGGAAATTTTTCTTCTGCATTTGACCCATCCTTCATTGCCTGGAGCTGGAAGATTTTTGCACATATTTAACATATTTTTAGTGGTAAGAGATACCGGAGCACCTGGAGGAAACTTGACATGAACTTGACTTGGGTGGCACAGTTTGCTGGGTGGATAGCACTCTCGTCTCTCAGCAAGAAGGTCCTGGGTTCGAAACCCGGTCGGAACAGGGCCTTTTTGTGAGTGGAGTTTGCCTGTTCTCCCTGTGTCTGCGTAGGTTTACTCCGGGTGCTCCGGTTTCCCCTACCACTAAATACATGTACAATAGCTCTGGCAGGCACCTTCTGTACTGGCCCCGATCTCTGTGTGGAGTGAGTGGACAAATGCCCAAAAAATCTAATTTTTAAACCGGTTTGTGACTCTGGTCTGTGAAAGGCGGTGTATAAATAAAGATTACTTACTTACTTACTTACATGAGGAGAACATGCAAACTACACTAAGAAAGGCCCTGTTCTGACCGAGATTCGGGAAACCAGGACCGTCTTGTTGTAAAGAGTGCTAAAGGGTCAGATAACCTTTTTTTTGTTATTGTGGAAACACTACCTAGAGGCTGAAGGCCCAGATTGGCAGCCTTGCTTCAGTCAGTTTACCCCAGGGCAGCTGCGGCGTGCGGGGAGCGACCACACACCATCGATTTTCTTTTGATCATTGCCAGAATATCTCTCCCCCGTCTCCCCCAGCCTTTGGGTCAGGAAACCTCTTAAGTAAACACAATTTTTTGGGTTTTGTGGCAGGCAGCAGCACCCAGCCTCCGATTGCAAAGTTGTTATTTACTATTAGAACGGCAGAACGTCCGGGCGGCGGCGGAGACTGGCAGGTGCACGGCCAGAGCTGACAGTTGAGCGATGCTTCGGAACAATCTATGCCCCCGTCACGGAACCGGATGACTCCGGCTCTGACAGGATTTGTGTTCGGTTACAGCCCGTGTCCAAACCGCCCGTGTCTGAACGAGCGTGTTGACGATCCTATTTTTAGCTCCCCAGCCGCCAATTACTGTTGTGCATCTGAAAATAACACATGTACATTTTTAGCTCCTGTCTCTGCACTTTGCTTTTCATCTCAAAGTACAGAGACAGCTGCTATTTTTAGGCTTCATCTTGTGCACCTTTGTTGCCTGGAAACCATCTCCCACAATTCCACAATAAGTTTATTTTTTATTTTTTTGTTACTTTTTTTGCTGATGTTTGTGCTGATGTTGCCAGAAATGTGGCTGATAACATGAGAATGTCTAATTAGAGCTCTATGTCTTATCTGCTTCCATAAATACTCATTACACTGCAAAAAAGTGAGGAACAATAAGTGAAACGTTGCTCAAAATTTGTCAAATGTATCTTAATTTGAGCACAAATTTTGACCAAGCCTTAAAACAAGATTTGCCGATGAGACAAGCAAAAATATTTAGTTTTTAAAAAAATATATTGTCTCCCTTGGAAGGAATGAGCATTTATATTTAATTTATTCAGGATGAATTTAAACAAAACAATAGATTTCTTGTTCAAAATAAAACAGTATTACTAAATGTATGTTGTATCTGATATACATATACAAAGGTGCGTTTTTAAGATATCACAAGCGACAAAACAGTAAGATTGAGAAGTACACAAACATAAGTGAAACATAAGTGAAACTCTACTAAAGTCAGACAAAATCTCTCAAACTAAGTATAAACTCTATTGCAAAAATATATAGTTGTAATTATAAATCTATTTGGAAAAAGCCTAAAATCTAAAAGCCTTCAATGGACCGTGGGCTGTGAGCGTCCTGTTCTGGAGGTTCTTTATAAATCCAGAGCTCTTAGAATAATCAACGTCTCTTCTGGACACCCTGGAAAAGCCATGTTCCAGCTTCTTCCCTCTGGCAAAAGATATTGTTCTCTGAGATGCAGGACATCTCGTTACGCTAACAGCTTCTTCCCACTGGCTGTTATCAGTCTGAACAGAGCACTTTAATGATCTTGCACTTGTATAGAAACTGTTTTAGTCGAATCGTTTCACAGTGACACTTGTTTACTGTTTTATGTCTGTACTTTTAATGTTATTTCTTGTCTGTGCTTGTCTTGTGCGCACTGGTGACTGTTGCTAATGTATTCCAATGTGGTTTTACTGCAAATGGCAGATAAATTAAATCTGAATCTGAATCTGGACAAAGGTTGAAAATTAGCCTGGTCTTGCTATAACACTAAAGGCAGTGCATCTGGTCTGTCCAATGCAACTGTTGTGTCCATATCGAATAAATAAAATAAAAAAATACTGTAATATTCAACACTATCATTATCAATAAGTAGTAGAAAAGTCTTTGGCAACGTCTTTGGCATATCTTGTTTTAAGACAGACAGAATGTGCTCAGTTCAAGATAAAAACCAATCAATTCAAGCATTTATTTCGTCATATTTGATCATTTTCCACAGTGTATGAAAAGGCCAGAGGTGTGTTTCTGCTCCGTATGTGATTTATTACTTTGACGCGAATGGGAAATGGAATTATTCAAACTTCTCGTGGACATTCAAATCCGGTGTGATTGGTTGGTTTGAAGATTTCACATTACTCCAGCAGTTGTTAAAACCACTCGCGCCTCGCTGGCTCGGCTGAACTGTTGAAAAAGCCAGTCTCAGTCTCGCTGCAGCCCTCGTCGACGCCCATAGGAGTGAAATACTTTTGCTTGTAAGAATATTAACTGCGATTTTGCATCTGCTGCTTGAAGTGAGAAAAAGCCTCCAGCCTAATGTTAAAAAAACGGCATATGGCTGCAAGCAAATTCAGCAAAAATACTGTGCCTTATCCCTGCTTTTGCCGTTTTCCATTAACACTATGAGACATTGGATGAAATTGAACTCTTCTAAGGACGTTTAATTTCCACTGAGATCAAATTTAATTCCACTAAGGTCAATAAAATAAACAAGCAATTATTTAATACCATTCAAAAGTTTCTGTATTACTGTATTTCAACCTAAAATGTGAAACCAGTGTGTGATACAGACCGTGACATAAGCCTTTGTTTGGTCTAGTTTTGTACGGTTATGGCTTGTTAGTCCATTTTAAAAATAGTCTAATTGTATGACATGTTTTATGCAGTGTTTTTGCAGCTTTGGGGCTAAAATGATCAAGATTATAACAAAAAAAGTCTTGATGAAGCTCACTCTCTCTTCCTATGTCTCACTCTCTTTACCGTCATGTATTGTTTCACTTTGTAAGTAGGATTAAGAAAGGACGAAGAGGCGTGAGATAAGATTTGGATGCAGCCATTATCTTGCTATAGTTATATATGCAGCGATTACCTATAAGTAATTGTGACTATTTAGGAACTGTTCATTTTCCTCAGATTCATTTATTTGCCATTTGCAGTAAAACCACATTGGAATACGCCTCTCGGTGTCCGTGTCTCCGCTGCAGTGGGACCACTCGGTAATCGATGAGTTTCGATTGCCGCATAAGCAAAACTCATTACGCCAAACCCATTATTATTATAGATCCATGCGCCAAACCCATTTTATTTTACGTTCGTGACGGCTCTGGTTGTTGTAGTCGTTGAGTATTTTTATAGTCCTGCTTCAGTGTTTTTAAAACTTTTCACGGCTTGTTTTGGAGTGCGATGAATCCCCAGTGCTTCGAGGTGAAGCTGATATGTCTTAATATAGAAATCTTTTCATTTCGCCGCAATTCCTCAAACCCCGTCTGAATCAATGCTGTGCTGTTTCCAGTGATGTCTGCTAGGCTAATGCTGCTAGGCTAATGCTGCTAGGCTTATGCCCCACCAGGGCCCAACCGAGTACATACCGTTGAGGAGGGACTTCGTTGGGCCCCGTAAAAGTTCCTGTAAATGGCCCGGTGGGGAAAGTTCCTGCAGTGGAGACATGGCTATGGCTTTTCCAAGGTGGCATGAGAATCATTGATTATTCTAAGAGCTCAGTTTAAATGTCTGGATTCATAAAGAACCTCCAGAACAGGAAGCTCACAGTCCTCCTTTACAGTCATATAATTTGATTACAAAAGTGAAAAAAATGGCACAGTCAATCTTAGTCAATCAAACCTTAGTCGGTGAATTTGAACGGACAATAGACAGTCGAGTGGTCAGCCGCCGAGTTTACTGTGATGCCTGCGATGACTGGATAATTGAAGTCTGTTTCTGAAATAATTTGTCCCCGTTTCGCCGCTCGCTCGCCACCGAAAGGGCGAACTGGCCAGACACAGTGGAGTGAATGATGGCAGTTATTTAGAGGCAGAGTTTGGGAGGATGGAGGCACATTTAATGGACCCATCAAACGTAGCTGCTGCACACTCCTTCATCGTGATGGATAAACAAACACCCCACCGTTCTGAATCATCTTCTCTCAAATCCAATATTATTATTAAGTATGTTTGTGTACGCTGCACCTACACAAATGTCGTTATCAGGCGTAAGCAGGAGCCACTTTTAGGAGGGAGCGAGTAATGATTTCCCCAAGGATATTAGGGCTAATTTTCTCGCACAGTAAGTGGAAAGACCTATTAGCATTCTGCAATTCCAACTTATTTTGTTTACAAAATAATCGTGCGACAGTGAATGTATCTGTCATGCTGGTGAATGAAAACAATGTTATGTCTTTTATCAACTACAAAGGAGCTCCAAAGCAAATGAAATGGATGTGCTTGGATGTGTTTGTAGACGTACATTTTGTGATGCTGTTGTAAATGCGGTTAGATAGATAGATAGATAGATATTTTATTGATCCCCGTAGGAGAAATTCAAGTGTCCATTAGCAGCAAAAATAAAAATAAAATGGATCATTCTGAAAGCATAATAATAGTAATAATCAGCAACAGGCCTTTAGGTCACAGCAGCAGAGGTGGAGTAGCCTCTGGGTGGAGCAGGACAGGTCACAGCAGCAGAGGTGGAGTAGTCTCTGGGTGGAGCAGGACGGGTCACAGCAGCAGAGGTGGAGTAGCCTCTGGGTGGAGCAGGACGGGTCACAGCAGCAGAGGTGGAGTAGCCTCTGGGTGGAGCAGGACGGGTCACAGCAGCAGAGGTGGAGTAGCCTCTGGGTGGAGCAGGACGGGTCACAAGGTGGAGTAACTGCTTGGTTTGGACCATTTTCTCTGCTCTAGTCCAAAGTAAAATGCTAAATGCTTCATTAGCATTTTTCAAAAATTTAGCATTCCTCCAGTGGATTTTCACCTGATCCGCTTGGTTCAGACCATGAATCCTCTCTGCTCTGGTCTGGACCAGTGTAAAACCAAGAACACTGTACTGCAGCAACATCTTAGGTAGAAAAAAGCAAGAAAAATAAAAATTGACACAAAACAACAACTATTTTAGAGCTACGTAGGACTTGCAGCCGTTTCCAGCACATCTTTCAAAAAAAAATCAATATTAAAAGTGTCGAAGCCCAGTAATGGCCGTATAATATCCTATTTAAAGTAAAACATGTGACTATAAGCAGTGCAACCTGCTGTTTACTGTCAAAAGTACACTGTAAAAAATGCTTGAAATCAATAGGACAAAGCAATTTGGTCTTATTTTCTCACACCAAGGGAGACATTTCTTGTGTCGTTTCAAAACAAGATCAATTTGCTTTGTTTCATTGGCTAATCTTGTTTTAAGGCAGTCAGAATGTGCTCAAATTAAGATACATCTTGCCAAATTTGAGCAATATTTCACTTATTTTTCAGCACTTTTTGCAGAGAACAATCAAGAACCTTTCTTGGTCTTGATCGACGCTTGTGAATTGGTCCAACACAATATGCTCTACTAACATTATACCATTAATGATAAAGCTCTTGGTATAAGACAAGAAAAGGTCTGACCAATTCTACTTTTAAATAGTTGCAGGATTGAGCACGGATCTGTATACAATATAAAAAATATAAAAAACGTTGCAATGCCCTGGTTTCGATGGCTTATTTTGTTTTCAAAGCTAAGTATTTTTGGGACTACCTTTATAATCACTGGCTGTTATTCAGGAAATATCCGTCCAACCGCCAACAATGATTCACTGCGATGGCCACCTTTTCCCTCGGGCTCTAAGCGGTTTGCACCAGCGTTTCAAGTGGACTCTCATCATCGCTACAGTCACGAACGGCTCCAGCACTGAGTCAGTCGAGTTGTTTTGACGTTGAAGGATGCTCGGACCTTGAAAGATGTTTACACAAGTAGGAATGACCCAGCGGCCTCAGTTTTCAAAGCACTGGGAGCTGAATAATCTGGGTGTAATCGGCGCTCACCGTGACCCCTCGGAAGATAGAAGAAAACAAGGTTCTTCTTAATACTGCTTCTTATTACCATACAGACCTGAAAATGGTTCAAATTCTCTCTCTCTCTTCTCTAGTCACGTTGGAAGGAAATTAGAAAAGAAATCACGATTCAACCCAAAGCCTTCAGCAATAAGCGAAAGAACCAAATTTATCTTATGTTTGTGCTTGGTTTAATAAAGTTAGCTGTCAGAATGATTAATACATCGGAAATGGTGCAATAACTGATGGATGGGGCTCTGTTTTTTTCTCTGTGTGGAAACTTTGTGTCACTTTTATGGGAAATTATTCCTCAATCTTGTAATTAAGTCAGTGCCGTTAAAGTCGGTTTGCTGTTTTTCACCGCATTCTCCGTCTGAGGCCGGGGCAGCGACCTCATTTTGGTCGGAGGTTCAAGGAGAAGGGATTTCCTTTTCGTATAATTGTTTTTTACATTTTGACGTAACTTTAATGTGACATGACAATTATTTTATGTGTTTTTATTGTTTGGATTCAGACCGGAAAAAGGTGCCTTGCCCTCTACATGGGTGGGGAGGTCCTTCCTCAAGTGGAGGAGTTCAAGTATCTCGGGGTCTTGTTCACGAGTGAGGGAAGGATGGAGCGTGAGAGTGACAGGCGGATCGGTGCAGCGTGCGCAGTGATGCGGTCGCTGTATTGGACCGTTGTGGTAAAGAGGGAGCAGCGTCTGCAGTCAGAGCTGTATCGGACCGTTGTGGTAAAGAGGGAGCTGAGCCGAAAGGCGAAGCTCTCGATTTACCGGTCAATCTTTGTTCCCTCCCTCACCTATGGTCATGAGCTTTGGGTAATGACCGAAAGAACAAGATCGCGGATACAAGCGGTCGAAATGAGCTTCCTCCGCAGAGTGGCTGCTCCCTTAGAGATAGGGAGAGGAGCTCAGTCACACGGGAGGAGCTCGGAGTAGAGCCGCTGCTTCTCCATGTCGAGAGGAACCAGTTGAGGTGGCTTGGGCATCTGTTCCGGATGCTCCTGGACGCCTCCCTGGGGAGGTGTTCCGGGCACGTCCCACCGGGAGGAGGCCCCGGACGAGCTGGAGGAAGTGTGTGTGGATAGGGAAGTCTGGGCGTCTCTGCTTAGACAGCTGCCCCCGCGACCCGGCAACGGATGAAGCGGAAGAAAATGATGGATGGATGGATTCAACAAATACCAAAATATAAAGTTAAACACATGGCTTGAACAATTCTAATGATGTGTAGGGTTAAAAATGTAGTTGTTCATAAATGTGTGTGTACGACATGCCTCGGTGGTCCGTTACCATCAACACCAGAAAAAATGCCGTTGTGTTCAAAATGTATCTCAATTTGAACACATTTTGACTGCCTTAAAACAAGATTTGCCTATTTGATATATTTTTGAAAATGTTCTACTTTAGAAATATTTTATCATGCCTTATTCTTTCTCTACTATTGACTGGTTCGCAGCAAGAGCCAAAACTTGCTACTTCCTTGCTACTTTCCTACTCTGTGACTTCCTGTTACTTACATAAAGATGATTCTGATTCTGATTTTAATTCTGAAAATGATCTTGTTTAAAAAAGAAGATACAAGAAATGTCTACTTTGGAATGAGAAAATTAAGCAACAGTTCTTGAAATATTGGCAACATTGGCAAATCTTGTCAGAATTCACTCAGATTAATTCAATCATCTCTTCATATTTGACCATTTCTTGCAGTGTTATTGACAATCATTTTAGGATCCACTAAAAATGTGCGCACTGTATTTGGTCTGAGTTTGAGTCTGGCTCAGTTTTCTTCTCAGTTGGAAGTTACAGAGGAGTTGTCGAACAGTTTCAAGCTCCAGTTTATTTGCTTGGCTCCAGACGCCACCACAGACCTCTCCTCACCCTCTCCTCTCTCCCCAGACGACCACGCTGATCGGTTTGTTGAAGACGGCCAGGCTGCTGAGGCTGGTGCGCGTGGCTCGGAAACTGGACCGATACTCGGAGTACGGCGCCGCGGTCCTCATGCTGCTCATGTGCATCTTCGCCCTCATCGCTCACTGGTTAGCCTGTATCTGGTACGCCATCGGCAACGTGGAGAAACCCTACTTGGAACATAAAATCGGGTGGCTGGACAACTTGGGCGTGTCTATTGGTGAGATTCTGTTTAATTATTATAAATATACAATTCTTCACGTTTACAATTCATTACTTTGCTCTGATTTCAGCCCTGCACTGTATATGATTTATTGGCACTAGCTTTTATTTTGTTTTTTAATGTGTAGTGATGGACGTGGGAAATTCTCAATTGCATTTTGACATTACTGAATTACACATCTTTATAGAGATCAAAATCCAATTTAGATTAAGGGGAGATGTCAGTGTTGCGTTACAGAATGAGGAGAACACGGACCAAGATGAGTGAGCAATAAGTCTACACTAAAAAATCAAAGACAATCTCATTTTAGTTTAATAAGGAAGCAAGTAGGAAATCTGTAACTTTAACATGATAAAAGAAACAAGTGTAAATTCTCTGACTTTAACACGATAAAGAAGCACGAAATACACAGAGTAGTTGCAGTATACGTCAGTACATGTTACCATTGGACACATGTGCTTCTATAGTGCACATTTTGACAGTATTAAAATGAATATTGCACAGATGGGGAAAGTAAAGTGACTTTGGACAAATGTGGTTTTTATATGTGGCTTTTATATATATATAAACATATGAAAAAGGTCGACCACTGTCCTGCTCAAATTTGACTGTTTTCATGATTGGTTTGTTGCTGCCGTATTTTAGTTATTCACTTTGAGAAAGAAAAAAAAAATGATCAAAAACTGTTTAAATATGCTTAGATAAAAATTTGTCTGGAAGTCGTAGATAGTAGCAGCATAATAGACATAAAAAAAACATGTGCAAAACTGAGATAACCAAATCTGAGTAACATGCGTGACACTCTCCACGGGATCATAAGTCACATATTTGTACGGCGGATTCAGGTTATTTGGAAGATTGATTGATGACAGCGACGCCACATATTATTACTAGTATTACTCATTTTTTTCGAAAGCCTGTTTGAATCATGTATAATCACTTTGAGGCTCTACTTAAAGTTTCACACTGAGAGCATTGCATCATAATAATGTCTGTGTGTTTTTTTGCAAAGGTAAAAAATACAACTACAGTGACCCCAGCTCTGGCCCGTCCATCAAAGATAAGTACGTCACGGCGCTGTACTTCACCTTCAGCAGCCTCACCAGCGTCGGCTTCGGGAACGTCTCTCCCAACACCAACTCGGAAAAGATCTTTTCCATCTGTGTCATGCTCATTGGATGTGAGTGACAGACAGCTATGAATCACGCGTCGAATCTCACATTTGTGCCAATTCCAAGGGCGATTTAATGCTTCGATCAGCTGCTCATGTGTCACTCACGATTGCTTGCAGCGCTAATGTACGCCAGTATCTTTGGGAACGTGTCGGCGATCATCCAGCGCCTGTACTCTGGGACGGCCAGGTATCACCTCCAGATGCTGCGGGTCAAAGAGTTCATCCGCTTCCACCAGATCCCCAACCCCCTGAGGCAGCGGCTGGAGGAGTACTTCCAACACGCCTGGACCTACACCAACGGCATCGACATGAACATGGTGTGTGCCTCCTGTCTGTGCCACTGCTCCTGAACTCATCTGTGTGCTCATCTTTTCTGCCTTTGATTTCTGATTATCTTGTCCCCTAATATGCTCTTACCACATCTACATCTGAAGCCCCTGTGTAGGCATAGTATCATGTTTAATATGATCCTACTCTTGAGTCCAACTGTGGCTGTGCCTGTCCTATGGTGTCCGTCGTACTTATATGGGTTTGTCTTTTCCATGTCTGCCTCATGTCCAATGGGATGACCCAACACTCTGGTAAGAGCAGGAGGTACATGTGTTCATACTTCTCTGCATCTTCTCACTGTGTTTCATTTTGATAGTGGAATGTAATAGTTTGAATGTACATGAGTAACTCCCAAAGCACAGATCGGTTGCATGTGATAGAAGGGCATGCTCCTCTCATCACTAACACCATGTGGGAGTTCCTGGTGCCACATCATGAATGAGTTCCCCTTCCCGTGCATGTCAATAAATGCAGAAACAGAAGCTTCCCTCTGGACCACAGTTGTGTGAGTGACAGATCAGTGTGCGCTCTGCCTTTGGGTGCGTTTGCATGGAATGAGCGTCTTTAAGCACAGGCCCATGATCTGTGTGGTAGAGAGTGAATCACGCCCGCGCGAGTGGGCAGCCGTGTCGGCCACTGCCAGCTTTTCCTCCCACTGTAGGAGGCTTGGCTGCTGCCTCAGTGGCGGCCCCTGTGTTTGCCAAATGTTGTTCAGTCTTTCCTTTCCAAATCTCCTGATCAGTTTTTGTTCTGAGAAACAAAAAGCCTGTCAGAGCCTAAACTAGTTCACGCTTCTGCTGTGGACTATGGTGGAAACACAGGATGTGCTTTGGTGTGTCGACGTCCCATATGTGTGTGCTGAGCCCTCTCCTGTCTTTCAATGTGCCTTTTTTGTCAAATATCAAAATGTCCTTATCTACAGTCCACAGAGCCTAGTTTTGTCATTGTATCTTTGTCTCAAAATGGTAAGTTTTTAACAGTCTTTATTCGTGGTGTTTGATGTTCCAGCTGTGAGAAAGAGCATGTTCTCTGCAACATAAACGTAGGTAACTCCTACAGTTTGCACCTCTGTCTAAGTGTGCTGTCTAGTTTCCTTCATGTTTTGTCTTCTTTTAATGAAATTTGTTAAAAGCAGTGTCATCAGACGTTGCAGGCTATCTCCGCTGTAGAAGGTTTAGAGAAGAAGGAACGAACACACGTGGCAATTGTTTGTCTAAACTGCTTGCAAATGAAGTGCATCTTGAGCTCCGGCCGCTCCTGACACGTCCAGTCTGTCGCCTGTGGAGCCTCATTCTGTACTGTGCACATTCTGCTCCAGGTCTTAAAGGGGTTTCCTGAGTGCCTGCAGGCGGATATCTGCCTCCACCTCAACAAGACCCTGCTGCATGACTGTAAGGCCTTCAGGGGAGCATCCAAGGGCTGTCTGCGAGCTCTGGCCATGAGGTTCAAGACCACCCACGCCCCGCCCGGAGACACCCTGGTGCACGGAGGCGATGTGCTCACTGCGCTGTACTTTGTGTCACGTGGCTCCATCGAGATCCTCAAGGAAGACGTCGTCGTGGCCATTTTGGGTGAGGATAACACAAGCTGAGAAGTTGTTACTATGAGGAGAAACATTATTAGCATACCCTTTCATGATGTAATGTACCCTCTAGCTCTGCCAGAGGGTAATGTATTCACCAGGGTGTGTTTGTCTGTTTTTAAGTTAGTAGAAATGGTCGAAACACGTTCATGTCCCGAGTTAATGAAGGATTTTTACTTTAAAGTCAGCTGTGCCTCGGACCTTCGTTTTTCTATTTAAAATTTGCTTTTTGAAATTTGGACCTGACCCGCATACCCAACCCACATCAGCGCTAAGCAACTAAGGCACAAATGATCTCTGAGAGCATATTAAGTGAAATGAAACGACATATTGAAGGTGCAGAAGTATCACTGGTAGATTTGGTCCAATGAATGTTTGTCTTGTCTTCCTGGCTCAGTACAAACAGACTCCTCTTAAAGCCTGGATAGAGCAGACACGGGTGGTCTCGCTAAATGAAGATGGCCGTGTTCTGCTTTGTCATGGCTGGAAAGGCAGCTGGGAGCTTTGCGAGTAACTAACTTCAAATATCAGTGAGATGGTGCTGCCGGCTCCCAGTCACGCTCCACATAAAAGGCTCAGTGTGAGAGGAGATGTTCTGCTAATGCGACTGTCAGGGTAAGCTGCTTCTACACAGGTGGCTCACAGCGACAAAGACAACAGCAAAATCCCCCGGAAATATACAGATTGTTTTGTTTTTTTTGTTTTTACCCGATCCAGGATGGCGTCTAAGGACAGTGGTGATTATGCAGGACACTCGACATTCAACATTTATGAACATTTATCAACATTAATGGTCATTGGTCAACTGCCCCTTATGGACCAATGGCTCTATATGTATTTTTATTTTATTTTATCACGGCATTTCTTGTCTTTGAACTGATTGATTCTCTGATCTGTGTTGGTGAATTTAAAAGTTTTGCCAAGTCCTCCGAGATAACAACTGTTGTGACTTAGGGCTATACAAGAATAAATTGCAGTAAAACCACATTGGAATAAATTTACATAAGTCCCCAGGGTGCACCAGACAAGTACATACATAAAACAAGGTAAAAAGTAAATGCGAAAATACGCCACCTGTTTTTAATATTATTTACAAGTAGAAATGAATGAAATGAATGGTATTTAACTCAGTGCTTCTGCCTGGATGTTTAGTTTTTGCATACTTCTTGTCGTCTGCTGTCCTGGCATTGGCCCCATAACGGCAAACTGAGCATGAAAAACCCCGTGGCCATCGGTGTAGGTCATTTGTGACTAAACAAGGGCTGCTGTGGTCTGAGTGACTTCCATGTGACCAGCTTTGTGTGAAACCTGTGTTTTTGACGTAGGGGCCTGTCCTCTGGCCCTTTTCACATCGTCACGCTTCCTGCCAGGTGGCCTGCTTTATTATAGGTCATTGTATACTGTGCTACACACTGTTTTAAAGTCTGGCATTAAAATAATATAGCCATAACATTAAGTTGCAATATGTAAGGTTGTGTCTTAAATCAATGTTCTAGAAAATACACATGAAGTCATTTCAACTGTGACCGTTGTGTAAGATTATAACCTTATAACTGTTTTTGTCTCAATGATTTTCAACACAAATGAACCATATTAGACAAAGACCTTTTTCTCTTTTTCACCAACATATTCAATGACATGCAGGCTCATAGAAATAAATGGACTTTGCATGTAATCAGTAACAACATTATTTGATTCAGTTTTATTTAGCACTTTCTGGACACTGTATCTACACACACAGTGGTGATAAGCCACTACTGTAGCCACAGCTGTCCTGGGGCAGACTCATAGAAGCAAGGCAATGAGTATGTGCCACCACCAACCATTTGCACCCACATCAGACCCTACATGGGTGTAGGTGAGGTGTCTTGCACAAGGACAATGTAGCTACAGCCAGCTTCACCACTGCGTCTCACATCACAGCACTAACCGCTCATGAACCAGTTTACAGTGAAGTTTGTTTGAAAACATTGACAAAGAGATCTTGTTTTTTAGGTAAAAATGACATTTTCGGAGAGATGATCCACCTGTTTACCAAACCTGGAAAGTCTTGTGCTGATGTGCGTGCGCTGAGCTACTGTGACCTGCATACCATCCAGAGAGAGGAGATCCTGGAGGTGCTGGACATGTACCCCGAGTTTGCAGATCACTTCTTCACTAATCTGGAGCTGACGTTTGACCTTCGAGATGAAAACGCAAAAGTAATAACTCCCTACAGCCATTTATAATCCTACCTTACACTTTATCTGTGCATGGAGCCAATTGTTCCTCTTTCACATGACGTTTGTGTCTTTCAGTACATTTAAAATAATAATTAAAACAACAATAACAATTTGAAGAGTGCTTTGCCATTTTCCATGCAGTAAAAGCTGGTACAGGTCAAGCACTTAGGACCAGCAGTTTGGTCCAGACCAGCAGAAGGACGGCTGTCACGTCATGTGTGCAGAGGACATATGCGAGGGCCTGTGGCTGCATGTGAACAAGGGCTATAAAAAGACCTCTCCTTTGTAAAACGTAGAATGACAGAGCAGAGAGATATGTACGAGACACAGCAGTACATTTACAATCATAATTCATAATTCATAATTACACAAACCAACACATGAAGAGGACCAGGCTATAAACAGCATGATTTTTGTCTTATAGGATTATCCCAAACGTGGCACTGCCAGCACAGAGGACATCAGGCGCCGGATCTCATACAGGAGGAAGTTTTCCACAGGTTGGCTTGAACACCTTTGGTTTATTTTCTTTTCTTATCCATCCATTACTTTTCAACCTCTTTATCCGTTGCCGGGTTACAGAAGCAGCAGTCGGAGCAGAGACAAACCAGATTTCCTTGTACATGCACACTTTCTCCTACACATCCGAGGGAAGCCCGAGGTGTTCCCAGGCCAGCTGAGAGACACAACCACACGCTTACTGTAACTTAGAACATGTATTATATTGTTTGTATGATAACATCAGGTTCAATGCCTTGTGCTCCAGAGCCATGTGAGGATAGTGATCATGGCTTCAGACCGGAGCTGCTCAGTTCGGCTGTTCCTGTTTAAAGTAGCTCTTGTTCTCGGTGATTAGAGTTAGAGTTTCCTCACACCTGTGTCACACCAAACACAGCCGGTCGCCCTCGGAGCAAAATGACATGACTGTTTGGACCAGAGCACTGTGCTCTGGAGCCTTGGGACGGGATGTAGCGCCACTGCACAGCAGTACTCACCAGTTTGGCTTCGATTTAGGCAAATCTAATTGGTCACCATGGTTACAGGGCCTCTGAGCACATTTCCCAATATAACGCGAGAAGAACAGAGGCTGTACCTCACGCTCTATCTCACTTCTGCAGCTGCCACCACCTGCCATGTTTCTATGAGCCTTTGTGCTATTTTAAATTGTTTATGTTTATAAGCACATTTGTATAATGACAAGGCACAGACTCATTAGATTTGTTTAGAATCAAAGGGTAAAAAGGTGTCATTGTTTGTCCTCACTTGACCCTAAAGCACAACACAGGTAACCTGTTGTCAACAATAATGAGGCAGCCTGACATCCCAAAGGAAGTGAGTCAAGAGGAGAGTTCCCCCAGCTCATCCTCATTACCATGTCTCCCACAGGCTCCAACAAGATGCCACTGACCACATACTGCGGCAGTCAGCACCACATGTACAGCTCATCAGCCCCAGAGGAGAGGGGAGAGTCAGCGGAGGAGGGAGAGGAGGAGGAAGAGGAGGAGGAGGAGCAGAGACCTCTATGTTCAGGGGTTTTGGGCTACCCTGTAGTCCAGGACCACCCTCTTGGGCTGGGACTGAGCTCTGCACCAGACCAAGCTGGAAGCTCTGTCCCGGCCCAACCCTTCAAAGGTAAAGACAGCACACACCACTGGCATCATGATAAAGACATTTTGCATTAGATTTGATACATTTCCTACTTCTAGATGAATAACAAACAAACTAGTATTGGTGTGAGTGCATCCCCAAAGACCCCTAAGCCCCCAGGAACTAAGTCACACCTATTAAAAATCAAACGAGGCTTATGAGGGATGCAACCCTAAACTCACACAGCAATGAAATGTAAGAGGATTATCTGGAGCAGCTGGGGTCACCCTTTGGATCGTAGGTCACGACCAAATGAGGGATTTACAGTAAACAGATAGGCCTGATGTCTGGTCACTAGAACCATCTGTTCAAGTGTGAAGATAAACTGTCATGTCCACGCTGTAGAAAGTGCCGAACTCTTGCACGAACGCGATCTGACACAATGTGCAGATAAGACCTCAAAATGCTCCATGTGGCTCTGTGTGTAGAGCTGAGACAGAGCAACGTCAGGCTTGAGTGAGCATCTTCCACACAACACGCTGCGTCTGCCAGGGAGATCCATGCAGCTTAAACACATCCTCATTTTCTCTGTCAGGCCTCTTACATGTTGAGCAAACTCACCACTTTGTGTCTGTGGGTTTGTTGTTCGAACGGCTTTGACTTCTGTTTGAGAAACAAACTGTGGAGCTGTTTTTTGAACAGAGCCCTTATGCCGGGCTTGGCTCCGGGATCCTCTTAATTCACAGAGAGATGTGTGGGGATAGGACCAGTGCAGAAGCTGATCTGTTTCTAACACGCTCCCAGAAGAGGGTTTGGACGGGCAGAGAGCGAGTGATTTTTATAAAGAGTCTGAAGAAACTGTTCAGAACTATCCCTGACTTCTACCCGCTGAAGCGCACTGTTCTTACAGTGTTTGTGTTGTCAGCTGAGCATTCCGCTATTTACAGCTTTATTGTATTGTTGAGACGCCAAATGATAACATAAAAGAAGAGTTGTTTCTCTAGAGGAATCACATTGTGTTTGGTATTTTCTTGTGTGTGTTCAGAGCTTGATGCGGAGGATTGGGAGCCTCGTCCCAGTGAGCGCACAGAGGAGCCAGCCCCCTGTGAGCGACCAGGGGCCGCGGAGGACAGCGAGTCAGACCTCACCTATGGAGAAGTGGAGCAACGGCTGGACATGCTGCAGCAGCACCTCAACAGGTCAGGGCATGAAGTCCGAGATGTAAATGTCTATCAAAACAGATCCTTTGTCTTCCATAATATGTTTAGGGAATAGTTTTGAAGATAACAATGCTTTCATAGTAACAAGATTATACCGGCCCATCTGACCCGGAGGCTAGGACAGCCTGTTCTTCTTTACAGAGAAGGTTATGGTACTGTATTGGTGCCTCCTGGGGTAAATTCCTTCTCTGCATTCAGTGATTAAATATGTATAAAAGTTTTATTCATGAAACACTTTAACATTGCCATGTTTTAATTCATGCTAGCGCTACATAAGCTACAATTGTAGCCACAGTTGCCGGGTGATGGAAGGGGGGTAAAGGCCATGTGGATTACAGAAATAGTTTGCACTGCAGACTGTGATTGTGGCCCCTGCGATTCCCAGCAGATTCCAATCAAAGTACTTTCCAGTCTCTTGCTTAGCTACCAAGAAGAAGATGTTACAAGCAGGTAGGCGTCAGTAAGATGCAGCCTCCGTAGCCATAGAGGTGGCTGTATGGATTACTTTACAAATGTATGAAATATCAAACACTGCTAAAACAGACAATTATATCTCCACTCCACTTGACCTGAAGTGTCCTGAAGTTTTGACATTGACCTTTTGCTGAGGAGACACTTCCCCTGGTGCCAGACTGAGCCCTAATAGGCCTGTATTCTTCCTCGCTTCAGTAACCCCTGCTCATTTCTCTCCAGTCATCTCAGCATTTAGGACTCTTCCATGAAAGTCACGCATGGAAATACGAGGCTGGTTTGGAGCTGGCTGGTGCAGATACAGCAGAGCGGGGGGCTGCATCAGCTATTTATAGCGCATAGCTCCCCACCATGAGACGCAGACATTTTACAACTGTCTTTCCATGGCGTTCTGGTCATGGTGGAAGGTTTTTGGACAATTTCAGACTTTCAGATAAAAAGAGATGCAGCTTTTCTGTAGGCTACTGTTTCATGTCATTATCCCCTGATCCACCACACACTGTTTTAGCCTCATGGTTCCACGCCAAAGTGTCAGTATCAGCCCTCAGAGCCCAAAGAGCAGAGTCTGGCACAGCCCCAAACAGGCTTCCCCTCTCCACTCACTTTACTGTCACTTCACATTAGGACTGTGTGTGGCTGATACACCTAACAATCATGACTCTGCCTTAATGCTCACACAATTGGGATAAAAGTTACAAGTAATTTAGTTGAAAACCAAACTTTTGACACAATAGTTAAATGCAGACCAAGTGTGTGTGCTTGTGTGTGCTTGTGTGTGCTTGTGTGTGCTTGTGTGTGCTTGTGTGTGCTTGTGTGTGTAGAGGTCCCCCTTGTGTTTACTTTGAGCAGTGCAAACCATGCTGGACCAGAGGATTGGAGTGTTATGGATATATTTGTGTGTCACAGACTGGAGTCCCAGATGACTGCAGACATCCAGGCCATCCTGCACCTGCTGCAGAGGCAGAGCACAGCTGGGCCTCCTGCCTACAGCACCGTCACATCCAGCCCCGACTACCACAAAGCAGCCATCTGCCTGCAGCCAGCCTCTCCACAGGGCGAGCTGGCTCTGGGCCCCGCTCCTCCTCAGCCACAGGTGCACACTTTAAATGTGTGTGTGTGTGTGTGTGTGTGTGCGTGTGCGTGTGCGTGTGCATGCGTGCGTGCGTGTGTGTGTGCGCGTGGGTCAGACATGTAAAGTATGACTGCCTCTGTCCCTCCAGATCCCAGAGCACTCCCAGAGCACACCCAAAGAAGCCTCTCCAGTGGTGGACCTGGACGTTCTTCCAGACGAGGACTTTGCTGGACCTTTGGAGGGTGAATCGGACACAGAGCAGAGACACAGACTCAATCACACGGACACAGTAGAAACACAGTTGCCCGGACTGCCATCAGGCAGACAGGCCTCACTGCCGGATGTCCCCAGCAGCTCAGGGTCTATGGCCCCCCACAGGCCGCTGTCTGACCCAGGGTTGCTCCAACCTTAGACTGATGGTCTTCTCTCAAGCACGACTCAGGGTCTACAAAAGAGACTGAATATGCAAAGGAAACTAACTGTAGACTTTTCTTCCAGTCCTTTTGAAAAGCCCTCACCCATACCCCTGGGCTGGTTTAGATGTAAAAAGTTAATTTATACAGAGGTATTTATAAACTATATTATTAACACATGTAAAAATCATAATTTCCATGTACATAGGTCAAATGGAACACTGCCAGCAACACTGGGCACCCAATGTGCTTTGTTCAGAGATATGCATGTGTTTGCATCGTCCCCTCTTCCTCTGAGTTGCATGTTCCTCTCACACAGGACATCAGGTGTGTTCTCTGCATGCGCACAGTCTATTGTAGCCAACAGGTCAACATAGCACAGGGACAAAGCTACTTGAAACACTCTCCCATAGTTCTGCTCTCTGCTCCGTCACCACAACAGGGAAACCTGTCTTCATGTTTAGCGTGCCTACACCACAATGCCACCTTTTCTGAAGTGAATCACTTGAACCACAGTACGCTCACTGTGTGACATCACCTGAACAGCCCATAGCACACGACCCTCCTGCTGTAAGAGCAATAATGATGACATTACAACACATGTCTTAGATCTCAATGCAATTCGTTTAATAGACTGTTTGCTCCAAAACTTTGGCTAATGCCCTGCTCTTCTGTGTGTCTGTCAAATGCTCATGTGTGTGTCCAAATAAGTCTACCTTTGGCGACTGAAAACGTAACAATCACACATGTATACTATGGTTCGAGGCATGTGAGACTGACCAGACCAAGAGACATCTGTGCGCTCCCAATGTTCACACCAAAACATGTTGTAGGTCTTCCATTATCTTTTTGAAAAACACCATTTCATTTCAATCACCAAAAAGATTCATGTGCCAGGCTGATGTAAAGCAATCACTAGCCTTAGCTTGATTAACCTGCTCTAGCCTTTACAAATCATACAGTTGCTATACGTAACACATCCAATGTTTCCACCATCAAGTTGTAAATTCCTCAAGTTATTTAAAGATATAAAAATAAACTGCATGATAGAAATAAGTCCTTTACATTTTATACTCCAATGGAAAGGTGAGCTCATGTACTGCATGGAGATTGCACTCGAGTGTAAGTGTTGTTGAAATGTAGGAGCAGCGCAGAACTCACCAGAGACATTTAATGGTTTAAGCTATTTTTCTAAAACAGAAATTTTGTTTGCCATTATTTTTATAATGTACTTGGTTGAAATGTTTTTAAAACCCCTGACGCTCGAATGGTGTGAGCTGCTGAAGAGTTGGAGATGGACAATAATGAATGCAAATCATAGCCTCTTAATGTAGCAGACTTCCGACGCCGAAGACTTCCTGCTGGTGTCGCTTTGACTCTTTGCCATGATTCTGTCGCCATCAGTTTGTGGGACGCAGCTTTAGCGGCTGTTTGCCCAAAGTCTCCTCCTGATACATGCATGATACACACATGATACACACCTGTATGTGTTAAACACGTCTGTTTTTCCAGACCAGAGGTTTTCTCAGCGGCGAACAGCTGTAAGGTCTGTGTTCAGCATCACATGGGGTGTTTCCTTTCAGAACATATCTTTGATTTCCAAGCACAGATGTAGAAGTTGCTTCTGTTCAACCCAACACGTCCAGAGCCTGAAGAGCCGTCTACTGAACTTTCATGGAAATTGCAATCTTTTGCACAAAGATTAGAAACTTGCTGTACTGGATAAAATGTCACTTTTTAAATCTAGTGCTGTTCACAATTGTTTTTATGCATTTTTTAAATGTTTGCCACTGTATTTTATACAATGCAACACTTACAGCTAATTTGAATGTTTTTTGTTCCAAACTATATTTAAAGAAATCTAATATATTGTGTAGACTGAATAATACACATTTGTATAGAATAATAAACCGAATGCATACTGGCACAGTGTTTATTGTGAATTACAAAAAGATACATACACATGTGCAAAATGTGTATTCAGTTCATGCATAAACCTTTACTACATTTGTCACATTGTCACATTGTACATGGGGCAGAATGAGGTCAGGCACGGAGCAAACAAGGCACAAATAATTCTATACATCTTACTGTACATTGTAGAAAAGCTAAATAACATCTACGGAGTGCGCACGATATACCTTTTTATGTTTATATATATATATTCTATATATATAATCTAAACTGTTGTACACTTTGGCCCCTTCACAAACGATGGCACTATAGGTGTACAGCAAGTCAGAGCATATGATTAAAACAGTAGTCTAAGGTTATAGATTAATTCAATGATTTTCTCACTAGATTTAAAAGTATGTCTTATTTGCATCAGCACATTCAGACTTAATCCTTTTTTAACACTCGGGTGAATAACTAAAGCGTTGCAGTAAGCGGTTATATTGTCCCGTCTGAGGTCTTTCAGTCTGAAATACTGGCCTCCCTTTAAAAGCCTGGTGTCAGCCTCCTCCCTGCTCCTGTAGAGGTGAAGTCTGGATCTGCTCACACTCACAGGGACATCGTGCACAGGATGAACTGCAAGAAAGGGAAATGATGCAAAGTGATTACACACATTTGGCCACACACCAGCCGAACAAAAGTCACAGACGACTCTATTAAATAAATCATTAAAAATGATCTCACGTCATCGTATTGGAAGGTCACTGCTCCTTGCTGCATCTGATCTCTCCGCCGGAAATTCTCTGCAATAAAATCATGAGACATTTAAAAAATTGATTATAAACAATGAAAATAAGTTATTGGAAATATGTATAAAAGTAAAAAGTGTACCAAAAGATTATACAGAATAATAAATAACTTGGATTATTTGTGTAAAAGAGACATAACAAAGCTTTTGACCATCTGATTTTTATTCCCTTGTCCTGTATAAACTCATAAACTAGTTTCTAAGAATAATTTCTTCCATGAGAGATGCCACGGCTATCCACTGACCGCTCTGACCACACCACATCACACTTACACTTACACTTTTTTACTTCATGTATTGGAATCATGGCTCTATAATAACAACTGGATAGAGTATTACTAGCTTACATCTGTCCCACCCATGGCCACAGGGGGCGCTGTGGTACTGCAGACTGAATTCATGAGGGCTACCCAGGAAAAAGTCCCATAGAACTCAATGTAAATGAAAACAGCTCGACCTCAGCTGACAGAGAACCTGACAGAGAACCTGACAGAGAACCTACAGCTTTCATAAAGATCGGAGTTTTGTGGGGATTTTAGTGTCCCTTGTCATCCTTTTTGTCTTCTTAAATCCTTCAGTTTTCTTTAAATCCACACTTTACTGCCACAAACTCTGCTCCTTTCCTTCCCGCTCTGACTCTGCTGCTGCTCTGATCAGCTCTGATTGGTCAGAGCGCGGCCGAGCCCCTCTGTGCACGTGCATGAAAGCCACATCATGGGAGCTCGTCCACTGCGCAGAACTGGGAGGACCAGACGATGCCCAAATACAGGCGTGTTCTGCTAATCTTTCAGTCCCCGTGAAGTCCCATGCACTACTGAGCACAAGCCATTCATTTGAATAGGGCGCCATCTTGGATCACTGGGGCTTGGTTGGAATGCGGTTCACCAGCGTTTTGCAGGCAAGAAAAAACTGCTGATTGCTAGCTTGACACGCTGTGGGAGGGGGCCATTGATGCGACTATGACGGATGCCTCACAGGTAGAAACTAGCATCTTTTATACAAACTAGTACAATCCATCTTTTCCTTGTTTTAATGTTTAATTGTACACTGTCCCTGTTCAAATAAAGTAAATACCATAAAGGGGCAGAGTGCAGATCCATTTGACAGGACGGAATACAGATGCATGGACTGTATAACTTCATTATTGTGTTTCAAATGTTTTAAAGGAGCAATATGTAATATTTGCATGTCAAGTCATCATTAAATGACCCGAATATTTCAAAAGGCATTAATAAATCATGTTCTTTTCAAACACATCTTTAACTGATAACAGTAGTTCATCCGAGATATTTGATTTTCAAAATTAGTTTTACGACCCGTAAAAGTTGTTATTGTTTTCATTTTGATGTCCTACCCTCCGCCGTTTCGCCAATCAGGAAGTGTCATGTAAGTCCTGATCGAGTTGCCAGAACCCCGCGCGGCTCATTAATCTCAGTGGTAAAATAACATGTGGCGCAGAACTAAAAAAGGTCTTGTTATGACTCTCAAATCATTAATGACAAAACAAAGACTAAAACGAGGATTTATATCGGGATGCCTTTGAACAATTGAGACAGCTGATAAAAGTTCACGTGTGATGCAGAATTTTCTAGTTTGAATCCGTTCTTCACAGCGTCTTTATTCGTGTGAACCGGTGGTATAGAGGTCTAAACTGTGCGCTTACGATGCAGGAACCCGGGTTCGATCCCGGGCTATGTCTTTTTGTATTCATTGCATGTTATCACATTCTATGACAGATTGCTCTAAAAACGGTAAAAGATGAAGGTCAAGACGTTTTTTGCAGATTATAGCTTAATTGTAAAAATAATCATTTAAGACCACATGTACCCCAATTAAAATAATGTTAGTCTCTTTTTGATGTGGGACTTTTACATGTTTGTCTAAAAAATAGGGAATAAATAAAATTGAAAGGTGATATCCTCTTGAGCAAACCCTGATGTTGATACACTGAAGAAATACGTTCCAACATCCATTCTTCCCACTCCTATTTTGGACATCAATTGCTTATTTATTTTGCATAAACTATGTATAATTACATTGCTTTTATTTTGTTTTTGTTTTTTATCTCAAATGTCCAAATAATAATAATAAAAAAACATGAATCAAAACATTCATTCAGCATTAGCACGGCTGTCATGGCAATGTGAATGGAGACGGACAAACAACTGATAAAATAATTCCCTGTGTTTGCTGCTGGATTTGGTGTGAATCTGGCAACCTGAGTCAGGGAGAGTGGGAGAGGACTACAAAATATTGACTGTGACTGCAGTACCACTTTTGGCCAGATTTTTACATATTGTTCCTTTAAATATGTCATAATGATATATATATATATATATATATATACACACACTGCAAAATGCTCTCATTCATATTCCACATTAACATTCTGTCCCACAGTCCTGAGCGGAGGATGCAGGTCTGGAATGTCACCTTACATTTGACCCTTGCTGAACGAACATCTGTGTCCACTGAACACGTCAAAACAAACCTGTAAGCGCTCGCAGTTTTACACAACACGCCACATAGTCGTCAAAAAAGATCCGGCCGTTTTTGCTGTAGCGTTTGATGATGCCATTCAAGCCCTGAGGACTGAGGCGGTACCCTGACGAAGAGGAAGAGCCTTGTTAATGATTTAAGTGTAGCATCATGAGGTTTACGTTAAACTAATAGCATCTAATCATGTCACAAATGAAACATTTTCATTTGTCTGAAGTGCAGCTTTCCATTAAGAGTCCATTAAGTAAAAGTAAAAGTAAGTAAAGTCTATGGTGCGTCCACAGTTGGTCTGATGTCAGACTCACCCATGGTGGTAATGGCCTGAGACATCTCATGAGGCTCCACGGTCCCGCTGCGGTCCCGGTCAAACATCACAAAGTTCTGCTTCCAGCCGTTCATGGCGGTCAGCAGCTCTTTGAACTCATTGAAGCCCATTTTACCTGTCAAGTCTCTCTGTGACGTCTGTGTTAAAGCATAAACACTGCACGCATGGTTCATGACAACAGATCGTGTGATGTCACCAAGAAGGCAGCTGCACCACCCCTGTTCCTCAGCACCACACCTACAGCTGAGTCACAGAACCACACACAGTACTGCCTTTGACCCCAGAAGATCAACAAGGATACATCCAACATGGCGATCATGATGCGACAGGTCTCTAGGCTGAAGGCTGGAAGAAAAGCAGATTTTTGTTTATAAATGATGCCAAACATTATACAGATGCTTTATTCCCTACAAATGAAACATACGAGAGTAACTTCCTGTGAAATTGGCTTGAGTCAGACACCTCTGGAGCTCCTCTGCATCCACCTCCCCGTCCTGCGCACAGAGAACCATCATCACACTGTCTAACAATCCAAAACCATCATCGCACACCAGCAGACCTCGTACCTGCCCCGCGATGGAAGTGAAGTATCCCCACATGGGATCATTGGCAGCTGGAGCAGCACCAAAGCCAGGAATACCTCCACCGTACGCAGCATAACCTCCCTGAGGGGCCCCTCCCATTGGTGTTCCCATCGGCCCACCCATTTGCCCGGGCATATGGCCTCCCATGTGTCCGCCCATTGGACCTCCCATTGGACCTCCCATTGGACCGCCCATCGGACCCCCCATGGGATGGCCGCCCATGTGAGCACCTGGCATCCCCTGAGCTGGCATCCCGGGCATTGGGGCCCCATACTGAAACAAGAGAAGAGACGATGTCACATCTGTTGGATATTTGTTACACACAGTTTAATACTAAAAAGGAAGAACTTAATAATAAAATACAAATAACTCCCGTCTCTTGTGGGAACTATAATATTGTGAAGATATAATTCTGGGCATTCTGATGCCCTGATCTCTGACATGTTCTAACAGAATAATGCTTGATCACAGACAGCTCTGATCAGTAGAAAACCCCCGGAAGCAGTGCTATCAGAGCTACAGGCATAGATCCATAACATTAAAGCTAAAGACTAAAGGGCGGAATTGAGGATGTTCACCCTTGATCAGATTTACAAACCCGGTGAGATTCAGACACCACAGGATTAATTCACTTTGAAAAATACAGATTTAGATGTTTCCCACGTTCTGTGGCTCTTATATAAGGAGTAATCTATCTAAGGCCGTGTACAGCTGTTTGTGGAAAGTCTCACCCCTCCGTATCCTGGATATGCCATCGGAACAGTCCAATAAGGAGCAGAAAGATCAAATACAGATGAATAATAAACTAACGCCGAGGACTCGCTGCTTTGATAGTTGTAGTAACTTCCGATAAGTGCGGATGGTCACTACATCACATCCGAGCTGCTGTCGGAAGTCTGCAGAGTGACAGCAGGCAGGACCAATCACAATGCGAAAAAACGAAGACCCATGTCCAGCCTTGTAGCCAATCAGAATGATGCTTAAATAAAAGCCCTGACCACGCGAAAACGAGAATTATTCTCGTTCATGTGATCATCAAAGTGATCACGGATGAACATGAGTTCTGCTCTGGTTCTGCTCTGGTTCTTCTGTGTTACAGACTTAATGTCAAAGGTTTTAGTTGACGCGTGTGCGCCGCTAGGTGGTGCTGTTTGTCATGAAATGAGAGGCCCCTGAGGTAACGCAACAGTGAGTACAGTAGTAACATGGATATAGAGTAGTAACCTGTCGGGAGTACGTTACTGTAATTAGATTACTTTAACCAGTAGTATTACATTACTTTAGATTACTAGATAGCAGTTACTTTCAAAATATGCAGGTGTTCGATGTATTAATACTTCCAAACTATCTCACAGTTTAGACAGAATAACTCTAAGCTTTTACATATGATCATAGGTACAGGGAAGCCCACAGACAGCAGCAGTGTTGTTTCAGTCAGTGCCATAACTCACTGGTGCTTTACCGATACTTTTCAGACGCTTTTGATAAAAACACATATTATACAAACTAATACAATTTATTAAGGCTGTGACGAAATTACGATCTATGTGTAAGAAAATAAACTGAATCTCTCTAAGAACCCTTGCAGTTGTTTAGGAACTCATTTACTCTCATTATAAATGGTAACACTGCAGAGAAGAGAAGCTCATTTTAAATGGTATAACTTTAAAGAACAGTGTGAACCCTGTGGGCACCTGAGACACTGAGAATGAATATTCATTATTTCTCTTTCACATGTCACTAATAATGAGGGTCATGGACATGCACGATGTCCGGACAGAATTAGGGGTGGGCGATATGGGAAAAAATAAAAATCTCGAAGGTTTTTTCCCAACTCCCGAAAACAAAAAATTAGATTTTTGTGTTTTATCCCTTTACACAAAAATATATGCAATGTTTTGCTTGCCAGGGCATTTACAGACAGTGAGGATCAAACAGCAGCTTCTGATTTGTAAAATGCTTCACACAACTTTGCAAAACATGCACAAAGATATATTAACATTAAGAATAAAAAAATCAATCCACATTTACTTACATTTATTAACAATGAATAAAGCCCCAGGAAGTGACTCCACGCGCAGATCATGTGACTAGATCTTCTGCAGTGATTGGCTTTTCAGGCACTCATTTGACCAATGAGCATCGCCCAGTATCAATACTCAACAATAATGTATTTTTGTTTTGTTCTACACTAGATGTTTACTGTATATCTGCTCTAATTATAATATTTATTGGAGATATGTAACAAAAATAAACAAATAGACGATAACGGAAAAAGCATATCTTCAAAGTCACTTTTCCGATATTATTTTTCTATGATATATATATATCGCCCACCCCTGGACAGAAACATGTCAAATTCCTATGTATTTTTTTGAAAATTTTTAATTACTTGGAGTTCTCACTGATTCATCTGAGTTTGAGCGTAACCCAAATAAGAAAGTCATCTTTACTTTTGCAGCAAAAAATGCAGATTGACAAAAGTTTGATGGTTATGACTATATTTTATCAACCGACATAAGAAAAGAAAAAAGAAAATAGAGCATGGACGTGAAAGATACAAGATTTTAGTCCATAATCAGAGAGATCTTTGTTTAGAGTCAAGAACGCAGAGAGGAAGTGATGACATCTGAGGATATTTCCTGCAGGATACACACTTCCATGCTACAGTTTGAGGCCATATGAGGAAAAATGATACATTACATAGACTATATTCAAAAATACTTGCAGTAATACTTGTATACACTTGGATTTGTTCCAACTTTTCTCATGATTTTATTATTTTGACAACTATCCTGCATTAGGGAAGACGTCCACTGTCTATTTGTTTGCTGAGGATGTCCGGAGTGCACAATATCACGTCTCTTCGCCATAAAGAGTGAGCGAGGGCTGTATTTGTCCAGCTTTTAACAGGCTTTTAGCATGCAGTGTCACCGCTGACCACTTAACGTGTGTGTGTGAACAGGCAGGCGGAGAGGGACTAAAATAGATCAGACTCATCTTCCTCCAAACTATTCTGAACAGATGCACATTGGCCCCGAACATATGAAACTGTTGTTCTCTCTCTGACGGAGCCTGGTGTGTGAAAGGCACATTTCTCACACCAGGGGGTCATATAACTGTCTATGGTCATAACGTGTCAATACTTGTAACATTTATGACATTTCGATAGCGCTCTAAAAGCCCGTGAATATTGTGAATGGAAACGAATTAGCAGCTACAGCATGCAGGCAACATGAGAGAACAAGCAAATCGCACACACAAGGAGTTCACCAACTCTACAAGTAGCTGCTATGTTTCTTGCTTCGATATCAATATAATATCTATCTATATCTATTTGAGCCATAAAATCTATCTATATATATTTGAGCCAACTGTGGAATGCTCTTCCCACTGACCTTAAACTACAAACAGACTTAAACTGTTGTGTCCATATCAAATAAATAAATAAAATAAAAAAATATATAGTGTAAAGCTAACCTGGCCTTATCCATCCGTACACTCCGCTCAATCATCATTTCACTGCATGTAACGTCTGGGTCTGGTTCATGTTAGCAAATACAATTGGTTGAATATCGACCGACCAATCAGAGAGCGTGGGAGGCGGGTGTTAGCTGTGGGTGACGTCAAGAGTTTGCGTCGAACGGGAAGGTCGTAGTTTGGCAATGGCGAAAGTAATCCGGTCTGGTTCTATCAAGAAACTGAAGCCGGAGCAAGAGGAATGTTTAGCAAATGTAATCGCTGGAAAAAATTGTGGCGCTACTCCCCACGGGCTCCGTTAGCGGCAAAGGAGATTGCTGGGCTAAATGCTAACAAATCACTCGGGCGCACTACATACGTCACGGTAAACTCAGATCCAATCGTTTCAATCTGCAAAAGGAGTTAACCCCTCCCACCTGTTCACGGAGTCAATGGAACGCCTCCAGACCTTAGTACGAAATTAAATTTGTGCTATGGTGTGGTGCGACCAGGCTAGTGTAAAGCAGGTGTCTCCAGCCTTTGTCACCCAGAGAGCTACTTTCCCGGGACGATGAATGCAGAGAGCTACTTCTTTAAACGGCCCTGAGAAAAATGTGGTGACATATTGGTGTGAAGTCTGATTTTGGGTACAGGCATTATTTATAGTCGTATATTTGTTACTGACGCACAAATAAAAGTGCATTTACAGAATACATAAATAATAATAATATAATCTGATATATGAAGTATATTATTTGATTTGTTCATTTCTAAATCCTTTGGCGAGCTACTGGTTCAACTCTGTAGCTATAATTGCTCTTGGGTCAGAGGTATTTACACATATTGTTCTTAAGCAGCAGAGAATAAACAATAGTAATAACGTCAGCAGGTACAGCAGGGAAAGTAGACCTGTAGATGACAGAAATAACAGATAAAGTGACAATAAGTGTCTTGTGAATTTCTATAAGTGACACTTGTAAAGACCCTGCAGTTCTCGTTGTACAGTCTGACAGCAGAAGGGAGAAAGAACCTGCAAGACCTCTCCTCCACACAGCGAGGTGAATAAGTCTGTCACTGAAGCTGCTCTCTGAGGCTGTCTTGTCTTGCCTAAAGTGGCATTCAGTGGAGTTGCAGTATTGCACATGATTACAGTTTTGACTAAATACAGATGAATGACATGTTCAGGCTCAGCAGTTCTCATGGAGCAGTCTTCCTGAGATTGTGAGACAGGCTTCTTTTTCAGTTGGTAGCAGTTATAGCTCTCTCGCTTCCCAGTAAGAAGTTCCTGGGTTTGAAGGTCCATGGATTGAATTCTGTTCGGAACAGGGGCATTCTGAGTGAAGTTTGCTTGTTCTCCCTGTGTCTGCGTCGCTTTCCTCTAGGTCAAGGATCTCCAACCTGTGGCCCAGGAGCTACCAGTAGCTCGCCAGCCTCTTTCAGGTAGCTCGCCAAAGGATTTAGAATTTAGCAAATGATCTTGAATTAATACTTTTTAAGCCATTACATATGTACTATAAGTATTGGGTTATACAGCATTATGGTATATGTATGTGTTCTCCATGTTTTGTCGTAATTATTAGATAGATTTTTAATACGACTGAAAAAAGGAGTAGCTCTCTGTCTCATTGTGTAATAGTAGCTCTTCGATTGAAAAAGGTTGGAGACCCCTGCTCTAGGTGCTACCACTAACACGAGCTCCAGTAATCCTTATCAAGCCAAGCATAAACATCTGCTTTCAATGTCTAAGAGATCGTTTAACGTTTCAAGAGATCCTTTGTTCCTTCAGCTGTCAGACTGTACAACAAACCTGGATGAGCCTTCTGCTGCTGGACACCTGAACTATCTATCTATCTATCTATCTATCTATCTATCTAATTCTCGAATATGGATGAATGTACAATGTTCAACACAGGTTAAAAACTGTTCTGTTTAGCTGTGAACAACTGAAGGACTGTATCTTTTGAATGTATACTTTGATTATTTATGTATTTGTAACTTGTTTTCTTAAGTACTTTGCCTTGAGTATAAACTGTACTCTGCAAATACACTTAATCATTAAAATTATAATTTGTATTGCCATTCTTCCGGTTTTTTTTATTAAGTTTTGTATTTTTAGTTTCCCTTGTAAGTATTTTATCGCCTTTCACAAACCAGAGTCACAAAACACTTTACAGTTGTTGTACACGAATTGTGCAAATTAAGTTACATGATGATTGATAACTAACGTATTTAAGCATTGTACAAGCTTTCTTTTCTGCAAATATATTATTATTAACATATTTGATTAGCATGACCGTAGGCCTATAGTCCGTGTGCTTATGAAGCATTGGTCCGGGATCCTCATGCACCCAGCACGCGCACACGCACACACACACAAACACACACACGCATCCACACTTACACACACACACACACACACTTCCGTAGATCTGACAGCTCCTTTCTGCGCTAAAAAGTCTGCGAACTTTAGTCTGTGTGCGTCGCGCTTTTATTGTGCCACCTTTGACACTTGAGATAATATTTAACTTAAACCCGGGATCAGCATAACTATAGTCCTCCACAGTTGTGACTTGGGACGTGCGCGGATCGCCTCCCCTCGCTCGTCAGGCGCGATGGTTCGTTTCTCACGTTTCTATAATGATGCCCGTGACAGAAAGCGCTGTTTGTGAACGAGATTTGACTTTCCCCAGGTTTCCATCGGTAAGATTTTGCTCGGAGTCTGTGCAGTGGCAGTAGTTGTCACCTTGATTGCTGTACCCACTGCTATCTTTCTGAACGGTAAGCCATACGCGCGTTCGATTGTCCGACTCTATTACGCACGGTCCATGGTAATTACGCACGCATGAATGGGGGCCCCGCTTTGAGAAAGGAGGGGTGAGGCAGCAAGCTTGTGGAGAAATATTTGTAATTGTTTTATTTTTGCGTCACCGTCTATAGTTAGGCAACCTGTCAAGTTATTGTCAGTGAGTTTTTATATGACACAGTGACGTAAAGATTCTTCCACTTGTCATGATGATGATGGTGTTATCTGCATGCTTTATGACCGTGATGAGCTTGTAACAACCGGGTTCTCACAGTGGAATATTTCACTTGTTTTTATCCCTCTCAGACAAAGGTGAAGGTGAAGACAGGTCCTTTACTTTGGAAGATGTATTCAACAGTTCTCTCAAACCCAAGTCCTATAACCTGAGGTGGATCTCAGGTCTGCACCAACCATCATATCATAAGTTTCTCATTATAATCGTATGTGTAAATTTATTCTCTCTTGAGTAGATTCTGAATATCTCCACAAATCCAACGGCTCGGTGTACCTGCACAACCCCAGCACTTCTGATATCCAGCTGCTTCTGAGCAAGGAGACATTTGTGAGCAGCCTCCCAACACGACCACCAGTTTTTGCGGAACATCTCACTAAGAACTTGTTTACGTTTGTTTGAATTCAGGAAGAAATAGCGGCTTATGATTACATGTTGTCGGCCGATCGCAAATATGTGGCATTCATGAGCAACTACGTAAAGGTACATCTCTGTGTAAATGCAGCATCCCAAGTTTCTTCATTGATAATACGTTGGTTTGTGTTTATAGTTGTGGAGACACTCATTCACCGCATCGTATTCTCTCTATGACATTGCACTGAAGTAAGCCCACAAGAGTCCAAATTAACCCATAACTTCTCATTTAACTGCATCCAATGTCTCCTTTGTGTCTCCTCAGAAAGATCGTGTCCAAACTCGACCAGGTCCAGTTCTTTTCCTTTTCTTCCGAAGGACACAAAGTGGTACGTCTCACGTCAAGAGTAATAAGTTATAGATTTGAAGTGTGTTTCTATAGTCTCTGGCCTCTTCAAATGTGAGGGTTTTTTGTTGAAATCCGCAGGCCTATGTGTTGAAGAATGATGTGTACATAAAGACCAGCCCCGAGTCCGGGCCAGAGCGTGTCACGTATAATGGAAAAGAAAACGAGATTTTCAACGGCATTCCAGACTGGGTGTATGAAGGTAAGGATCTATGTAGAGAAGTAGGAACCGAATGACACGGCACTGAATCAGCTCGTTCGTCACCGCAACCGTCGCATCTGCTGGGAAACTGACTCAAAGCCCATGATTTACCACAAAATCTGTATTTGATCTTTCAGTTAAAGTATAACGGCCGCATGAGCTTATGTAACGGAACGGACGCAATCGAGAAAAACAAAAAGTTTCTCCGGTATAGTGGCAGGATGCTCCCTTTCGAGATTAGAGTCTACTGGGAGGAGCTCGGAGTACAGACACTGCTCCTCCACGTTGAGATGAGCTGGCTGAATGGACTATGGGCTTCTCTTTTGAATACCTCCATGGGAAGACCTAGGTTACATCTTAATCTTAAATTGTGTCCACGCCAAGGAGTTTGAAGAAGAAATTCACATCATCAAAATCAGTCTAGTGCAATTCCGCCGGGATATTTTGCATCCAAATTCAAAAGTGCGAACAATAAGTACGGTTTGATTTGTTTCAGAGGAGATGTTCTCGTCCTCTCAGGGTCTGTGGTGGTCTCCGGGGGGAAAGTTTGTGGCCTTCGCTCATTTCAACGATTCGCTGGTGCCTCACATCGACTACACCTGGTTTGGAGATGAACAGTATCCCAGCACCGTTTCCATTCCTTATCCAAAAGTAAGACGTTCTTTGACACCGAGGGCAGCAGCAGAGTTCTCTTTAAAGAAAACACCTTAACACTATAGAACGGCATGGTGGCTGAGCGGGAGGCACTCTCGATAGTCCTGGAATCCTCGAATCCCGATCGGAACAGGGCCTTTCTGAGTGGGGTTTGTATGTTATCCCCATTCCCCCCGTGTGCGTAGGTTTTTCTCCGTGTGCTCCGGTCTCTATGTGTGAGTGAGTGACAAATGCCCACAGTTGTAAAGCGCTTTGTGACTCTGTCTGTGAAGGGCGCTAAATAAACATTACTTACTTAAATTAAAACTCCCAGAGCAGTCAATTCGACGGCTTTTAGTTTTGGAAGTGTAAATACTTGGCTTATCTTTTTCTTTCACTGAAATGTGAGTAGTTCTACATTTCACTTTTAAAAGCCGTCATTTTGACTGCTCAAAAATGCAAAATTCAAACGGACATTTTCTTTAAGATGCTGCTTCTGGGCTGGTCCTGGTTCAGTTTTATTTTTTTCTCCACCAGGGAAAAGCAAGTGCTAGTTAGTTACCATAGCAACACACTGTTAACTGCCAGTTGTTAGCATTAGCCTTTAGCCTTTAGCATTAGCCTTTCATCAAACTGTTTTGGCTGTATTTCAAGTGACTGTTTGTTCAGCAGTTTTAGCGTGCATTAAAAGGGAGTTAAAAACCTCATGATACCCCTTCTGGTAGTTTCATAACCAGAATTTTTATTATTGTCATTGTGAGTAACAGGAAGTCATAGAATTAAAGAAAATTTAAAAAATCAACATAATCAACATGACATTTCTCATAATTATTACTATATACAAGTGCACTGTCCTAGTGTTTACTGAAGCATTTCCAGCTAGCTACGTTTATTGTATATTATGTGTGCTCTAACATTAAACTTCCCCACTGTGGGACAAATCAAGGTTCTCTGATCTTATCTCAGAGTCACAAAAGTGTGGATTGTGTTACAGGCAGGTGCCACCAACCCCATTGTGCAGCTCTTTGTCGTCGCGGCCAACAACGTCACTCAAATCAGTGAAGTGGTCGTGCCGGCTGCGTACGCTTCCAGGTATTTAAAGGTGATTTTGAACCCCGTCCCTTTAAGAAGACGATGGTGGTCAGTGATTCCGTGCTTCTGACTCTTTAGTGAACATTACCTGGCCACTGTCACTTGGGCCTCTGATGAGCGCATCGCAGTTCAATGGCAAAAGAGAGTCCAGTCCTTCGTCATTCTGCAGATCTACAACCTGACCGGCAGCCGCTGGGAGCCTTTCGAGGTAAGTGAGAGGAAAGTAAGGAAGTACGAAGAAGAAAGATGAGTTCTTTTTAACAGGGTTAGTGAAGAGTAATGAGAAGTAAGTCAAAATATTCTCAAATTTAGCAAAATGTATCTCAATCTTTTTGACTGCCTTAAAAATGGGATTTCTTAAGATCTCCCTTGGAATTAGAAAATAGAGCAACAGTTCTTGAAAAAAAAAATGGACTAAATGGATTTGTAACCCTTTTGGCGCCAGCGTTTTTTGTTTTTGAGAAAAGGATTGTTAAGAAAAGACAAAAGGTGACGCCCTGTAACTAAACAAGAGATTATGTACTACAATAATCAATCATGGAAACACAAAATTCTGTAAAAAAAATTTAAAAAATTTAGAGACGACCGTGGCATGCAAGGTCGCTGTATAGAAAGTGTTCTGGATTAAGAGGCCTGTGTAGCAATTTGGCTACTTTGGCGCTTAAAAGGTTATAAATATACCCATTTACTACCTCATATTCTATCACTTTTGCTGTGTATGCGTTGTCTTGTCTCTGGTTTTGTGTTGCCTTGTGTGTGAACTCTGCTACACAACTAAACATTTGTATACATTGGTAACCACAATCAATCAACCATTATTTTTCTTTTCCAACGCAGGGTAGCTCAAAGTGGTCCACGGACCCTTGCCCCATCAGGCATAAATCCTCACATAAACAATGCGTATTAAAATAACCACATGGCGTTAGAACGAACAGAGATCAAAGCAGTTGTGTGCACATGAAGCGGGAGTTGCCGTTTATTGCAGGAGAAATGAAGCGAAGGACAAATAAACGTATCAGCTCTGAAAATTTAGATTGATTTTTCTTCTTTCTCTTTTTCTCACATCGTGCATGACGCAATTTAGTGATAGCATTGTTAGTCCCCGTCGGCAGATAAGATGGAACTGCCTTTTTAATCACAGCCTGGGAAACAGAATCAGAAAGTCATGTGTGTAATATATATGTAAACTATATAAAGTTCTAAAATATGAGGTGATAAATGCTTTTATTCTATGACTTGGATCGTTCGCGCGCTCTGATTGGCTGATTTGCGGTCTGATATTTTCCCATATCGGACCGTTACCATGACGATCGGTCCGCAGCGCGTATCAGATTTGATATCTTTCCTTGGTAAAAAAATAAAATAATGACGACGTCTGGGAGCGTTCTCAGTGAATTCTATCATCAGGACGAGTTGGAAGAGCCAGAGGAAGTAATAACAGCAAATAACGGCCAAAACACAACTCCTAACAGTCAAGAAGAGATTGACAACTTCGTTACAGACCAGAAAGGTAAAAACACGATTAAGAAAACCAAGTGGGACATGAATATACTTCACAAATATCTAAAAAGCATTGGTGAAGACACAGACTGAGAACTTACAGCGGGCGCCTCAGTCATCTGATAAGTTCTCCATGTCACAGTTTGACAGTTTGGTCAAATGTGTTTTTAGTTGAAACCGATCAATATTTGCACAAATTAAAAATAGTCATATAATAAAACTTGTATTAACCTCGCTTGCTCGGTCTGTACAAAAAGATATTTCTCTGTACAGACCTCGCGCTCGGTTAATAAGCTGTTAGTATCGAGTGATTTTGATTTTACTTGAGTACATTCTGACTGTGTAAAAAAACAAGATTGATCAACGGGACACAGCCATTCCGTAATATTTCTAGAACTGTTGCTTTATCATACATTTCTTGTATCTTTTCCTTTTCGCTTATCAATTTAGCATGATTTTAGCACTTTTTTGACTTTTTGCAGTGTATGTGTAATATATGTGCATGTATATCTGTATATTTGTGATGGTAAAGTAATATCTGTCTCTCTTCTCTCTTTCCTCAGCACCTGGAGATCAGCAGCTCCTCGGGCTGGGTCGGCCGGGTAGAGTATGCCTTATGTCGGGCTTTCATGTTGGGATATCAGTTTTTCTGAAATGCATCCTGTCTGCAGTTTTCTCCCTCAGAGCCCGTCTTTGCTGCCGACAAGAAGAGCTACTACCTGATCATGAGCGACAAGCAAAAGTACAAGCACATCCATCGCGTTACGGGGGTAAGACCGCTCCATAGTATTCTGTATTAGCTTCTGTGTGCATTTTGAACCGGGCCTGGGGGTGGGTTTGGCCTGTCGTGGTCCCATATATACAGTACACAAGATAAAAATCATTTGTTCCCACACAGAGCGTTGTTGAACCAATCACTTCGGGCAAATGGGAGGTCGTCAGTATTTTGTTGGTCACGGAGGATAGTGTGTAAGTGTGTAACATCATGAGATTGTGTGTTTGAATGGAAAAAGCAACTTCTCAAAGCGATCTTCTCGACAGATACTACACCAGTAATGAGTACGAGGGCAAGCCCGGAGGCAGGAACGTCTACAGATACTCGTATGGACTCATTCAGACTTTCATTTCAGTTGGCATTCTGTGTGTGTGTGTGTGTGTGTGTGTGTGTGTGTGTGTGTGTCCGGACAGTGTGTGTCTCTGTGTGTGTGTGTATCTATATCGTTTACCCAAAAAGTAAAGTTAACAAACACCAAAGTGGAAAAAACGTCTTGAAAAATAAGAATTAAATACATACAGTATATATTTTTTTCTTGATTTAAGAAGTATTTTTTTGTTGTTGTATTCTACTTAAAATGAGAAAACAATATTAGCCCCAAATGACTTGATTCTAGTATAAAAAAAAATGTATTTATTTATTAAACACAAACTTATTTTATCTAAAAAACAAGAAAAGTGTTCTGGAAATAAGAAAAAATACTTTAAACGAGCATAAAAACTCACTGCTCAGACTTTTTCCTCTAACAAGAGTATGAAGTATCAGAAAACTATGTAAAATAATCATATATGTTCATTCAAGCAAAAAAAAAAACTTTAAAAAAATAGCATCATTTATGTTATTTTTAGTAGATAAATTTAAGATTTTACTTTTTTTAGTGTAGATGAGGAGCAGATGTTTGGAAAAGTCTGGATGAGAGTGAAAACAATCAAAAGAAAATGATAATTTAAGGTAATTTACGGTACTGAGGAAATGTTTTTACCTTGAAATTTCCTCAAATAAAGAATCTCTTAATCTCAATCTTGAAACAAATTGACCCAAATTGTTATTATTCCATTTTGCTGGTTGCTGAAATGGACGTACACTTGGTTCTTTAGATTGTAATCCCGTTTTATTTAGTGTTATTTAGTGTTATTAAGTGTTATTAAATGTTATTAGGTGTTTAATTTCAGCAAAAACCCTTTCTCTCTCGGGCGGCACGGTTGCTGAGTGGTTCCAATCCCGGTCGGAACAGGGCCTTTCTGAGTGGAGTTTGCATGTTCTTCCTGTGTCTGCTCCGGTTTCCTCCAGGTGCTCCGGTTTCCCCTACCACTAAAAACATGCACAATAGGTCTGAATGTAAATGAGAGAGTGAATGGATGGTGTTGGAGCTGATGGTCCAGTGTGTTCTGGACTCGCTTCTGTCATCACCGTGTGTGGAAGGATTGGAACAATATCTGACTCTGAACATTGTAAAGTGCTTTGGGTCTGTACCTTGGTCTGTAACATGCGCTATATAAATAAACATTACTTACTTACTCTCATTTGTTTATGCTTTGTAGACTATTGTACACTGCAAAACATGATGAAAAAAAGTCAAAAATTGTATCTTGATCGTTCTATAGTTTTAAAAAGATGGCTTTGTCCCATTGGCAAATCAGTCAGAATGTACTCAAAACACTATATTTTTCACTTTTTGCAGTGTAGTCTGAAGATAATGACTGACACAAAGAATCAAACTAAAACCAACTCTTGTCTTATTCCACCAGTTGGAGTGGAAGCACCAACAGCACAGCGTGTCTGACCTGCGGACCCGACTGTCTGTATAACTCCGCCTACATGAGCCCAAACGCCTCCTTCTACAGGCTGAGCTGCAACGGTTCGTTTTCATGCTGTGGTTTTCCCAGTGGGTGGCCAAAATGACATGCGCTGACATGCTGCAATAACACCCCGGGCCTGTGGGGGTGGACCCGGAATAAGAATTAGCCAATGCTAACATATAGCATCTTCTTACCTCTGGAAAACGTCTTTACAGGATGGACCAAAAGTTGTCTCTTGGTCCAAAGTTCCGTTCCACATGTGTGTCAATGCTGAGGGAGGGTTCTGGACCAGTCTAGTTTAGTCGCTGTGAATTTTAGAAGTCACTCGTTTAAATGAATGGAGCTTGTGCCGGCTGACACATGCACAGATGCGTTTTTTTTCACATTTTCCAGCCCCCGCGGCCATTTTGAATCACTCCATGAGAGCCCAATTTTTTGGCCCTTTAGTTAGAACGGCGGAGATAGGCGTGACTACGACCGTTAATATATACAGTCTATGGTTTTTCCAGTTTTCCCACATTTGTTTGACTTGCATTAACGCACTTTTGACGCAGGTCCTGGAATCCCACGGCATTCTCTTATGTCAAAAGAAGGGAAAGGTATGCCACGGTGTTGAATTAATGACATAATCTTGCTGTGCTGGTTGTTCTAAAAAGTTAAGTACGTTTTTGATTGTGTAGAGTGGCCCTTGGAGGATAATGCAGAATTTGCTAATCAGATTTCTACTATTCGAATGCCCACTGTGCGTCGAGGAACTATAAAGATTGATGGATTCGGTGAGTGATAAACTGGATTTGAAATGAACCAGAACTGAAGTGTTTTGTGTGCTACAGACTTATGGTACCAGATGTTGCTGCCTCCGGGGTTCGATGAGTCCAAGAAGTATCCTCTCCTCATTGATGTGTAAGAAATGTGCATTTAAGTCTCTACCAAGTCTATCTCTGTGACGCTATGTTTAAATTGGGTTTTTTGTCATGTGGCTCAATAAACCACTCCAATCATATAATAATTATCACATCTCCTGGTGTTATGGTCTGCATTGGTTTGTTGAGCATACAGAGACACTTTATCATAATCATAAAAAGATAAACAGCTGTTAGAATCATAAATGCCATATCTATCACATGAAGGAGATTATATAAAACTCTATTTCAAACTGAAAATTGAGAATATTTATTGGTATGATTTTTTTGATGCAAACACACTGCAAAAAGTGATGAAAAATAAGTCAAAATTGGGATAAATTGAGCACATTTTGACTGCCTTAAAACAAGATTTGCAAATGGGACAAGCAAAATGATCTTGTTTCAATTATTTACACACAAAATGTCTCTCCAGAAAAAAAAAAAAAAAAGTTGTTGAATTAAGACTAAATGGCAAATCTAGTTTTAAGATATTGACTTTAAGAGTTAGACAATAAATAGTCTTAAATACTAAATCTAAAAAAACACTTATTTATTTCCTCATATTGTTTTATGTTTTGCAGTATATATATTGATCTGTAAATCTGATGTAGTTTAATCATTCGTTAGCTTATGAAAATGGCATTGGTTATTTCTACCAACGCTTCTTGTTCTGTCCTTATCAAATAAACGTCACAAACAGACCGTACCCTCGATCCAATATCCTGTGTCTTCCCTGCAGGTATGCGGGCCCATGCAGTCAGAAAGTGGACTACCTCTACAGAGTCAACTGGGCCACCTACTTGGCGAGCACAGAACAAATGATTGTGGCCAGCTTCGACGGGAGAGGAAGCGGTTACCAAGGCGACGAGATAATGCACAAACTCTATCAACGACTGGGAACCTATGAGGTGGAAGATCAGATAACTGCGGCCAAGTAAGGAAACACGGCCGGAGAATTTCCAGGAAACTCGACCAAATCTGAATTCCTGTTGTTTCTGTCGGAGGAAACAGTGGCTGATTACCGCTCTGAAGTCACATCAACTAACAATGTTGTGCGTTTTAGGGAATTTATCAAAATGGGGTTCATTGACAAGGGCCGAGTGTCTATTTGGGGATGGGTAAGTAAGGACTCAATCTGCATTTTTGATTAATGTAGCATCCTGTGTATTGTGATTAAGTTTATTTTGTCCATTACTTTAAGTCGTAAATCTGAATGTACCTTAGACTGCAAAAAATTTATGAAAAAGAAGTAAAAAAATTGCTTACATTTGCTCAAAATGTATCTAATTTATGAATGACTTAAAATGCCAATGGGAACAGTTTTTGTCCCGATGGCAAATCTTGTTTTAAGAAAATTAAGAAAAAAAACACATAGATTCAAGCAATTATGACCTCATATTGTATCATTTTTTGCAGTGTTCAATTGTTTCTAGCTAATTACATTGTTAACCATTTTCTGATGACTATTAATTCACAAATTTATGAAACTTTATAATTTTTACATATTAAAAATCAATACATACCTTGTTCTCTTCATGAACTTGGCCTGAATCTTGTTGTTGTTACTTTTAAACTGTTTTTTCCTCTATAGACGTAGCTGGTTTTTTTTGGTTTTTTTTGGAACATCTTCTCAGTTACTTACTTCCTGTCTCAACCGGAAGTAAAAAAAAAAACAATGTACTATCAATAAGAAAAGTTCTAATTGACCTTTTCATTTATAATAAACATATTTTAATGAATTGCAGTCCTACGGGGGATACGTGACTTCGATGGTGCTCGGAGCTGGCAGTGGAGTTTTTCAGTGTGGAATGGCTGTAGCTCCGGTCTCCAAATGGAAATACTACGGTAAACACAATATTATCCAATTCCCTTATCAATATTTGGAATTCTCGTGTGAATATTCTACATCCTTATTTCAGATTCTATATATACTGAGCGCTACATGAATCCTCCTACGCTGAACCAAGACGCATACGACGTAAGCTTTCTTTGGTCTAAAAGAAAACAGTACGGGTAAAAACAAGGAGCTAACTTTCTTGAATCTATAGAATTCGACGGTCACGGCCAGAGCGAAGAACTTCCACAAGGTTAAATATCTGCTTGTTCACGGGACAGCTGACGGTAATGACTCCACACACGCCACTTTGTGATCTTAAAGGAGCTATACCCGTTTCTGCAGAGGTTTGAACGTTTAGCCCCGCCCCCAACTCGCTTACAGGCTTCTCATTTCCTCTACGCTCTCATCCCACGAAGCCATCTAGTTTTATTTGCAATCTATATGCTAACATTAGCATTAGCGCAACTTCTCGTAAGCTGTACAACAATCACTGATGGTACAAAAGCAACGCACTGCTAACAAAATATATAACTGAAAGATTACCGCTAGTTACGAATGTAGTCCGAGCGTAGATAGTCCGAGCGTAGATAGTCCGAGCGTAGATAGACAGAGCGTAGATAGTCCAAGTGTAGATAGTCCGAGCGTAGATAGTCCGAGCGTAGATAGACAGAGCGTAGATAGTCCGAGCGTAGATAGTCCAAGCGTAGATAGTCCGAGCGTAGATAGTCCGAGCGTAGATAGTCCGAGCGTAGATAGACAGAGCGTAGATAGTCCGAGCGTAGATAGACAGAGCGTAGATAGTCCGAGCGTAGATAGTCCGAGCGTAGATAGTCCGAGCGTAGATAGTCCGAGCGTAGATAGTCCAAGCGTAGATAGTCCGAGCGTAGACAGTCCGAGCGTAGACAGTCCGAGCGTAGTATAGTCCGAGCGTAGATAGTCCGAGCGTAGATAGTCCGAGCGTAGATAGTCCGAGCGTAGATAGTCCGAGCGTAGATAGTCCAAGCGTAGATAGTCCAAGCGTAGATAGTCCGAGCGTAGATAGACAGAGCGTAGATAGTCCGAGCGTAAAGTCAAGCGTAGATAGTCCGAGCGTAGCGTAGCGTAGATAGTCCGAGCGTAGATAGTCAGCGTAGATAGTCCGAGCGTAGATAGTCCGAGCGTAGATAGTCCGAGCGTAGATAGTCCAAGCGTAGATAGTCCGAGCGTAGATAGACCGAGCGTAGATAGTCCGAGCGTAGATAGTCCAGCGTAGATAGTCCGAGCGTAGTGACAGAGCGTAGATAGTCCGAGCGTAGATAGTCCGAGCGTAGACAGTCCGAGCGTAGATAGTCTGAGCGTAGATAGTCCGAGCGTAGATAGTCCGAGCGTAGATAGTCCGAGCGTAGATAGTCCGAGATAGTCCGAGCGTAGATAGTCCGAGCGTAGATGGTCCGAGCGTAGATAGTCCGAGCGTAGATAGTCCGAGCGTAGATAGTCCGAGCGTAGATAGTCCAAGCGTAGATAGTCCGAGCGTAGATAGTCCGAGCGTAGATAGTCCAAGCGTAGATAGTCCAAGCGTAGATAGTCCGAGCGTAGATAGTCCGAGCGTAGATAGTCCGAGCGTAGATAGTCCGAGCGTAGATAGTCCAAGCGTAGATAGTCCAAGCGTAGATAGTCCGAGCGTAGATAGTCCGAGCGTAGATAGTCCGAGCGTAGATAGTCCGAGCGTAGATAGTCCAAGCGTAGATAGTCCGAGCGTAGATAGTCCGAGCGTAGATAGTCCGAGCGTAGATAGTCCGAGCGTAGATAGTCCGAGCGTAGATAGTCCGAGCGTAGATAGTCCGAGCGTAGATAGTCCGAGCGTAGATAGTCCGAGCGTAGATAGTCTGAGCGTAGATAGTCCGAGCGTAGATAGTCCGAGCGTAGATAGTCCGAGCGTAGATAGTCCGAGATAGTCCGAGCGTAGATAGTCCGAGCGTAGATAGTCCGAGCGTAGATAGTCCGAGCGTAGATAGTCCGAGCGTAGATAGTCCGAGCGTAGATAGTCCGAGCGTAGATAGTCCGAGCGTAGATAGTCCGAGCGTAGATAGTCCGACCGTAGATAGTCCGAGCGCAGATAGTCCGAGCGTAGATAGTCTGAGCGTAGATAGTCTGAGCGTAGATAGTCTGAGCGTAGATAGTCTGAGCGTAGATAGTCCGAGCGTAGATAGTCCGAGCGTAGCGTAGATAGTCCGAGCGTAGATAGTCCGAGCGTAGATAGTCCGAGCGTAGATAGTCCGAGCGTAGATAGTCCGAGCGTAGATAGTCCGAGATAGTCCGAGCGTAGATAGTCCGAGCGTAGATAGTCCGAGATAGTCCGAGCGTAGATAGTCCGAGCGTAGATAGTCTGAGCGTAGATAGTCTGAGCGTAGATAGTCCGAGCGTAGATAGTCCGAGCGTAGATAGTCCGAGATAGTCCGAGCGTAGATAGTCCGAGCGTAGATAGTCCGAGCGTAGATAGTCCGAGGCGGTCCCGCAGGTCTCTCCCATAGAAAAGTCTCTCCAGAGGATACGATGTAAGCTAGCTATGTTCAGGGCTTGGTTTCTTCTTTGATCATGTTGTGGCTTTAGTTCCCTCTTCTCTTCCTCACTGTTGTGTGGTTTGGGCTGTTTTGCTGTGTCTGCAGTTACAGCCAGAGGAGTTATAGCCACTTATGCTAACATGCTACTGTGTTTAGCAGCGCTGTAGAGGCTAGAGGACGCAGCCTCGTTCTGTGATTGGAGGAGAGCGGGCGTCACGCTAAAGTCTCTACTCAGCAGTTTTTACGGCCTGAATTCATACACAGCTGAATCAATGAGCTCAAGTTTTCAATAAAATTACGGATTATAATACAACATGTATGTAGTAATAAGCATTTTTATGAACTCATTAATAAATAAAATCGGGTATAGCTTCTTTAATCTTCAATCTCGCTTTTGAATCTTAAAACTTAATTTAATTTGTGTTTCGTTTCTCTTTTTTTGCAGACAACGTGCACTTCCAGCAGGCTGCGGAGATCTCTGAGGCTTTAGTGGAGGAGCAGGTGGACTTCGAGGCCATGGTGAGTCGCAGAAGGACCAGTTATATTTGAGCCATCTGCGTCTACAAACAACAGTAACAGGAAATGAAACTCACGGATATCTTCCTCCTTTGTGTATGTTTTATAGTGGTACACAGACAAAGACCACGGCCTGGGAGGAGCGGCCAACCAACACGTCTACACACACATGAGCCACTTCTTACTCAGGTGTTTTGCATAGACTTGTTATAAATCATCTGTTATAAATTAAATTCTTTCACAACAACAATGTAACAACAGCAAAACCTTGTATTAGTCTATTTCTGTTTCATTTGTTATCTATGATTCCTTTGAATGACAACATTGTACAAAGATTGTTTGCTATTTTGTAAATTTTAATACATAATTTATTTCATTAAATTTGTGATGTTTCTCCCACTTGTTTTGTCTATGCAATGGTATGTTTTTATGAATTACTCAAATTAGTAATAACAATAATTTGACGGTAAGATAACAAGGGCATAGACCAGACCTGGGCAATTTAAATGAATGAGAATCACTATGAATAATGAATGAGTGCTACAATGGCACGTTATACCTCATCATAATTCATCAAAAACATTGACCTTTCGTCAATACTGAGCCTTTTTTTTTTTTTTTCGCATTAGTCCAATTTTGCTTCTATCCAAACAAGAAATGAAATGTTAAAAATACAATCCAAATGTATAAAGTCATATTTTTGTAAAAGATTAAAACAAGACCATAGATAAAAAAAAAAAAATCAGCTAACACACTTTACACAAAGAAAACATTGGATATTTTCAGGTTTCTTCCTCCTTCTCTTCTGTGAATATTTTATTTTATCACACACACTTTTTTAACTCATTGACGGAGCGCCACTTTTGATGATTTCACTGATTCTCAATACCCACAAAATATTACATGCTATGACTATGTGAAATATGAAACCAGATCATGAAAGATTGGACTGTCTACTTTCATAAGCAAAAATAAGTTTCTTTCTGTCTAATTTTGGCTGGCTGTAATCCCCAGTTGAATAGAGGAAAGTTTGACAGAAATGACCAGTCTCAGACAAATACGTCAATGGCTGTCAATGAGTTAACATTTAGTTTACACGCAAACGAAATGATTGGCATATGAAAACGAGTCCGGCCCTCCCCGTTATACCGACATCCCAACAGAGAAAACATCCCTTGTTGTTAATAATTGCCTGCTCTGGTATAGATATTGATGTAAATATGTGTTTTTATTTGGTCTCCTTCATGTAGAGCAGATTTCTCAAAGCTGGTTCGAAGGCAGATGTGGTGTGAATCGATCTGGTCTTTATTGAGGCTTGTAAAACAGCGATAACTGGGTGTTTTTCCCACATTTTAGAGCTGAGCAGGCAGTGTCCACATATGACTCAGTGCAGATATGACAGTAGCCAGTGGAGCGTCTTCCGTAGCCTCGTATTTGACAGGATGAGCTGCTGTTTGATGTCTTTAACACCTCGGTAACAGTGGCCATCACGCCTGAGCTCCGGGGGTGCACTGGCCCGTAGCTAACGCCCGGAGAGGCAACAGGTGGGACGGGCCCACCTCAGCGGCCGCACGCCACCCCTCCTCCTCTTTCACTATTTAAAAAGACTGCGTTTAACCACGAATGGCTAGAAACTGACTCCAGCGTCAAGCAGAGGATTCATCGCAGACGTCAGAAACCAACAGGTGAGTTTCACGATATTCTCTTTGTGTAAGATACCTGCATATTTGATGGAGCTTTTTGCATGCCTTACATATATACATGGATGGATGAATGTGCTTTTTACATTTTTGGTGCAGGTCACAATGAGAAGCAGCCATCTCCTCAGCGCAATCCTTCTGGCCTTGTGTTTAGTCCAGAGAAGCTGGCAAGCCGCCCTCCAGGAACCAGACAACTCCATGAGGTAATTTCATCACTGACTGATGTTGTCCGAAGTAAAATGTATAAGTAAATAAGTATTGTATGTTTGTGTATGTATTTTTGTTTTATATGGACTCTTTATGTGTCTGAATTAAATATTAAATGAAAATATAGGAATATGTTTTGGGTTGTCGCTCTTTGGGCATTTGTTGTGGCTTTAACTATTCTAACATTTCTATACAACAATGTGAGAGACAGAGAGAATTCAAAAGGGTGTACATACATTTTGGAAATAGTCAAACCAGTATTTTAGTTTGCCACATTAATTAACTCATGGCTATAGCCTTGTTCCTATAGACCGTGTTAAATTATATGGCCCTATTCATGACCCATTATACAAACAGACATCTCCTACAATTCTGTGCACGGTTGACTGATCAATTCCTGTCTTTGTAGTTTTGAGGCGGAGGAGATTTTGGCAGAGGAGCCCAGGGAGGAGTCCAACATGAAGAGACACTCGGAGGGAACATTTTCCAACGACTACAGCAAATACCTGGAGGACAGGAAGGCCCAGGACTTTGTGAAGTGGCTCATGAACAACAAGCGCAGCGGGTGAGTCCGTCCATCCCGGCCTTTTTTATCTAATCGAATGCGTGGAAAATTATACACGGCTGAAATTACGAGAACTTCACAAGCTGCAATAAACACGATTGTAATGACTGTAAAATCAGAATAATGTACCCAAGAGAGGACTGCAATGCAAAAGGGAAAAGATAGTTTTAATGGGGGTAAAATGTTGACTTTTATACAGTTTTAAAGCATTTTTTAGTTGTTTTTCTCTCTCTGGTCTGTCTCACTAATGTAAAAAACACACTGTGATACACTTGGTTCACTCTGGCTGTTTTGTAATGGACTGTATTGTGTATGTGTGTGTGTGTGTGTGTGTGTGTGTGTGTGTTTTAGTCAAACAGAGAAGCGGCACGCAGATGGAACTTTCACCAGTGACGTCAGCTCCTACCTCAAAGACCAGGCCATCAAAGATTTTGTGGCCAGACTCAAGTCGGGACAGATCCGAAGAGAGTAGGCCAGCGCTCTCCCGTCTCTCCTACACTTAAAAAAACCTCACTAATGCCGGGCCAATGACCAGAGAAACAGACGTTGTGATTCAAAGGAAAACCGCATTTTATTCTCTGCCACCTTTCTGCTTTCATGTTGTGTTTGTGCTGAAAATAAATCAACTCAAGTTTTTCTCTGATTGCCTTTCTAATCATTTGAAATAAACTATAAATCCGGAAAGAGGGTGAAATGAGGCTGATCAAATATGAAAGTGGGTATACGGTGTTGGAACATCCTGGGCTGAGGCAGGGGCCCAGGATGTTGACTTTGTGGCTGTGTACACATAGATCTGAAGGGGGCAGCAGCGGTCTCAGCAGGAGGCATGTGGACGGGAGCTTCACCAGTGATGTGAACAAGGTGCTGGACTCTATGGCAGCCAAAGAGTACCTCCTATGGGTCATGACATCCAAGCCCTCAGGCGAAAGGTGATGTCCAGAGATTGAGTCTGTGAGTGCGAACAAGCTCAATAACAACATGTGTTTTCCCCTCTTTCAGCAAGAAGAACCCAGAGGAGCAATAGGAGGCGGGACCCTGACTGACACTCTGAATACATAGCCATATGGATTTGCATTTGAATGTTTTTTATTTTTTTCAATGCAAAGACACATTAACTCTTCCATAGTGTGTGGTTTAACTTGAAATGTTTTTTTTTTTTTCTAAAATTTACAATTATTTATATATTTACAAATGAGAACTGAAACATATTTTGAGCTCAGGAGAGACATTTGTTACTAATTATTTGCATTAAACACCTTTTGAATTCTTGTCTTGTGTATTTTGAAATGTGTCTCATCCACCTTTGCCTTATTACCTACAGAGATGTTTCAGAAATTAAAAGGCCAACAGGTATGAAACAATTGTTAATTAAAAGCAAAGAGGTGAATCCGGTTTGACACCACACGTCCTGCTTCAAGGCAACGTTCTGTGTGTTTAAACTTTCCGTTTGCTCCAATTTTTTAATATTTATGCTGCAAACCGTATGATCTCATCTCAGCTATTTACAAATGTTAAAATTAGCGACCGAGCAGCACCCTGGGCACCATCTCAAGTTGATGTTTGTTCAGGAGTTACAGTCTAGTAAGTAAGTAAGTAATCTTTGTTTATACACCGCCTTTCACAGACCAGAGTCACAAACCGGTTTACAATTGTTTTTTTGGGCATTTGTCTCTCAGTCCACACAGAGATGGCAGCGGGGCCAGTACAGGAGGCACAGACCTATTGTGCATGTTTTTAGTGGTAGGGGAAACCGCAGCACCAGGAGGAAACCTACGCAGGGAGAACATGCAAATTCCATTCAGAAAGACACTGTTCTGACCGGGATTCGAACCCAGGATCTTCTTCCTGAGAAGCGAGAGTGCTATCCACTCAGCCACCGTGCCGACAGGTCTATGGACAGAACCTTCAGGATATTCCAAATGGATGGTGGGGCAAACTGGAGTACCTGGAGGAAACCAGCTCTGCCTCCTTGTCCTTAAAACAACTATAATAAATGATAGCATACTTTTAGAACCATACTTGATGTTGGGACGAGGATGTGGTAAAAATGACAAGAAAAGATCACTCATCTGTCTTTATTTCAGTCCTCAACCACTCACTCTCTCTCTATAAACAATTAATAACAGGAACTGATCCGTTTTCTATACAGGTGATTAAAAGTACTCAACAGAAATCTTCAGTTTGCACTAATTATTTAAGGCAAAATTCCACACAGAAGTGGTATAGAAACGGATATAGATATTTTGACCCAACTAATCAGTTTTATTGACAATGGAAAAGGTAACATCGATAACAAAAACAACCTGCCTTGACAATGACAGTTAGTAAGATATTAGTAACATTTCATATGAATAAAATAGACTATATATTGTACATTGTGTAGCCTTTTTATTACACGTCTTATTCCCAGAAAAAAGTTTTTATTGCATCTACTGAAGTTCCTGCAGTGACAGTTGGGACTGTTTCATTGTGTGCAGGTCTTTAGCGATTAGCCTCAGATGCTAACAGACTAGGGGTCAGTTGGAAAAGGGTTTTGTTAAAAGTCCATAGATGACAAAAAGAGTACGCAGGCAGAAAACACAGAGCTTTTTGACAGTCACCCACAAGACTTAGAAGTAGCTGGAGATACTCAAAGTACCCAGACTATGCTGCCATGCTGGAGCGGAGTGCCTCCTAAAGCATCACAAGGGTTCGAAGGAGAACAGACACTCTGGGGAACGGGAAAAAAAACTATCACAAAAACATTGAGATATACATTATATATAAATACGTCCAAAAGTTTAACAATTTTGACTATAGGATATCAGTGAAATTGTTTTGTGTTGGCAGAAGTTTTTTAGTGTGAGGTGTAAAAGGTACAATACTGCGTGCTTTGCCCATTTGTTTATGGCATCTTTGTGGCAGGAGTCATAATAAATATAAAAACATAAATATAAATAAACGGTACTTAGATAATTGACAGAGTTGGCCCGTTGACACAGCAGCTCTAACTGGCCTTCGCCCTGCTGCTATACAGTAGTTTGACTAAACATTGATACTATAGGTCAAAAGACAGGCTTATAACGCGCCTTTTGTCCATGTACAGTATGTAACACTGCGTCTAACAGAGAAGACTTTTCACAGAAGCGGCACACACAGACGTGACGATACACAGTGTAAAACAGTTCAAAGGTGATTGAGTGGCACGTTCTTATTTTTCAATGTGGCAGACAGCACAGTGGCATCACCAGCAGTCCTCCTCCTCCTCCTCTTCCTCCTCCTCCTCCTCCTCCTCCTCACAAACTGGTCTCTCTGTCCAAGCTCTTGTTATGTCTCCGCCGCTTGTGGCGCCTCCCACCTTCACTGGAACTGCCCCAGGACAACACACCAACATGTACTTTAGCACGGCGCACGGTTAGTATGTGTGTTACGGGTTTAAACAATCATGCTGTTAGTAAAAAGAGGCGCAAAGACCATCAGCGGTGTTGAGGAGTCGCTATAAACAAGATTTGGAATACAGTTACTTTTCATCCACCTATTACATTTCAATTCAATTCAATATATTTTTGTATAGCCCTACACAACTGCCGATTCTCCAACACAGATCAGAGAATCAAACGGTTCAAACACAAGAAACGCAATGATAAAAAACACACAACCAAAGTGCATAAATGTCGTTGAATCTATATTGTACTTTTGAACACTGTTAACGCATACTGTACATATTTACTCACATACATATATATACAATTATGTACAACGTCTATAAAAGAAAGAGTGGCAATAGCAGCGCAGGTTTTTCAGTCCGAGTGCATCAGTGACTTAAAGTGACTTATTGTACAGTCTGACAGCAATGTTGTGATTTAGGGCTATACAAAAATACATTGAATTGAATGTATCCTTTGCAAAGAATTCTCCTCAACACTGCTCATTAGGGACGCAAAAACATCTCAGACTTCACGACAAATACAAGAGTTAATACAGTTTTAATGAAAATGCACCATACTGAATGCTGGGACAATATAAACATTAACGCAAATCAGCATGAAATTCAGTATGGAATAGTCATTTTCATTCAATCATTGCAAGACATTTGTTAGTGTTGCATCCCAATGAACTGAACGCAGCTACTTAAACTTTAGCCATGCATCTGTTTTTGTCTTGCTTCCAATCATGCATTAAAAGCGGCATCAGATTGATTTAAGTGTTTTTATGTAAGCAGGAAAGTCCCATTGAGATTAAAAAACGTCTTTTTTCAAGGGAATCCTGGACAAGATGCATCAAAACATGAGTACTACATGCAACAGCTAACCAGGACAACACATGAGAAGTTAGCAGCAGTCGGGAAGGGAAGTGCTCACCTTTGGGATGAGAGCGGCTGAAATGTTAGGAGGGGGAGCTGAGGGAGGAGTGAAGGAGAGAGTCAGGCAGGATAATAATGTTATTTTACTCTGCGGGCGGTCAGGGAGGGCACACAAGCTTTAAGATCAACTAAACGCAATAGCTGTTTTGCTTTTCCTGGAAATACAAAATAGAAGGCAAGCAAGCCATAGCATTATGACAACAAACATGAATCTGTGCTTGTTTGATCCGTTCTTCTTCTGAAACCGAACACAGTGGCGTTGTGAGTCTGGCGTGTTGTGTTTGTCCAGTAAACTACCTCACCTTTTGGACCCTGGCTCTTTCTCTTTTTTGGCAGTCTCTGGGTTCACGTTCTTCCACACGTTTCCGAAAGAGCCTTTGGACATTTCATCGGTTATGTTCACAGTGGATGGATCGCTCCTGCAAGAAGGAGACGTGTCAAAATACTCAAATACTCTCAGATTGTAGTGTTTCAAATGTAATAAAAGGCCTTACTTGAAGTGACATTCAAGTGGTACCTGGACAATACCCTCTTCAGCAATAATACTGTGCTCCTCCTAAAGTTAAACATAAATATATGAATTAAATACATATGTACAGTTTGTGCAAGGGCTGGTTTATTAAAGGTTCAAATATAAAAGTGTATAATGTTAACAGTTTCTTCTTTCTAATGGTTTCAGCTTTTGTGCTTCCACTTAAAATATAAAACAACAGCTGAGTTTTTTTAGTTACTTCTTCAGCCGCATCCTCTAGTTTCTTCTTCTTCCACTCTGGTATTAAGTCGTCCAACCAACTCAGCTCTCTTTTGGTGAAAAACAAGTCCAGCAACTTCCTAATGAAAACAAGAGCCAAGACCTACGGCACAGAGAAGAGGACAGAGAGTGAGGGCCTGTATCTCCTGCTACTATTACTACTATATTATGTATGTGTTTGTTTACCATCATTGGGAACACGATGGCGGCTCTGGAGGTCTTGATCACCCAGAGCATGATCAAGCAGCTCAGTTGGATGATAGTAAACAGGTGAACTTTGCGTAACGGGACGTGGCGAAGGTAGATGAAGTCTGGCTGGTGCTTGGTGGGCATCGCGAACAACTTGATCCGGTCAAAGAACTTCACACAAAGCACATGGAGTTTATACTAGCAGTGAATTTAGAGACATTGGATTTAGATGATAGAGGTGCTCATCATAAGAGGAAGTAAAATAGTGTATCGAAGAAATATGTGGGAAGAGAGAGATGCCTTAAAGAGCGACTAAACACCTGTGCCCAGCCTTACTCCGCCCACATGAACATTTGAAATTTTTCTCTAAAAGGGCGTTGCCTGGAGGACCAAGAGACAGCAACGCGGGCTTAGAGTTGGGCGTGGTCTAGGCTGTGATTGACAGCTCACTTGTCACACAAAAAAAAACTGACAGTTGTCATTGCTGCTTAAAGCAATAGTTTACACACCAGAAAGTCTCATCCCACCCTTATTTACACACTAAGATAATTGTAGCGCTACACACCTGAACCTAAGCCACAGAATTATCTCAGCAGCAGCGATTGTCAACTGATGTAATTTAATTTTAATCCACTAGATGTCGCCAGAATACTCCAACCTGCTGCTGGGGCGTGTGAGAGTTGGATGGGTTTATATCACTGGCTCAGAGAGACGCACGTCACACACACCTGACGTCACACACACCAACTGACGTCGCACACACCAACTGACGTCACACACACCAACTGACGTCACACACACCAACTGACGTCACACACACCAACTGACGTCACACGCACCAACTGACGTCACACACACCTGACGTCACACGCACCAACTGACGTCACACAGATTTACAGAGTCAATGGAGAGGCCAGGACCAAATTCAAATGTAGTACCACCAAAAAGGTTGAGAGGGCGCCACACAGACGTTTTTAGGCTCAAAAGTGAGATTTTATCTAATTTGAACTAAAATGTCAAAAAAATGACCAGGATATGTAGAGAGCACTACAATTAACATATTTAAGCAGTTTATGAGTTAAAAAAGTGTATTTGGTGTTTAGTCGCTCTTTAAAGTTGTTCTCACCCCCGCTCCTCGGAGCTTACGTTACTCACATTTCCTGTTCAAATCTTCCTCTAAATGGGCGTAGCCTGGAGGACTAAAGGGGGCGTGAACGAGACTGGGCCGTTTACATTGCTCTGGGCGGGGGGCTGCTGACGTCAGGTCCAACTTGCAGACGTCAGGTCCAACTTCTGTGCCAGTGTTGGCGCCAGATTCAAAATTCAAATGTAGTAATACAGGTTGCCAGCAGATGGCGCCTCACAGATGGTTTTAGGCAGAAAGTCTAACTTTCAACTAATTTGCACCAAAGTGACAAGATTATGACCAGGATATGTAGACAACACTATTGGACACTCATTTATACCGTTTATCAGCAAAAAAAAGTGGATTTGAGGGTGAGTTGTCCTTTAAGCACAGAGCAAGCAGGGGGAGAGAGGTGTAGGGTCGGAGAGTGTTTGGGTCTGTCTGTTGTCAGAGTGTGTGTTTTGTGTTGACTGTCTTACACCATCAGTGGTAGTATTGTGTTGCTGTTTTTACTCCACAGTTACATGTTTGAGAATTCTACTGCATTGTTCTATTCCACACAATTTTTTAGTCCGTTATGTAAAAATATGTTTTGTGCAGGTTTGAAATAATTAATACGTTTTCAAAATATCAAACTGAGATGACAGAAAGGAGAGTTACCTGGATGCCTCTGAGTGAAGAAGCTCCCATGTACAGAAACACACCGTACAGGACAGGCATAGGGATGAACTGGGGAAGCAACGGAATATTGTCATTCACATGCATCGATAAAGTGATTTCAGAACTATGGCAATGTCAACGTCAGCTTTATATGTATAGCACATTTACAACAACACCAGCTGCCCAAAGTGCTTCACATGCACAAGAGAAAAGGATACAAGAAAACAGCATAAAAATCACATGAATACGTACTTTAAATGTGTTTAATCCAAAGGGAATGCCATGTTTTTATCTCCTTATATCCTATAGAAATCTGTAAGTATCTTCTATCCAAAAAATAAGCAATTTCCCCTGACGGAAGTTTGATAGTCACAAACTGAAGGGTTGAGTTTGTGACTATCAAAACTGTTATTACATTATTATACTTTTTAAGCCAGTGTGTTGTGTACGTTTGTGTGCCTGTAGATGCTGTTTGTGTGTGTTTTATAATGATCATTTTTTCTCTAGTCTGACTTTCTTGAGAACACACTTTGACGGTAATGCTTTGAACTTTTCATAAAGACTGCAGTGTTTCATGTTTGTGACAGTTTCAGCTGGTGGTTTACCGTGTGAATATTCTCTCATGAAAAAAGGTTGAGCCGCACCTCAAAAGAGTTTGCTACCCCTGCATTAAACATACTACATCCTGAGGTGCCACACTATAACCTAAGTAAAATGTAAATTAGAACAACTTATGAATGATGTCAGTTTGTGTGAGAATACAGTGCCTTGCGAAAATATTCGGCCCCCTTGAACCTTTCAACATTTCGCCACATTTCAGGCTTCAAACATAAAGATATACAATTTTAATTTTTTTTCATGAATCAACAACAAGTGGGACACAATCGTGAAGTGGAACGAAATTTATTGGATAATTTAAACTTTTTAAAAAAAATAAAAAACTGAAAAGTGGGGCGTGCAATATTATTCGGCCCCTTTACTTTCAGTGCAGCAAACTCAGTCCAGAAGTTCAGTGAGGATCTTTGAATGATCCAATGTTGTCCTAAATGACTGATGATGATAAATAGAATGCACCTGTGTGTAATCAAGTCTCCGTATAAATGCACCTGCTCTTTGATAGTCTCAGGGTTCTGTTTAAAGCGCAGAGAGAACCATGAGAATTCCAGTCTCTCGATGTGCAAAACTGATAGAGACATACCCCAAGTGACTTGCAGCTGTAATTGCTGCAAAAGGTGGCGCTACAAAGTATTAGCGCAAGGGGGCCGAATAATATTGCACGCCCCACTTTTCAGTTTTTTATTTGTTAAAAAAGTTGAAATTATCCAATACATTTTGTTCCACTTCACGATTGTGTCCCACTTGTTGTTGATTCTTGACAAAAAATTAAATTTTTATATCTTTATGTTTGAAGCCTGAAATGTGGCGAAATGTTGAAAGGTTCAAGGGGGCCGAATACTTTCGCAAGGCACTGTATGTAATTGTGGACTGTAGTCTTACATGTTTGTGGTTAATGATTTTTATCATTTCCCTTTGGAAAATAAAGTTTCTCTTATCTATAATATTATCTTTTCTATAGTAAGAGATGTCTGTGGGGAGTACCTTGAGGACAGAGGTCATGAACACGGAGCAGCCCATCAGAGTGAAGATCATGAGTCCGGTGAATCGCTGCTCCCTGATTCCCAGAAACTTGGGCTGTTCCCCCGGAGCAGAGCACTCCGACTCCAGCTTCAGACTGTTGACGTGGGAGATGGACAGCACTGTGGCAGCCACGAACCAGGGCAGCCCCATCACAGAGCACACCCCCAGCATCACCCCCACCACAAACAGGTCCAAGTGGTAGCCACAGCCTTTCTGCAAAGTGGGAAATGGATGTATTAGGATTCAAAATTAAAAACTAATTTATGTGTCCCACACAGGAGAATTGTCAGTGTTGCATTACCGGTTACAAAACAGTAGGAAGGAGGAGCACGCAGCACAAGATAAGTGAACAATAACTCTATACTAAAATTAAATAAAATTAATCTCTAACTTTAGCATGATAAACAAGTAAGTATACAATCTCTAGATATAGCATAAGGAAGAACATTTTAAATCTCCAACTTTAGCATAATGAAGAAGCAAGAATTAAGTGTAAACATTTCTGACTTTATCAAAATAATGTGTGAGAACAACTTCAAAACCCTAACCCCATATAGAGAGGGAAAAGTATTCTTTGCATTTTTTGTATAAATAACTTAAAGGTATAAATCATCATCAATCATCATCAAGACTATTGGTCCTCCTATACGTCAATCATGCTGGTGCGCTCGTCAAACAAGACCAAGGAGTTATTTCAAAAAGTGGAGAGGGAGGTTCTTTCCTAAAATTTGGGGAAATCCTCATATTTCATGTATACAATTGCGTAATCTGGTAGATACATAATCACACACAACATCGCTCTTCACCTTGAGTTTGTGCTCCTTCCTGTTGATAATGACCGCAGTGATCTGCTGGTCCATGAAGATGAGGATGGTGCAGAGCAGAGCAGGGATAAAGGTGATGATGGTGGTCCACCAGGGGTTTGGGCCCACTGGGTTAATCAGCCAGCCACGGTCATCCCGAGTCGGCTGGACATTAAGTACAGAGACAAATGACAAACTGGAGAACGGATATATCCCTATATCCATTTGAGGTATACACACTTACTTTGAATTTGCTGGGGACTTGAAGTTTTGGTGAAGGAATACCCAAACCATAATCGACTAAAACCATGGTGAGGATCGTAATGAAGACGGCGAAGTCACTGATAATAGACCGCACCTACAAGGCAAATAAAAAATCCAATATATTTATGTGATAAGACATTACCGCTGCATTCCTTTGTATCTACCACCAGGAGGCGCCAATGGGCCGCACTCCAGACTGCGGAGGAGGCGCTTTACATCAGCTCATTTCTGGGAGCATTGTATTTGTTCAGGCGAAACAGACTAATCTGGCCTTTTGTGTTGTTTGTAAAACCAGCAGATGGCAGCAAAACCTAAATGGAATAAATGCTCTGAGGTCAAAGCTGCTTTATCTTTATTCATACCTTGGTGGGAAAATATCGGCTGAATTTGAACTCTTTGAGGAAGGCAGACATGGAGACAGTTGAAAAGAAGAGGATGACACACCAGAAGAGGACATCAGGGATATATGGACCATGTGCGCCACAAGCAGCTCCCACAAACTCTCCATGTAACTTCTCACACTCCTAACAACAACAACAAGAAGCACAAGAGGAGAACCATCATCAGCAGTTTGATCTCTGTAACAAAAACATCCTCCAGCATGGCCGTTAATGAGATCATATTGGATCAAGCATTAGTGTTTGCGATGATAGAATGCACTTTTCACACTGGGTCCTCGAGCTGATTCTGCTCAATCCTTTGAAATCCCTCCCAGCTCTGTAATCCCCCTCCCCTGCTTTCTTATGGAGCGAAACCACTCTGCAAAATGTGCACACAAAAAACATCCAAAATTTTTGTCAAACATCAAATTTTTTTATCTATCACTATATTTAGCCGCCGCTGTAGCAACATTGTGTATTTACATCTGACCGTATGCTTTCCATTTTGCAAAACCTTACCGCAACCTCCAAATATGTCCAATTGACGGCAGAGGGGGTGATGTTCTTTGCTTCCCACAGTTGTAAAGTCTCGTTGCTCGGGTGGCTGGGCTCCTCACACGCACACCTAAGAACAATTCACTGTTCAAACATTTGTAAAAACAAACTATCTCTGTATCAATATCAAAAGCTTTGCCAAAGTTTACCTCTAATCAAGACTACATTTATAAGTATATAACAATTTGCAATGTCTTTTACTTGTAATACATGGACATTGCTTTCCTGCTATCCTGGCAGGCAAAACGCTCACAGACATGAGCCCTAATCTAACCTGAATCCTCTACTGCACCTTTAAATGAATGTTGCACACGGCAGGGAAACCTACGAGTACATGGTGAGTGTCTGGAGGTTGTTGTTCTTGTTGATGGGGTAGTGCACTCCCAGGTGCATGAGCTTCTCCAGCGCCTCGTAGATGAAGATGATGCAGATCAGAGCAGCGAAGGCTTCTTCAGTGAAGCGAGTGATGTAACAGACCAGAGAGCTGGCATCGGTCGCCACTAACAACAAGCAGAAGAACGCTGTCCACAAGCCGATACAGGTCCGGAGGGACAGGTAGGACAGGCCATAATCCCTGAGAGGTGAACAAAAGAAGGAAATGTGTTATTATCAAGGAGTAATTCTGAACCTACATATTGACAATTGTGCTTTATTTATTTTAAATTTCACTTTAATCAACCAGGAAGTTAAGAACCTCTTTTTCAAGCGAGTTCTGGACAAGAGGCATCCAACTTTACACACATTTACAGATTATAAAAACAGTTACACATTTTTACATAAAATCATAAATTAGAAATAGTTACACACAATTACAGATTATACTTAAATTGCAGATAATTTCAATGAAGATGTCCCAAAGGCTCTCCACCTGGACTTTAAAGCATTCAACGAAAATAAATGTAGTTCGTTCTTACGTCAACTTGTGGTAATTGCAGACGTTTTTTTTAAATGTTTTTTTTTATCATTATCAACATTATTGTATCAAGAGTCATGGTCTGATACCCAGCCTCTCTGCAAATGCCATGTGGATGAAGACTTACTTGCAAAAACGGAAGAGGATCTTTTCAAACACGAGGACTGGTCCCGTACTGCCCAGAATTGTGAGGGGCTGCCCGGCAAACAAAGAGTATGCGATTCCGGTCATGGAAGCTCCAAACAGGGACTCTATAGCACTCTGGAAACACAGGAAATGCTTGTATCATGGCTGTTTTTATGTGGTTAGCCTTGCAATCAAGTCAAGTACATAATGATATTAGCTTCAATCAAATTACTTCCTCACTGTAACATCTGCATCTCATCCAGATTCCACTCCACATGTTATCATTTATCATAATAATGGGTCATATGGAGTTGTCTGAATGAGCAATGCAATAGGTTTTAGTCACTTATCAAGTTAAATAATGAAATATAGGGTTAGGCGTGGTCAAAGTGTCAAACTGTAGCAAAACTCTATCTGGTTTGGAAAATAGTATCTTTTTAGGAAATGAAATATGTCTTGTCCCTATGTCTTTGTAGTGGACTATACAATGAACAACTATAATATGAAGGTAAATAGTATGAAATTCATCCTTCATTTTGATATTCTTAGTAAATGCACCACATTTGAAATCTGTGATGTTGTGGAAAAAAAACATTGAATTTGTTATCAAAGTCATTAGCTCATTCTGCTCCATTCTGTCCGATCTGCAGAGGAGAGGGATCCCAAAACATCAGTATTGTGAATTGTGAAGAGAAAAAAGAGGTTGTTACCACTCGCCCCTCTGTGGCCTCCCCCAGCAGACCCCCGAAGGTGATGACAGGTGACATGCAGGCGCAGTACAGGAAGAGGAAGGAGGCCAGACACTGCAGGTTGATGGCATCTGTGTAGTCAGAGATGTAGAAGGGGGCTTTTCTCTTGATGTCCATAAAGAGGCCACCAAAAAACCTGTCAATAAAAACATAATAATTATTGTATTATTATGCTCTGCTTTATGAATGAAATGGTTGACAAAAAAATGGCAATGGCTTGACATAATTAGTCATCTTTTTTTTACTTTATCAATTAAAAATGTGATCCTGTACATGTTATTTAAAAATATTTATCACGTACATATTCCAGAACTTTAAATATGCCAGAGCTTATTGAATTTTAAGATTTCTACTGAGCGACTGATCCTATCATAAAATTAAACCCTAAAGGTGTGATGTTTTGATTGTGTGATTCTTTTTTTGTAAACTTTCCATTGATTATGTTCATTATTATGTACATAAAGCAGTAATAGTTCACATAATATTGTTTGAGTGTTGCATTGGAATATAACACCAGATTATACTGCGTCGTTGGACTATATTGAGTGGACTGAAAGTGTCAAGTCTAAAAATTGAAACAGGACTCAGCTTCGCTTGTTTTTATGAGGTTTGAGTCAATTTGTCGACTCATGCGTCTATCTTTGGATACACTCCACTGTCGCAGCAAAAACAGGCGGGAGGCGGTTGCCATGGCAACACAGGGTGGGATGTTGTGGTTTTTTAAGCTGGGCTTGTGGCCAATCTTCATGAGGAAAAGAGGATGCCCTGACACATACCACAGCTCACGGTATCAACACTGCTCTGCAGAATAACCTTAGTACACATTACATCAGGGGTGAACGTGGAGAACGTGACGAGGGACAAGAGGCAGTGTCGATTACTTTAACATATGTTTCCTAAATAATAAATAAATACAATTCATTTATATTGCTTAGATCCATGTTCTTACTCCACCACACCCAGGCTCATTTCAGCAAACAATTCACGTACATTCTAACTTTCTTGGTTACATAAGTGACATAATCATCACAGGAACATTACAAGTTACAATCTGTAAATAATTATGTAAACTGCAGGACTAAGAAATAAAAAGAGCTATAATATTAGCATTCATGTGAAAGGAAATGTGTAACTAAATAATAAAGCAACTTACAGTGCAGCAGTTGCAAGCCGTCATTGTGTGTTTAAATAATTAATTTCTCCAAACAAAAGACTGAGTAGATTGATAAAAGGTGCTATATTTAGTTTGTTCTCAGGGTGTAGTTAAATCACATTCTCTGGCACTTACTTTCCAGTGCGCTGCAACTCCGGCCCTCCATGACCTCCATGCTCCTCTGACTCCCCCAGGTCAGTGACACCATTGGGCACGGGCGGGATCTTTCGCTTTTCCTGTAAAATGGTCATATATGTTGTATTATATAAAGTTGTATTGTTGTTTTGTCTCTCTCCTCCTACCAAATTATCTTCAAAGACCCGACACGACCCGCCCCCCAAACAAGCAATCTTCCCAAAGCAAAATTGAGGTTAACTTTGTACTGTATCAGGCTGTGTTGTACTCATTTACCCCCCAAAACAAGGCCAGATTAGAATTTGCTTTTTCTGAAGATTTGAGAGCAGAACCCTGGGGAGTAGGTTCAAAGTCAAGATTATGCTTCAGAAATTAGAAGGGGAGCAATTATTTTCACCACAAAAAGATATAAAAGTGTATGCATTTACCTGAGAGGGCACATTTTTGGGGGGCTCTATTCTTATAGAGGGGTCCCATTCTCCAGGAGGTAACACTGTGACTTGGTCGAGGAATTCATCAATGCCGGCGATCAAGTCACTTCTGTCTTTGGCTTTGTACGCGACGTCATGGAAAATCTATGGATAAGAAATGTATCATAAGTTTGTTTTCGGTACAGTTCTCTAGTTTATTTTTATTATAATAATTAGTAACATGTAAGAGAAATGTGAGACACGTTGCATGAAGCAGTCCATAATCATTCAGAGATTTCAGAAATGCACTCAATATTAAAGCCAGATTTAGATGTTTTAGCAAGACGGTATGCAGAAACATCTCCTCTGCATCTGTAGAGCTTTTGAAAATGATGGTGTTTTTGTGTATATCTTTTCAAAGTGAGTATCAGAGAGTTGCTTTTTATCATGAAATAAAGATCACTTCATATATCAACCAAACAGAAAAAACTATTTATTTAGATCTCACCTCGTCAGTCATAAGAGTGGCAATCGACCTGCCAATTTCATGATACTGGGGCCCTTTCCCGAGAGGGCCGAGCAGGATGAAGAGAAACCTTTCATAAAACGTGAGCAATTTAGAACGACCAAGCCTCGGATCATCAAAGGTTAATCACAAAATCACAAAAGAGTTTATCACGCTTCCAACCTGGTGGTGATTGGAACCTCAGCGAGACCATTGAGCAGAACAGCAGGAGCCAGGCGCACAAAGGCCACCACCGGACGGTCCAGGAACTCCAGCTCTCCGACCAGGACGTTGGACGCTTCAGCTCCGGGAGGAATTTTCTTCATGAAATGGAGGTCAATCTGCAACACAAGAAGACATGAGAGAAACAGCAAACAAAGCCTCCGCTACTTTTCCAGTGTAAATGCTTCTTGATGACCACTTAAACTGTAAGCACATCTTGGTTAAACACACAGAGGAAGTTACGTGCGCTGGTGTCGGTGTCAGAGGATCAACAAGCCGCAGTAGTGGTCCACGGGCTCACCTTGCTGAAGTCAACAGCGCTGTTTTCTCTGCTCACGTCCTGCCTGCCCTCGGTGCTGGCGGGCTGACTTTGAGGAGAGACGGTCTGGCCTGTGGGGAAAAGCCATAGAGTCAACAGTGTTAGATTCACAGAGGGGAACAGGATCAACACTGCTGGTTCCCACACGAGGATGGTGGTCTCTCCCCGTGTGGTTATTATCATTTAAAATTTGAAATGACCAAGATGTAATTTAGCTGTAGACGTCACAACCGTAATTATGATCTACACACACTTTTGGAGGGCTTATAAACATAGGTATTGGGACAACTGGTTACACAGCTGCTCCATCGCCTTGTGAGCCTAGAGTTGATATGAAGTGTGCATTTGGAAACAGTTTGCGTTAATATTCAATATCAGATCCAAAGACCTGTTACTATCAGTGAAAGAAGCAAAGCTGACATTCAAAACAAATCAACGCGATGGCAAAAGTAGCCAAATTAACTGTCATCTTTCCCCTTCACAACAGGAACAACAATCAAATACATTCCTATTATATTTTTGGAGGGTAAAGACCCTGAAATTTAAGGTGACACTGCAGTCCAATCAGTTTGGATTGTGGTGGTGAATAAAAAATAATATTCATGCTTTAATGTGTTATAATGTGAAATATCTGTGGTAGTATTTGGGCTTATCATGTCCTTCCTTTGGGGTTTAGCTAAAGCGTTGGTTGGCTGTGCATGTATTCTAATGTTGGTAATGAATCAGCCTTGTGCTACTGCCTAAAGGATCCTCGTGAGACTTGTGTGGAGCTATGTGACCATGAGGGGCTGAACAAACAAACCGGACAGCAGATGCACAGTGGCCACACAAAACATTCATGGGACATTGTGAACAATCAATGTTTCCAACTGGTAAATGGTGAGTAACAGCACAGAAAGAAGAAAGAAGAAAATGATAAAACAAAGACAATAAGACACATTCACTAATTGATGATGAAAACATGGATAATCAGCCAAACAAAACATGACAGTCATGAGCAACAGAAGGTGTATGTAGGTTTTGTAAATCAGAAAGACTGCTCACCATTCTTGTCCATGGAGTGCGGTTCTGACTGCTTTTTGCCAATATCTGCAAAAGAGCGAACTATAGGGATACGGTTTGCCAGTTTCTTATGGTTTTGGTGGTGGTGCTGTTTCAGAAGGGCATCACGAATCCTTCTTCTGGCATCTTCCCCGACTGTACCTGACGATTCGTGTTGATCTAGAACCATGTCTGAGAAGGAGAGAATACCAGGAAATGGGCCGGCTTCAAAGCTGGTTGTGTAAAGTTAAGAAAATAATTCTTTTGAGTTTTCAACCTGCAATCTCCTCCAGTGAATTGGCTCTCATGTCTAGCATCACAATTCCATTCATGATGCAACTTCGGAGTTCGAATAAGCTGTGTAGTGAGAGCGTGGCTACATAGGGCTTGCTCCACCTTTCCCCTCCATCTTCAACATCCTCCTCAAACTTCAGCCACCTGAGCACAGTCAAACGGAGCTATTTATTACCAAAGCATTTCAGTCTAACTATTGGACTACAGAAATAGTGAGACTCAAGATCATTTTACACTGTATTGGGCCAATTATGTGTACCTGGCTGTCTCTTTCCACTCTGCATCCTCACCCTCTTTGAGGCAGATTTCATCCAACTCTGTGAACAAAGCATGAGGGATGTGTTCTTCGTCGCCATCCTCGGTCCCCAGCAAAAACTGCACCCTCTGAGCAGGTGTGTCTGCTAGAAATAGTGGGAAACAGGAGCCTCAGATTAAAACAAAGCTCGAGTATTAATGGCTCAAGTCTTTTTCTATTCATTGGTAGCTTACTGTGTGAAGGAGACTCTCGGCCGTCCTCAGCTGTAGAGTCTCTTTCCTTGGACCTCTTCCTGTGTCTGTGGCCGTGATGTCGGTGACGCCTGTGTGACCTTCTCCCCAGCGGAACATGAACCCCGATGTACAGAGTGCGATGGCCTAGAGAGCATTTCAGGGACAGATTAATATTTATCCGGAAACCATTTTCTTTCATTGCTCAGATTGTGATAGATTTTATTATAAACACGTCCCAACCCTTGCATGTCCCATCATCCCTAGAGTCAAGATGAAAAGTGAGAGCTGACTGCTACGTCTTGACCTCCTCAGCCACTTGGTTTTGTGGTGAGATTCAACCCAATAGAAAGATATAAAAGTCTATCTATGATTTGAATAAAAAAGCTGTGTACCCTGGAGAGGGGCCATGGACAGGGTGGAATTACAAGACTATGAATGGTCTGTCAAAATACATTTATAGTGACAAGTTCCTGACAGTGAATGCTGTAGGTGCATTCAGTCAGGGCAAACTGTGTAAATCATAGATGAGGCAAGTAAAGAGGGAAAAGTATGTGAGCAACTCAACCTTGTGTAAAGGCTCAGGACAGCATCAGAAATGTATCGTGTTTTTAGATGGACTAAACCAGAAAATTCATGGTAATTATGATCTATTATAATAAATACCATCACAATTAACAAGAAGGGACATGTCATTACAACAGTTTCACCTGAGAATCCTTTGGGCTGATTCCTAACGGTGTCATGGCCCACTCTGACATCTTTGTGGACTACTGTTGCTTGGCAACATATATAAAGACTGCAGCCATTGAAAATATTAACCTTCAAACTGATAGGTAGCTTAGTCTCGCGCAGAAACTCAATCAAATGGCACACAAAAGAAGGTCCTGCCATGCAGAATATAATGCGCAGATAACTACCAGTAGATAATGTTCTTGTTCACTATGCTTTTAATTTGGACATACACAGCCAATTTATAACGTGCACATGGCCTATTTAACTGAAAAGGGTGCAGGAACTATGAGTGGTCTAAGTGATTGTAAACTAACAGGATTTATTTTCCAAAGGGAGGAGCTCCCTTGTACCCTGTGGGTGTAATCCAAGAGCCGAGGCAACTAAAACGCAGTTTATTCATTATAGTCTGCTCTCATCAGTGAGAGATCCGGCATTTCCTTCAGATAAATGATGAAGGGAAAATAATCTAATCCACTAGTTGTTTTTCAATCATCCAATTGTGATGCAGTACAAAGTTGCATTTCAGTCTCAAATGTAAAATAGATATTCACACATGAATGGAAAAGTGCTTTGAAAGAAATGTAATTCAGGACACGAGGAGATATTAATGACTCCCTTGACATCCTGTCCTTTTATAACATTTGAATGAAGAAGACGTATCCTAAATGTCATATGAATCATTTTACCTTCGAGTTCTTCCTTTTCAAAGTTAGTGGTGAGCATGGACCGGGTGCCCCCACGGTCCACCACTGCCTCCTCATCAGTTCTCTAGAAAAACAGGAACCATCATTAAGTTAACATTGGGTATCTACCACACAAAAGGTTATTATGTAATTGCACCCTGAGGTAGATTCGAATACATTACACTATAACAGTGGCAGACAAATGACCCCAGTTAAAGTTTAATAAGTAACTATGGTTTATTTGCAGTTTTAAAATCATATTATACAACAATAGTATATTTCAAGAGATACCTAATAAATACCTATGTATATACAGAAAACAGAGAAAATTCTAAAGTGGGCCAGACCATGTCAAAAGAGGAAAGAAGGCTATTCGGAATTGGTTCACTCTTATAGAAGCAACATCTTATTATTCCAAACTAAAAATAGCACTGACCTTGAAAATCTAGTGAGAAGCGATTCAACAGATACGAGTGTAGCCTCCTCTTGCATTTTGAATGAGGACATATAGGACTTGATTTTAAAACCAGTTTTATAGGTTTTTACAGAGATACAGAAATGTAGTTAAGCCAAAAGGTTAAACATTGTAAACAAATATCGCTGAGTTAGCCTGATCAGAGGAAATTCCAATACTAAGAGCCACTGATTCTGTTTAAACTGCATGTAGCTGCCTCTATATGACTAGGCCTATTATATAGCAGCATGTTGAATTAGTTATGGTCCACACTTGTTGTTGTGTAAAATGTAACAGTGAATGTCTTAAAGGGTCTTTATCATATAACTAACAAACCAATCAATCACGAACTTGGTAGTTCAAGCCGAAATACCAAGATTGGCCTTGGCAACGGTTACTAAGGAGCTTATGCTGATCAATGGCTAATAAAGTGTCTCCAGACATGAGTAGAGTGGACAAAATACATGTTTAATCCTTCCTTATACAACTAGTATACAAAAATCTGTGCACTGTTTTAAACACACTGCTTGGCAATGTTTAAAAAAATAACAACATAGAAAATGGGAAGTATAATCGTGAAAATAACAATAATGATAATAATAAATAAATACTTAAAGACACATTTCTGCTAAACGACACAACTTCAACCACAACATCTACAGACATGCTCATCACGTCCCCAGGGCCTTGATATGTTACTGTCTGAAAACAGTCGGATGAAAATAACATTTGAACAATGAGGGAGTTAATATTGCCTCGGCCCTTGTATGTCAAAAGCTCAAAGTCCACCACTAACTACAGCTTAGATGTGGTGAGATTAATCAAATGGTCAAACAAGAGTATCTCCCACGGCAGAGTCATACACATGCAGCCACATGTGAGAGACAATCCTCAGCGTGGAGTGGTGCAGTGGACAGATGCTGAGCCTTGTACACCAGGCTTAGTGTGTCCAACAACATAAACATTACAGCAGTTATCTCAGGCTAGACATGAAACTTCTGGATCAAGACTAACATCATTCAATAAAATAGACCTCGTTCACCTTTATACAATACTGTGTACTTTATAATTAAGAAGTCATTATGAAGTACAAGTATAACTGTGACATTTATGCACATTTATCAACATACAGTATAGACATCCCGCTCCCAATGAACAGATGGCTCCTGTGTTTGTTCATTCACAAATACCTATACTCAGTCCACCAAGTGCCAACAAGATTTACAAGTAAATCTTATATTCACATAGCGTATGTATGTATCTACATGTACTCAAGTAATAATAGAGACAGTGGTGTCATGAAAAACATATATTTTGAATTTATATTGAGAAGACGACTTTGTTTCCTCCAAAGACCAAAATAACAATAGATGGGTAAAACAGCTATTTGCTTTCTCATGTAATTAACTATATTTAAACATTAAATACAGTATAGAAACACAGATCAACAGAGTCAACAAAACAATCAAAATTCACATTTTTTATTTCATAGTGTATCTATGAACTCGATTACCCGATAGTAAATATTATGTAGCTGTAAAAGTGATGTACTTATATGTTTGCTGAACATTAATGCTCTCACCAGCTCTTTCTTTTCTAAACAAAGCGTTAACGGCAAAGAATGACAGATGAGCGAGAATCTCCAGCCTGCAGGTCCCTTGGTCTATTTTTAGCCTGGTTCCTCTACCTCCATATACTGACCCTAGATCAGCTCACCAATCTGAGCTGAGATTAATCTGACAGTCTTTATGGTTGGATAAAGCCATGTCTCTGGCCGTGGGATCAGTGATGGAGGACACCAACGGCCGAACAATTTAAAACAGCATTTCTCGGTTGGTGCGCAGCTCGGTGTTGAAGGCTACAGGGAACTTGAGCAATGCCCACGTGACCCACACTGTAGGGGACTAGAATGGATGAAGTGGAGGATGGGCAGACATGATAGCAGACACGATGAAAACCTACACAGAAATAATAATGAAGGCATGATTTGATTCAATCGTTCAGTAATGGACGTGAAATATACAAACAATGCATTGTCATTACCAAGTCCAGCAGTTTAGCGTTCAATTGAGAAAACCCTTTTGATATCTTCTTCACATGAATCTAAAATGCCACATCACAGACAAATACTCACACATGTGGCATCTACAGAGAGCTGTTAATGTGATACTGCTGCAGATGAGGCAATGATGTGATGACACAGCAGTGGTGAATAAGCATCAAAGGGAAAGATAGAGAAAAGCTTTATTCCAGCGCTAGAGGGTGTTTTGACGTCATACTGAAGTAGCGTTTGTGCACACACCATGACCTTCAACGGGGAGACTAAACATCAGGCGCTCCTCCTTAATATTCCAGACATGTTATACTGGTTATCCATGTCGTTTAGTATTTAAAAAAGAGTATTGTATTGTTATGATTACATACCTAATTCCAACAACAAGTTTCCCTGGTGGCATCACAGAATAGGCCAAGTGCAGAGGACAAATTTCCCTACATAGACAATAAAAGTATATCTGGACCTTAACTTTATTGTAATAAAGATATTAAGGTTTATGGTTGTGTATGGAATTTTTCAATAACTAAAACGATACTCTGGGAAGCTAACTCAAACATTGACTTATCTAAAGCCCCCTTCACACCTGATCTCACACATGCAAACTATGCAGCACTCCTCCTAATGAGTTCTATGTTTGACAATGTATTGAAAACATTCCAGGAGTGAAAGAACTGCCTCGATATTGACAAGGGGAAGCTCCAGCTCACATGTGTACACCATATACAGAGTGTTTGATGCTTATATGTCCTGAAGTTGGAAGTGAAAACTGACATATAAAGGAGGTGACAGCGGAGTTAGTGTGCGTGCAGACCACAGCGAAGCTATTAAACAGTATCCAGTATTCGACTCTTAACAGTTTCACATCATTATGTTATATGTTATATTGTGTGAAAGCTAGTTTCCTATAACGCAGTAATTCTTAACACAACAATGTGTTGAGTACACATTCGAAGTAAAAATTGTATGACCACACAGAAGCGGACACAATCTTATGCATCTTTCATAATGCAACTATGTATGACTGCATTGTCCCTGTCAAAAACAAAATATTCATTCTAAACCACATAGCATGATTTGCAACTTTTTCGATTCAACTTTACTCTCAACAATGCATAGATTTTATCAATTGTCAGAAAAACAATATAATTTACATGCTTAATTTCACTGTGATGAGGACCAGCCTCAGCGTGTGACCTGGTTGCTCTGTCCTACATTGAAATCTCCTGAGCTCTCTGTGCCATCAGGAAGATAAATGTGTACAAGCTGAGGTCCATACTAGAAATAACTTGAATTCTGTGATACAATTCAAATATCCAGGATTATTATAACTATACAGAACAAACTAACAACAAAGCATTGACCAAGCAAAAAATGCCGCTTGACATAGCCAGATAGGCTTTCTTATTGGCTGGCACCTTGTGTTGTCATGGCTTTCATCCCTTGGAGCCTTGGCATGGAGCCATGGAGCACGCTGGCCGCATAATGAGGAGAAACTACATCTTTGAAAAGATTATCCAAAGCACACACACTGTAACTCAGCAATGAATACATACAAACAGAAATGTGTAAGTCATATTGAGTTATTTGAACCTCAATTTGCATTTAAATGCACACTACTGTATATCCTATATAAATTATCAATCAGCTGCACACAATTAAACAATGACTTGAGTCTGCATTCAATCCTAAGCAAAACCAGGGGTTGGGAAAACAACTATAAGCTTCTCTATTGCCCCAGAATGACAGTCCCATCTGTCAGGCCTGCTTTGTAGGACCTTTGGCATGCACACCAGCACAAGTATCTCTGTGGCGTTCCACATCCTCTTACTTACACATGCAATATTATGGATGACAAAAAGATGGCTTGTCAAAATATTTTTTTTTAAATTCAGTATAAAAGTAAAAATGACCTACGATTGTATCCAACAAGTAAATGATCAAATAGATAACCCACCTGATATACAAATCCTGTGGTGTGGTCCACAGTAAGCATGTTGGCTAATGAGGGAAAAGTGCCAGCTAACTCCTTTTGTGCTGGCAGTAAAAGTAAGATGAGAGGAGCTCAGGGCCTGAGCCCTTATGGGCTCCGCGTGCCTCCTGTGATGCTGCAAGTCCGAAAAGTAAAGAGGTCTGATGGCTTGTAACCTCCACTCCTCAGCTGTTCTCTCTCCCTGAGATTCCCATGCTGGAATACAGCAACAACCTCGCTCCCAAAGCCTCGCAAACACACCAGCTGAAGCAGGGAGTGCTCCCCTCAGTCTCACACCAGCTGCTTTCATCCAGGATAGCATCCAATGTTTTAGACAAGCGTCCATCCGCCAATCCCCCCAGAGAGATTAGCGCTCTGACATCACTGACGCTGCTGTGCAGAGTTCTGTTCTGCTGAGGCACCAGCCCTTTAGCTTTGTTATCTAAGAGAAGCCAATGGCTGAATGCTATCCATCCTGAAGTAAGGATGCACACGCTCCAGGATCAGATGCTTTGTTGTGCTCCCACACCTGAAGTGGAGCGAGCACGGAGCGGGAGCTGTCTTCACATCTACAGAAGGCTGTGTGTGCGCATGCGAGCGTCAGACTGTACCTGGAGCATCTCTGTGTTGCAGAGTCAGCAGGACTCTGAGCAAGGTAAAATGTTGGAGGAAATTGTTCAGAATCCAATAGGATAACTGATATTCTATATTTTCCTTAAGCACCATATGACATAACAATGGGGAGGGGGATTTGGCCCCACATATTCAGATTTTTTGTGTTCAAACAATAAATAAATAAAACAACAAACAGTATTAATTACCAATTGCAAGTGACACTTTTAACAGTTATTTGCAAGAATAAATTACCCTCTGTACTGCTTTGCAATTAATTAACTAATTAATTAATGTGCTCAAGAGCACATGATGTTGTCGTTATGCATGATTCTGAGGCTCCATACAGGAGATCCCCTGGATCAACACAGACATCGTTGCTATCGACGTTCACATCATCTTGACCCATCAAGTGCACAACATGGCAGCTTGATCTAATGCACCACATATTCTAAGCCTTGAGTCTAGTTAAGAGTTTGTGTCCACAGAACCATTGGTATATGTTGAATGCAACAACCTTTGAGGCTAATTACAATCTCAAATATATGATGAATAACCCTGTTGAAAAAAACCAAAACTGGACCAAAAAAAACTAGAATAACATACTTTTAAACATGTGTCCAATGTACATGTTGTATTAAGTCTAATGGTCTTTTGATCTGTGTGCAAGTGCAAACATTAGAGCAAAAAAAACATTTAATGTATTTATGGTTGTATTTTTTGTGAGGTAACTTTGTTAATATAATTATCTAGGTGTGTTCCCCTGCCCAGTGGCTACAGATGGCTGCAGTGAAATCTGGTGCAAATCATCTCTTCTTTTGTAAAGACTAATGATTTTGTACTATCTCCCTGTTTTATAAACAGTAAACTAATAAACTAATGGAACCCCACAATGTGTTGTCCTTAAAGGTAAGAATAACCAGAGATTTAGGATCAGCATTCTAGTAGATGGAAGGAAAGATGCACTTACCACGTCTTTACTTTCTTGTGAACTTAGCTCCTATGAAAGAACAATTCAGTGTTAAAACTTCCACAAAACAGAGAAACACAAACACGTCTATAATGAGTAGGATTAGGAACATTTCTGTCCTGTATTAAATAAGTGATTGACAGTCTTTCCTCCTTGACCTTGGGAACCAATTTAAGGAGTCTGTTAAGATGCCAGTTTTAAGCAATACCTGCCAATCACATACCTATACACATCAGAGTGAAACCATGGCAACACATTAGTTTGCAGCGTAGGCGGAGCCGAGCCACAGAGGCATGAGCAATGAGTTACAACGTCAAAGAAGCAACTCTGCTGCATTGACACTGCAGACACAGGACGGGCTTCCATCCCACACTACATGAGTGCGTATGATGTGAGTCCTTGTCTAACAAATCTTCAAATGGCACAAATAAATAATATTTGCATCTACAGCATCCAAGGCTCTGCAAGAGACAATCTTTGTGCGTTTGCATTGAAATCGGATGACCAGGGCTGGACTCTCTCTCCTTCCCCTCCTTTACAGTCCCACCTGAATGCTAATAAGAAGCTGACCACTGAACACTGTACACTGTATTGCTGAAGCTGCTTTTGTACACACTTAAACTGTGTCACAAACCTTAGGATCAATATGACATGTTTTGACAGGACACAGGATATAATTAATGTATATTGATGATGTGCTTTGAACTTCATAATATGACCCAGATTTTTGTGTAAAGCTGCATTAGTGGTGTCCAGTTTATGTGGTTCATTGAAGAGGGGATGGTTGTAAGATACCCACTTTAAGCAACAAGCATATTTTGAAGGCCACTTGTTTGCAGGTCAATTAGACAATATAGCCACTAAAATCAGTATATCTTTGAAAAGGTGCGGAATTAGGTGGAATGTGTCTACATTTCAATAGTCTGGACACTGTGTCGTGTCCACATGCTTTCAGAGAGTGTTCATTCCTGCGTCATTTTTCGTCAAATGAATGTACAGTCTACAGCGAGGTAGAATACACAATTATGGTAAATGGCAGGTAAAACCCATATGATAAGGGCGGATAAAGGAAAAAAACAGACATCTATATTATCGATTGATTCAATTCTATATATTTCCTGTATCTGAATTAAATGCTTGAGAAAACAAGGGAGGTTGTGGTCACCTACAAGCCATAGGCAATGATAAACCCAGATCGCATGACAAGGTGGTTGGTTACCTTACCGTTGGCAGCAGCGGCTCCATTTGCGCTCCCTGGTCTGTAAGGTCCATCTTAAAAAAGAGACGTGATGAGCAGCCCTCTTGTTGAAATGGATAAAACAGAGGCTGTGCGTGGCGTCTATTCTCACGCTTACCGGTCGGGTTTTGTCAAATGGATGTAGCAAAGCATACCCGTCCTGCCCTACATAATTTACGCGTGGAGGAGGGAGCTCCCACTACACGCGATACGGAGGCTGCCACTGCGAAGAGGCGCACTGTCTCTGGAGATACGGAGCGCAAGTGCACAAATGATGAAATCTCCCTTTATAACACAGTCGATGAGGCTACTCAGTTAGAGAGAAGAATAAAGCCAACAGGAGGCAAGAGCACGCCACAGCCTTAGACTGACACAGTGCAGAAAAATATTGTAGGACTACTAGACTATAATAATTTATCATGAAAAATCACGTGTCATTGTTATATTCATTTTTGATATTAGAAATATGTTTTATTTATAAAATAAATTAAAAAGGACTATTTCAAATGTGCTTTTTCTATCTAATAGGCTAAACGGACATTATAAATGTTATTGGTGTTAGTGGTACTCATTTATACTGGAGCATCGTGGGATATTTCTACTTAACCTATGCCTACCCTGAACGCAGAAATTCTAAATCAATATTATATTTATACAACAGTGCCGTCTGCTGGGTATACCATAATACTACAGGCTACCAAGCCTATGGATAACATAATTACACTGCACACTGTACAGTACTTATACAGTATAACACAATTGAAAAAATGCATGCACATATTTGTGCATGGACGACAATGATCAAATAATTGAGTGATTTCAAGAATGATTAATTACTTGAATAGAATGAGCTTTCTCGATAAGAGGACCTTGAAGATGGAGAGATCAACAGTGAGACTAAAGGTTATGGCTACACCTTACCTCAGGGGCATGGTCTCGGGATCCATGGGCAGCTGGCACATCTGCATCTGCCATGGATTCTTTAGTGCACACATTATCAAAGACTGAATGTTCACAGAACTGTAATAAACCAATTGCTTTTTTGTTGCTTTTTGCCAACAAAATTGGCGTGAGATGTATTCTTAATTCTTTAAAAAAAAAAAAAATTTTATTATTTTAAATGTTTTGTATGAGCAGCTCCGGGAGAGATAGAGTTAACACAAAAGTTAAACATTCATCATTTCATCAAACAATAACTAGGGAAAACATGTCTATAAACATAAAAATCGGGCCCATGATAGTAATCGAATACCATATAATACGAATACTAACTAGCTAGTTAACTAGCTAGCGTTAGCTAAATGTGGCCGTTAATGCCAGAGTTACGCTAATTACTCACTTTAACGTAAACAAGAGCTTGAGGTCCTTTTTATCTTGAGCTAGTCTTGCAGTGATACAGCTAACACTCAATACACATTTTAAAATCATTATTTTAGGATGTAAAGTTATTTACCAGTTATTCCAGCAGTTTCAAACAACCGTCTCCATGGAAACATCCTGTCACTCAAAACTGTCATCTTATGTTCATGTTCATTTTGTTTCCATGGTAAAATACTGACAACGTACTTTCATGGTTTACATGTGTGCTTTCACCAGCGTTATACTCATATTTTAACTGAACTATATTTTACACCAAGTTTGCTGTATGTGCGGTGTCCAGAACTCTTCAGTTACCTACTAACGAGCGTTCGTTACCCTTCAGGAAGCAGCTCTCTAGTTATCAAATAGTTATGGATCAATTAGTTATCTCTCAACTAGCGTTAGTTAGCTATCCTCTAGTTCTATGTCAACTAGTTAGCTACCAATTAACTACTGTTGTAGTTACTTGGTACTTGGATTTGTCCATTTTGTGAAGGCCAGTTCTTACACCTGGTGCAAAGACATGATGGCCAGCCCTGCCGGTGTTTGCAGTCAGCAGTGTTTCTTTTTGGTGGTAGGTGTGTGAGCATCATAGGTTCGGGACTCGGGATGTTGTTGCTCAGATCCGGGTCCGCCCAGAACAGCAGCGTCACGGCTCCGACAAGATGGCCGAGAGAACGGGACCAAAGTGAGGGAGGAAACAACAACAGAGGCGAGCTGTCGGATCTACTGATGTGTGACCTGTAGAGGCTCAGAAGACCAGCTCCTGCAGAATCCGAGCCAGGCTGGAGCGGCCCGGAGCCGGGGTTTGAGGCGGACAGTCCCGTTATGCCGACCGCCTGTGCTCAGAGCCAGCCCGCTGACAGAGCATTTGTCAGGTCGTCTGTGGTGGCAAGCTAACGTGCTAACTCTAACCATGTTAGCTAACGTTAGCTAACGTTAGCTGACAACACTGTTGTAGTTTTAGAGAGTGACAGTAGGACTCAGAACACATGCAGGGCTGATGTGGCTCTCTGAGACTGTCATGTGCTGTTGTTTTGTAGAGACGTCCCTCTTTTGTTTGGGAAATTGAAGTTAACCTCGTGCTAGTCAATGGTTATCTCCGGGTTAGCAAGCTAACGTTGCGGATTTCTGCGAATTAGCCATAGCTAACCAATATGAGCTCTGCCAGCTTAGCTGGTATAGGCTCGTTATTTGAAGTAGTTTGAAGGAGAAAAACAGGAGGAATTGTGGGTGAAAAGTCTGCACAACTATACTCGAAGCAACTTACCCGGACATCAAAGTTGTTGGGTCACTAATTAAGGACAGAAATCTGTTTACCGACACCGACCGAAGCGGCTGGGAGCCCCGCGGTGTGTGGCGCAAGAACCATCATGGCCCACTCTCCAGTGCAGGGCCACCTGCCCGGGATGCAGGTGAGTGAACACAAAGTGAACACAAGAACCAGATCACCAGCTGCTGCTGTTAGGAGACATACTGCCTCTCGACATGACATGAGCAATTGCACTTTTAATTCTAGGATCTGGTGATGTCTAATGTCTAAGACACACTGATGACATTTTTCGTCATTAATGTTTATACTTTTGTGCAAGGTAAATGTTTAATCTATGATCGCTCAGGCTGACTGTATGTGGCTTTGATTTGTATACAGGTATACATCAATGCAGAATTGAGAGTGGGAGTAATCGCTAACAGAATGCTGCTGTTGCACATTTGCTCAAGGCTTGGGTGCTTTTTTTCTCTCAAACTTGACTTTCTTGACTTTACCAGAATACTAAAGTGGACCCAGAGGAGCTCTTTACAAAGCTGGAACGTATTGGCAAAGGATCGTTCGGGGAAGTGTTCAAAGGCATCGACAATCGCACACAGAAAGTTGTGGCCATCAAAATCATAGACTTGGAAGAAGCAGAGGATGAGATTGAAGACATCCAACAGGAGATCACAGTGCTCAGCCAATGTGACAGTCCATTCATCACAAAGTACTATGGGTCGTACCTCAAGGTAATGTGTGTTCCTGATTAAGACATTTTTTTTCCATGTAAACAATCTGATTGTTTCTCTGCCCTATCACACAGGACACTAAGCTATGGATCATAATGGAATACTTGGGCGGAGGCTCGGCATTAGATTTGGCAAGTTATATCACCTTAATAAGCCTTAACAGCACCTTTTAAACGTGCCTCTCTTATTATCACGAGTAATCTTCTGCCAAGATCTGCCACTCTAACATATAGTGTCAGAAAATAACTTACTAAGGAATACCAAGTTTAGTATTTGGCATTTAAAAGTTTCCTTTGGCTATCAGATCTATTGGACTCACATTATGTGATACAGTCAGTATCAGCAAGATATACATAGAATTCAAGTGTACTGTATGATCCTATACTACATACTTAATGAAATAATATTGCATTTGTCACTAGCAAAAACAATAATTGTTTGTCTTGTGTCTCATCTTTATGTGGAACTGTTTATTTATGTTGTATTTAGATGGAGCCTGGGGCCCTGGATGAGACTCAGATCGCAACCATTTTGAGAGAGATCTTGAAGGGCCTGGAGTATTTGCACTCTGAGAAAAAGATTCATCGAGATATCAAAGGTAGAAGATTGTTTGACTATACTCAGTAGCCAAAGATAACATTAGTCAATAGCTCAAATATCCAATACCACTTTGGTTCTGAGAACCACTTATACTTTAATTCCTGTGGAACTTAGGGAATCATAAATGAGGTTCAGTGGTTTACTAAGAGCACTTTGACTGTTATTTGTGAATAAATTGTCCGCTTAGATAAATGACTTTGACAGCTTGTGCAGTAGCTGCGTTGAAGAGCCATATTGATCTGTGTTCTTCTGTTTCCACAGCAGCCAACGTGTTGCTGTCTGAGCAGGGAGAGGTGAAGCTGGCAGACTTCGGTGTGGCGGGGCAGCTCACCGACACCCAGATAAAACGCAACACATTTGTCGGGACACCATTCTGGATGGCACCCGAGGTTATCAAGCAGTCGGCATACGACTCAAAGGTAAAAGCAGGGAGATGTATCACCATCTCTACTTGAAACACTACTAAGTGCTTCATTATCAGTAAATTATATAATTTGGACTGTAGTAATTGTATAATTAATTGATTTTGAGTTCTTTAGTAATAATTTATTTTGACATTGTCTCTGCTGTTTTGAGATATTAAACATTGAAACTTTACTGTCCATTTTTTATTTAAAGTTATTAAAGAGTTATTTCTCTAGAGATAGTTCCTGTTTAGTCCCACAATGTGAATAAACAATATCATGCATGTCTTGGATCTCATACTTTTGTGTCTCTTCCATTGACATTTATTATTCAGTTGTGTCAAACATCTAAGAAACGTGTTTTTCTGCTTCTGTGCGTTCGCAGGCTGATATCTGGTCTTTGGGCATCACGGCCATTGAACTGGCGAAGGGTGAACCGCCGCACTCGGAACTGCACCCCATGAAGGTTTTATTCCTTATTCCAAAGAACAACCCGCCCACACTGGAGGGCAACTACAGCAAACCGCTCAAGGAGTTCGTCGAGGCTTGTCTCAACAAAGAGCCCAGTTTTGTGAGCACTTTTTTGTCAGTGAACAAAATGGAAGTGAAAGATTTGGGGAGGGATTTTAACTTTTTTTCTTCTCCACAGAGGCCAACTGCCAAAGAGCTGCTGAAGCATAAGCTGATTGTGCGCCATGCGAAAAAGACGTCGTACTTGATTGAGCTGGTGGACAAGTACAAGCGGTGGAAGGCAGAGCAGGCCAGAGCCAACGAGTCCAGTTCAGACGAATCAGACTCGTACGTATATTCTGAAACATTCTCTTAATATATTAGTGTTTTATATTAGGTATCATGATGTGCACTTTGTTTTGGTATAATTAAACCACTTAATTATTTGTTTGCTGTTTTTTCTGGCCAACCTCTGAATTGTGTAAAAAGTGAGGAGGGCAGACTATGCTTTCATTTGGCTCATAAACTATGTGCATGCATGACTTCATCTCTCATCCTAATAGAAATGCACTAAGCAGCTTTCTCCCCCCTCCTCCTCCCATGCTGTACAATCAGGGAGCAGGATGGCCAGGCGTCAGGTGGGAACGATTTTGGCAGCGATGACTGGATATTCACCATCAGAGAGAAGGACCCAAAGAAGCTGCAGAACGGGGAGGGCCAGTCGGGAGGAACGGACAAGGTACGATGAGGAAATCATGACATTCTGGATGAAAACGAAGCCTCAGCTGTAATTGAGTGTTTTGTTTTTTTTTTCTCCTCAGACAAAAGACATTCCAAAGAGGCCTTATTCACAGAGCCTGACGTCTGTCATCTCTCCTGCATTAGCTGAGGTAACATCCTGGTCAAGCTGTATTGATAATGGTTTGGTTTGTGGGTCATTTTGCAACCACCAAGATGTAAGCAACTAATATGCTTTTATTCCTGTGTGTATTTTTTGTGGTCATAGACATACATTACATTTTTTAAGATGCTTAATTGTGAAATGTGTCCATGTGTCCCCTTGAACAGGGAAGTGGTCATAATACCATATACCCACTTAGACCTTAGCTACAAGCTCAAGTCTGGATGATAATTTAAGTCTGTAACTAGTCTGGCAGGTTCCAGTGCTAGAATCCCAATGAGGCTTTGCATGACTAGCGCTGGGCAAAATGTACATATAATCAGACTTTTGGAGGCAAAACAGGCTTCCCATCAGCTGTACATGTAGTTTGTGTTAACATTGTGTGGAAAATGGTATTGCAGTACAACTGGAGGCCTCTGGTCACATGGCGACTGTCTAAAACCAGATGTTTGAACAGATCCAAGCATGAGTTTGTTCCTGACCCTCTGTGTGCAGCTGAAGGCGCGACAGGAGCAGGTGAACGGCAACCCCATGGTCCTGGACGAGCTCCGGGAGGCCATCTTACTGGCTGAGGAGGCTTTTCCTGGCATCTCGGATTCACTCGTGGCACACATGGTCCACAGACTTCAGAGGTAAATCTTCCCCATCTCTTGACACATGGAACATTTATGGAAAACTATTTGAAAAGAGACATGTTATGAGTGCTTGTTTCCTCCACTGTTTTGTCTGAAATATCTCAAATCTGGTTAAAAAAAATTTCATTATTTATCCTAATTATTTTTGGAGGGATATAGTAAAATCACGTTTTTATTTTTGATGTATTTAATTGAAATATGAATTGTTTTATGTTGATGAAAGAAAATGTAGAAAAATAGTAAATATTGTACACATTTTAAATATCACTGATGCACACTAGAGCAAGGAAAAAATATAGACATATTATTACATAGTTTAGCCCTCAGCTTAAATGTGTTTCTACGTAGTTGATATTTGTGTTGTTGTTTACAGTGATGTGATGAATTTCAGTCATTTTGATTTGATTTTCTTGCAGCTATTCGACAAGCAGGTCGTCTTCCTCCTCTACCTAATGACCGCTCGGCGACCACAGACCAGCTTCTTATCCCCAAGCGCAACCCTTCACGCCGCGGCCACGTATGCCTGCAGGGGTCACTCTAAACCAGCTGAACACATTCTGACCACCTGCTTTTTGAAACGGGAGGCGGCTAACCAGGCCCTGTGAAAAAAAAAAAACTGCACTCCAAACATTTCTTAGCGGTGCCCTAAGAAACTCCTTGGAGGAGCTCCTTGTAGTTTTTAGACGGCAACGCAGTTTGGGACGCTTCTAGGGTTGACGGACAATGTAAATGTTCCAACCGCACTCACAAAGACAAAACGGCGCCTGGAGCTGAAAAATGTCCCCTGAGTTCAAGACAAGATCCCACTCCTCCTTCGCTGAATGCAGGCGCCATCCCCATAGCCTCGAAAGCATGATAAGCTGTGCAAAATGGGTGCGTGCGTGCTCTGACTCCCCCTAGAGGCAAAAAAAAGAACTACAGCATTCTTAATGAAACCTCAGGTAAAGTGCTTTAAGTGGAGAGGAGGGGTCGCCATGCTGTACCTGTACAGGATTACAAGTAGTTTGCGTTTTTGTTCACGGGGAGAACAATGAATCACTGTGTACAAAATGGTCATGCGCATTTTGTAGATACTGATCCTGTTTAAAAAAAAAAAAAAAAAAAGTAGATATTTAAAACTTCAACAGAACTTCAACAGAAAATGCCTTGCCTTTTAAAGATAGTCATGTTGTTTTGGCATCCATTTCAAGTTTAATTTTACATGTGTGTATGTATCGTGTTTTATTTCCGTTCAGTATTTCAGTGGTTCAAAAAAAATGGATCTAACAGATTTCAGTCGGCTGCTGAGCAATGAAACTCGCTGTTTAGGAGTAGATGTTCTGTTGTGTAGACAGAAGGAGACTCCACTCGTGCTGTTACTGTGTAGGCAGTATTAAATTGTGTAATTGTTGTCAGGGGAGCTCAGCAGTGGTTCTGAAATGACTTTGTACACGTCTATAATTAATCTCATTGCTCATTGGGGATAAAAACTATAATCAATGCAGCCAAGTTTAAAAAGGCCTCTCTGGCTGGCTGAATGTTGATGCTGAAGTCTTCTCCTTGCTTGGTATCTATCCATAGCATAATTTAAAAAGTAAACGGGAGGGCAGAACACGTGGTGATGATCAAAACAGGAAGAACATCAGGCCAAAACAACATGCCAAATTCAGATGCCATTTTCAATCCTCTGAATCCAAACGTGACCTGTCTCTTCCACACAAAGCTAGGAGTGCCATGTCCTCTTTTATGATCTCACCAGACATTTGTTGTATGATTTGCACCTTTTTTCTAATTTCAGATCCTTTTTTTTGCACTTTGAAAGTGTGTGAAGTATTTAAAATAATCTGTATTAGGAAATTTAAATGAAAAAGTCGCTAATAGCCATGTTTTACTATATATGTTTACTTTAAGAGTTCCAGAATTTACTACTGTGCTAATGCAGCAATAATGTTGAGGAGTTGCTTCAAGAGGCACTTGTCAACACAGGGATTGAAAGAAATATCTGATATTTTTATAATAGCGAAGATAAGTATGGAATGCTTTACGGATATGGGCAAAAATATCTATACCTTACACAAAACATATGCTACGGAAATGACTAGAAAATCTGTACATTTGGTCTCCTTTATTATAGCGGACAGTTTATAGTACTGTATATAATCTTTGCTTGTGTCATCTGAGAATTCCCAAGTTTAATGTAAGCTCCTTGTAAGCTTTCGAAGTGACATGAGAAATAAAGATCTAATGCTATCTCTGCTTTGCTACTGCTCCTTTCCTGACTGCAAATGTGTGTGTTTATTAAACTTCAACACAACTTATGACAACCAGGACAGACTTTAATGTGCATCATGAGTTAACTTATGTACACAAGAGTATTGGCAACAAGTGCAATTATTTTTATGATACTTTATCACAAGCCCTATTTGTCCTTGGCCAAAGTGCAAAGACCAGATCACGTATGAAACATTAAAGCAAATACAACTCAATACTTTACAATAGACAGTATATTACAATACATACATTTTAAAATAACAATATGGTTAGTCTACTCAATTCTAGTTACTTCTATAACCTCAATACGCTTACTCTGATTCAACAGCCCAAGAGCTCGTCGTCATAGTGTGGTCCAGCAAAACTCATTCAGTCTCCCTCTCACAACTTCACACAATACTAGGGTTGGAAAATGTCAGCAATTTTCAAAGATGGAAACTTACAATGGGAATGAATTGGAAATGTTGTAGGCGCAGCCTGGGGCCGGAGGGGGTCCGGTTCGGGGACCTAAGGATTTCATCCTTGCTTTTTGCGGATGATGTTGTCCTGTTGGCTCCAACGAACCAGGACCTGCAGCATTCACTGGGACGGTTTGCAGCCGAGTGTGAAGCGGCTGGGATGAGAATCAGCACCTCCAAATCCGAGGCCATGGTGCTCGACCGGAAAAAGGTGCTTTGCCCTCTCCAGGTGGGTGGAGAGGTCCTTCCTCAAGTGGAGGAGTTCAAGTATCTCGGGGTCTTGTTCACGAGTAAGGGAAGGATGGAGTGTGAGATTGACAGGCGGATCGGTGCAGCGTGCGCAGTGATGCGGTCGCTGTATCGGACCGTTGTGGTAAAGAGGGAGCTGAGCCGAAAGGCAAAGCTCTCGATTTACCGGTCAATCTTCGTTCGTTCACTCACCTATGGTCATGAGCTTTGGGTAGTGACCGAAAGAACAAGATCGCGGATACAAGCGGTCGAAATGAGCTTCCTCCGCAGAGTGGCTGGGCGCTCCCTTAGAGATAGGGTGAGGAGCTCAGTCACACGGGAGGAGCTCGGAGTAGAGCCGCTGCTTCTCCACGTCGAGAGGAACCAGTTGAGGTGGCTCGGGCATCTGTTCCGGATGCCTCCGAGACGCCTCCCTGGGGAGGTGTTCCGGGCACGTCCCACCGGAAGGAGGCCCCGGAGAAGACCCAGGACACGCTGGAGGGACTATGTCTCTCAGCTGGCCTGGGAGCGCCTTGGGGTCCCTACCGGACGAGCTGGAGGAAGTGTGTGTGGATAGGGAAGTCTGGGTGTCTCTGCTTCTACTGCTGCCCCCGTGACCGGCAACGGAGGAAGCGGAAGAAAATGGATGGAAATGTTCATATATTGCTGTCATAACTATTCTAATTCTATTTTGCATGGATGTTTTCTTCTGAATTCATGTTTATACTTGAATATGATACTATTTGATTATCTTATAACAAATTCCCACACAAAAAAAGAATGTTCCACAAATTCCCCAGTTTGGCTTCCCCTGGGAAATGACCCTACACACAGCACAATGATAACGCTTCACATCTTGGTCTGGATGGCGTTGGATTCTGACAACCGCCTCTTGTCATCTCGATGCTCTATAGAGTCCTTTCTCCCCATCTCCAGACTTCTCCTCTTCTTCTCGTCGTCCGGCTCGGCAAACTGGGCTTCTATCTTGGCCGGGTCGATGTAGCTGTAGAAGTAAGCCATGACGGCAAAGATGATGCACACCAACACCAGCAGCGACGCAAACAGGATGTACTCTGCCCACTGTGTCAAAGAACAGTCCTTAGAGACATCACGTTCGGCTCGTAGAATCAAAAACATGTGCGTTGTTATTATTCCACCCACCTGATCAGGAAGTGTGGCCGCCTCAGCAACAATCAGCACTATGATGTTGCCAACGGCGACGGTTAACAACCAACCAGCTTGCAGCACGGCCTTCATGTTACTTGGAGCCTGAGCAACAATGCATTGAATCAGCCCATGTTGTTTGTAGATAATGTAGGAGGGGGTGTGGGGGCTTACTTGAGAGTAGGAGAATTCTAACCCAGTAACGGAGAAGACCACCTCTCCAGCCGTGATGAGGAAGTACTGAGGGATGAGCCAGGCCATGTGGACGCTGTTGGGTGCGATGTCCAAGATTGGTACGATTCCCTCGCACTACAAGAAGCCCCAGACGTTATACATGTTTGTTTTATACGTGCAATTAATTCAACACATGGACGTTGTCACCATGGGTTCAAATTGGAGTGTTGGAGGGATGAGCAGAGTGTAGGAGCTGCCGAAGTCCAGCGTCTGCTCGTAGATGCAGTTTGCCATGGTCATCTCATTCAGGATTGTGAACTGCACTCTGAAAACCAAAGTACAGTTTATTAAACCAGAATCACGGCACACTTTATGCATATGTCTGATTATATGAGCTTATGTGATGCCTTACTTTCCGTACTGTTCATTGCGATATTTAGACATGTTGTTGGCCCCAATGTCTCCATATTCCGCTGAACTTGTTATGTTAAGTGGGGAGCCAAACCCATTGAAAAATCTATTTGGAATGAAGAACATAGTATGGATTCGGGTAATTATACAAGTTCAAATGTACATGACTCAGTACCTGATAGCATTCTTGCCCTCGTCTGGTTTGGCCGTGACGTCACTGAACTACATAGGAAATAATATCATTGTTAATCAGTCGACATGTAAGAACTTTGAACGAAATATTAAACTTGTTGGATTACCTGAATTGCTCTGGGTGAAACACCATCCTTGATTATGACCAAAGTGTTTCGTGAGCCGGCGGCGAGGCTGGTCGGGTAAGTCGTTCCATTCAGTGTCAATGGAAACGAGTTGGAGAATTCCAGATAATTGGGCGTGGCCTAAAAGACGACGCTTGTGTCAGACTATTTCATCAACAACTCCATAAATTCCATAATTGTCATCAAGCCAATCACCTTATAGGGCTCCAGACCGAGCTCAAACTCCCCTGCAGTCCCTTCCACATTCTCATTCATCATGTTAATAAACTTTGCCTGTGAAATAGTGCTGGTTGGAAAAATGGGAAGTGAGGCCTGGAGAATGCACAGGAGTAGATTATTACACCAATACATGTCTTCAATAGTAAAAATAAATAAAAATAAACTCACATCAATCTGTATCTGCACCAGAGCAGCAGCAACAAATGCGAGAGCTGCCAAGAACATCCCCACGGTCATTCTCTTCAACGGGCTGCAGAAAACATGCACAAACACTAATGATACAGATATTTTATATACGCCTATTTCAGTTTAAGACATACCTGAAGTTTAAGTTGCATTTTGCGATCAGTGGATACACAACACTGTCCATGATGGGCACCAGGACAAGGATTAGGATTGGGTTGACGGTCTGATGGGGAAAGAATAGTCATGTATAAAGCAAAAAGTAAACTACATTTCAAAGTGCCTTTTGCCAGAACATCAAAGAAAAATGCAGAGTAAAATTATGGAATCGTATGGAAGCTGGTTTAAAACGTTGCAATAATAATTTATAATTTCAAAAGATTATTTAAAAGAGTTATTTTGTAGATATCCAACAGAAGCATTGTAATATTTATACACAGTTTGATTATTTTCTTGTGTTGTTTTAGTTTATCTGGTTGGATAATCTCGAAGTCTTGAAGTAGATAAAGGGAAGTCGGAAGGGTTTCCTTTTTTTGCTTTGTTAAATTGATAAGTAGAAAAGGGGGCGGGGTTACATTAGTACTTCTTCCTGCTCCCTTTTCGGACATGATTGGATATTTTATTTATTCCTTGAGGGAACAAATTTTTCATACACTTTACACATATAGTTTTTTTGTTGTTTTATTTACCCTTATTGGTAACACTTCATAAAAGCTACACCTTATTTAGGCTTGATTAATGTTTAAATAACACTTAATTAATCATGAACAATTCATTAATTAAGTGTGACCAACACTTAATAACTACTTAACTACTACAGTTAATAAATGCTTAACTCATAATTAATAAATCTTCGAGTACTTCACTTGTTCATGATTATTTAATAATTTAATAATTATGAAGTAACCACTTGTTACTACATTTATAGATGGTTTGTTACACCATGATTAAAACACATGTTAATGATTAATAATTGTATACTTCATTATCAACTAATACTGCAGAGCATGACTTACTCAGTCAGTTACTAACAGTTAGTTAAGAGTTTTTGTGAGCGTTTGTAAAGTGTAAACTATTATAAATAAGGTGTAGTTTTTATAAAGTGTTACCAAATTATTTTGTATTGTCCGACTAAAGACTCATTCATTCAAAATGGGGAAAAATGCCTTGAGTATTTTGTCAGGATGAAACCACAGCTGTAAGCAGAGCACGGCAGCAGAAGGACGGTCTTACCTGCATCTGATCAGGCTGAACAACAAAGACCCCCTGCGGAAGACGAAACAGGACCGTGTTTAAAGAAATAAACGTGGGTGGATTATACGGCATAGATAAACAAAGTCACATACAAAGTCTCCATTCATGGTTATGGCCTGAAGCGTCCATCTGGATCCCTGTCGAGCACACGTTTGGTTGAGCACATGAGGAAAGGAACAGGTGATAAATTTATGTTTTGTATATTAGACATTTGTTAGACGGCACCTGCTGGTCAAACAGTGCCCAGAACATCGGGAGAGGGATGTAGAGGAAGAGCACTTTCAGAACCATTTTCACCTGAGCAATCAAAAGTTTCTGCAACAACAACAATAAAAACAAATATTACTAATTTTACAATACGTTTGAAGAGTTCCACAGCAAATACAGATATGTCCATTGTGAAAATATGGCTAAAAACTTTATTATGCTAAAGATGATTTTGTACTTAATTCTTGCTTCTTCGTTATGCAGAGAGATTTTATATTATTTTTAGTTAGTATAGAATTAACTAAAATCTTCGACATGTTCTGTTATCGGCAGTACATTTGAAAGAAGGGATGCAGCTTTACGTGTGTGGCACTAAAGTAGATATGGCTTTTCAAAATAACAACGTGGTAAAGAGCAAATTGTAAGTCTTTCTAAGCATGTTTTTCAAATGGTACTTGTCTGTTTTTTGCAAATTAACTATACTTTATTTATTTTTTAAAGAAAACCACAGCCTTTACTGCACTCACATCATACTTCTCCTCTGCCCAGTCCATCCAGTGCTCTCTCTTTGGGTAGCTGGAAGCTCTGTGCCTGTAGCGGTTCTTGATGGCAAACTGTGTGTGCGAAAAACAAAAAAACAATGCCTTATTCCATCCAAACAAGAAAACACCATTTCATTGTTTATTTTGTACAAAGAGGGTGGACTTACGCCAACACACTTGCACACTTTGACCAGGATATTTCCCTGAGGGGCTGTCTTGTTGTACATGCCACTTCCAACAATGAACACAACTGGAACACAAAATATTAACAGCTTTGAGGCCTCAGTATACATCAAGAATAGGGTTATATGGAAATGTTGGACAGGGCTGTCTCTGTGTCTCTGTCTCTCTGTCTCTGTCTCTGTCTCTGTCTCTGTCTCTGTCTCTCTCTCTCTCTGTCTCTGTGTGTATGTCTCTGTCTCTGTCTCTCTGTCTCTCTCTCTCTCTCTCTCTGTTATTAGTATTACTGCTTTATCACATATCCATCTGATATTTCTGCCACTCTACCTGTTGATACTATTATTATTTTTTTTGCGTCTTCTGCTCACATTCATATTCTCATATTCTCCGCTGCTAAAGTACGATATACACATCTGTAAATACTTCTAAACCAAGTGCAATTATAGCCCCAGAGTTTATTTGATTTTATTTTATAGTCTATTATCTTAAATAATAGACTCAATTTGATGTGTGCAATCTGAGAGCTCGTATTTAATTCTTTCTCTGCTGTAATGTGCGCAACGATGACACTGAAACTTCACCACTGCGAGACCAATAAAGGTTTATCTTATCTAATCTTATCTTATCTTAACAGTCTCTCACTTACTTAAGGCCACCACCATGAGAGCGGCCGGGACCCCAAAGGCCAGAGGGTAGCACTGCTGTTTGGTGTAGATCCCACATTTCTGCGCTGTAGAAAGGACATAAGCATGAGCCGTGTTCCCACAGACTTCTTCGGTTCATCTGCGGAGGCTTCGGTCCTACCTCTGAAGATGGGGGTGATGATGGTGGAGAGCAGACTGCCAGCGTTGATCGACAGGTAGAAGATGGAGAAGAACGTGCTCCTCTGCTTTTCCTGTTGACGCCATATTTCACACACAAATCAGTGTTTGGTCAGTGAGTTTTTTTTACTTTAAAGAGGTGTTGTACAACGTGACATGTGTGTTGTTAAGATAAGACATGCCCCCGGCCTTGGACTGTGATAAAAAAAACTCAAAAGCACAGGTGTGTACTCGGGTTGTTAGTCAATAAAAATGATTATTACAGGAGACCGATACAAGAAGTGCTGACTGAGTTAATAACTCTGCAATAGCTTTGTGCGCTCAGTCACGTTCTGTCTCTCACCTGGTCCTCGGTGAACTGGTCTCCTCCAAACGCAGCCACACATGGTTTAATTCCTCCTGTGCCCAAAGCAATGAGGATCAGACCCACCATAGACAACGCTCTGTGGGGGAAAGGAGCAGACATCAGGAGCAGGGCAGGAGCCAAGGCTTCGTTAGGAAACATGATTTATATTTGTGCATATGTCGCATGTTCGATCTTGCATTGACTATGACATTCTTGGTTAAATTCATTCATTCTTTGTTTACTCAACCATTTGGTGGATCACTTTCGGAGTCACTTTTTACTCGAAGCTTGAGACAAATTAAATCTACCTCATTGGAATATCTCTATTGCTTCTTTTTAGGCACTTTTACCATCAAGCTGCATCTCAACCAATTCGTAGAGGCCTATCATTGAAACCTGTAATCATTCAAAACTAATTATTCTTGTTTAAAGTACATCTTAGATCACACACATGTTTTACAATGTTTTGCTTTCTTCAAGGAGTGAAAATTAAAGGGTTATTAGAAGAAACCTTAAGAACTTTCTGATGAGAAGCAGGTGATACTCACACGTGAAAGGTCATGTTATCAGGAACCCCGTCTCTATCATTATCTGTGATGTCATGGATGGCACTCACCGCCAACACGATCTGTCCAGCTGCATAGACTATCGACAGGTAAATAATGGTCCTTTGGGGGGAAAAAGAAAAAAATATGTGTAAGAAACATGAGGGCATTCAAATGTATTAATAAAAACAATTCATCGGGTTAATTTAGCGCTTTTCAGGACACTCAAAGACACTTCACATGTCGTTGTTATAAAATAAAATTAAACATACTTAAATTTGCCAAGCCATGAGTCGGCTATGACGGCTCCCAGGATCGGCGTGAGGTAACAGAGCGCAACAAAGGTGTGGTAGATAGTTGTGGCAAAGTCATCATCCCACTTTAGAAAGAACTTGAAGTATAGAACAAGCACGGCTGAAGAAAACACAAGAAAACATCAATGAATACAATGTGTTTTTAGATTAGCCTTCCAAGTTTTAATGCTCACCTCTCATGCCATAGTAGGAGAAGCGCTCACAGAATTCATTCACCACAATAAAAAAGATACTCAATGGGTATCCACAAATAGTCACCTGTAACAATCAGAGAGCATTAGCTAACACCTGCAGTATGTGTGCACCAGACTCTGTAATAACAATAACTTACACTTTTACTCTTTTTCTTTTCTGTAAAATATAAAACAGGCACCAAGTCACTTTTGGTCATTCAGGAGTAAAGAATTGTGAATGTAGCGAGACTCACCTGTCATGATTGCTGCTGCTTTCTTTCTTTCTTACTGAATCCTTTAATTATTGCCCAGTGTCCGGCAGCATCTACATGAAGGCTGACCCGAGAGAAGCCTGGTTCATAAGTAACCTCCAGAGCACCGCCCCGTCAGCGGGCAGCCCCTCCCCAAGTGTAGAGAGACACACAGAGACACAGACAGTACATAGAGACACAGACACAGAGACACAGACACAGAGACACAGACTCAGAGACACAGACATAGAGACACAGACACAGAGACACAGACATAGAGACAGAGACACAGACTCAGAGACACAGACATAGAGACACAGACACAGAGACACAGACACACAGACTCAGAGACACAGACATAGAGACATAGAGACACAGACACAGACACACAGACACAGAGACACAGACACAGAGACACAGACTCAGAGACACAGACACAGAGACACAGACACACAGACTCAGAGACACAGACATAGAGACACAGACACAGAGACACAGACTCAGAGACACAGACATAGAGACACAGACACAGAGACACAGACACACAGACTCAGAGACACAGACATAGAGACAGACACAGAGACACAGACTCAGAGACACAGACACAGAGACACAGACAGAGACACAGACACAGAGACACAGACATAGAGACACAGACACAGACACAGAGACACAGAGTCAGAGACACAGACACAGAGACACAGACACAGAGACGCAGACTCAGAGACACAGAGACACAGACATAGAGACACAGACACAGAGACACAGACACACAGACATACAGACACAGACACAGAGACACAGACACAGAGACACAGACAGAGACACAGACACAGAGACACAGACAGAGACACAGACACAGAGACAGAGACACAGAGACACAGACACACAGAGACACAGACACAGACACAGAGACACAGACACAGAGACACAGACAGAGAGACACAGACACAGAGTCAGAGACACAGACACAGAGTCAGAGACACAGACACAGAGTCAGAGACACAGACACAGAGACACAGACACAGACTCAGAGACACAGACACACAGACTCAGACACAGACATGGAAAATTATAGGAGAAAGAAATGTTTAATTAGTTAATTTTTTTTGTTTGTTAATTTAACCCTACGGTATAATAATACAGCAAATTATCAATATTATTATTATCATTTCTATTATTATTATTATGAGATCTAAATATTGTTCTTGACTTATCCATCTAAATCATTTGTATAAATCCTCATTTACCTACATGTATTTTCTATTGTTTTCTCCATGCTGAATGCTGATTGTTGCCGTTTTTGTTCTTTCTGGTTATAGTAAGCTGTAGTAATAGGGTTCGGCTTGTTTTTTGTGTTTTAATCCCTTTCAGTCATTTTTTTTTTTTCAAATGATCTGTATTGTCTGAGTTGTGAAAAAAGTGACTGAACAAATAAACTACTACTACTACTAAAGAATATGTAGTCGTATAACAAGATTTGCCAATGGGAAAAAGCCATTTAGTCTAATTTCAAAAACTGTTTTCTTATACATTTCTTATATATTTTTAAAACACGATCATTTTGCTTCGTCCCATTTGCAAATCTTGATTTAAGGTAGTCAGAATGTGCTCAATTTAAGATACTTTTTTCCAAATTTTGTTCACTTTATGTAGTGGCTCACAGTCTTGGTTTTAGAGAAGCATGGGGTGTGTGAGGAGATAAAAAGTCTCTGTCTGTAAATCTAACACAAACAGACCACGCCCCCCGACCCAGAAATGGACTAATAAAGGGGTAGAAAATTAAATGAAACATATATGGTGAAGAATAAGATAGAATAGACTTTATACCACAGTGAGACACATTCTCAAAAGAAATCAGTAACAAAACAGTAATTGCATGTTTTTTATTTATTTATGTAAAAACCATACCCATTATCTACAACCTGTGAGTAAGTGAAACTATCTTAAATGTGATAAAGGTATTTTGTCTAGGAACATAATTGATTGCAAACTTCAAACGTTTCATTGCACAGTCCATTTTGATGTCTTTGGCAAGAGCTTAGGTTAAGTACTGTCGCCATGGTAACATATTGCACACGTTTAAAAAAAGAAAAAACAGAAAATAGATTCAAATTATGGCTTTACAAAACAAACACCAATTGGCGTAAAAAAAGCATCAGAAAGATTTTTAAAAGACACAGCACGCAACCGACCGACGGAGGAGCTGGACTGGGAAATACTAAATTGTAAAAATATTATGCATTTGCGAAGACAATGCGATAAAAAAATGCTAAACGAGTCCGTGTATTTCAACCTTTGTCTGTCACGTTTGCAGGGTGGGGCCTGGGAAGCCGGGGTCATTTAGATACCGTCTGCTTAGTCACGGCGTCCAATAAGATCAGGATAAAAAACCAGCAACAAACGGTCCCATTATCAACTCTAAAGTCTCCACAGGAAACAAGTGTCTTCCTTTCCAGCAATAGGAAACTGCCAAGAAGAAAAAAGTCCCACTCATGATTTGATTGACGGATGATTTGTCCAATGGGTGATGGCGAGTGGATATCAGAGGATGGTGGTGGAGGCGTGTGGGTTGGCGCTGGTCGGAGTGCCGCTGATGGCGTTAAAGATTCCCATTGAATCCGACAGCGCGTTTCGAGAGCCGTCCTCTACTGGGAAAATCTGAGAAAGAAAACCATAAAAAAACCATGATTTTAAATGACTTTTGCAGTGCCAGTGTACATTATATAAGTGTGTTTGTGTGTAAATAGTGCATCGTCAATAGTGTTATGTATAATGTGTGTTAATAATATATAATATATTATTAAAAAAACATGTGTTATGTTCTAGATTAACGTCTTCTTAACTCTAAATAAAATATCTAATATCTATCTATCTGGTATAAAAATCTACCATCACAGTTTATTATGTTATTATTAATATGTTGTTCGAAAAGTATTTTGCAGTGTAAGGCATCATGAGTTTGTTCAGTCAGACAGACAGACAGACAGACACTGTAGATAGATTGATCACTTATATAGACGAGAGATACATAGATAGATAGATAGATATAAACAGATAGATAGACGGATAGACGGATAGATAGACAGATAGATAGATAGATAGATGGATAGATGGATAGACAGATAGACATAGATAGACAGATAGATAGATAGATGGATAGATGGATAGACAGATAGATAGATAGATAGACACATTTACAGCCTGTGTCGTGGCTGCATGAACATGATAATATGGCTAAAAGGTAATGTCAGTAACTTCAATAGTATTTTCTTTTGAACGCACACATGTATTTTTGACATGATCATGTTGCATCACAAACCAATATTAATCCCTCTCTTTGGTAAAACCACCATCACCAACAAACTCAGCTGGAGGTGAATAGTTAGACAAATGCGAAGACATTTTTTAGACTCATGTTTATAAAAGCATGCATGAAAGAAGATACATAATAAGATTAAAATAAATGAGAGTTACCCTCCGATCTGCTCGGTCCAGCACAAAGAAATTCAGATAGAGAATGGTTAATATGGTTAGTACGTCATTTATGCTGATACATGTGTGTTTGGTGTTTGTGCGGCCTCTACCTGCTCGTGCATGATGTCAGACAGCTCCCTGGTCAGGTCTCTGTAGTTGGCTTTCATCTCGTCATGGTACTCCTGCTGGTCCTCTTTGATTAGCCGCTCGTTCACTCCTAACCCTTGACCACAGGCGTCTACAAACTGCCTGTAAAGAAAGACGCATACTACCATGTTATCCCCCAAAACAATGGCTACAAAAGCACATTTATAAACCCGGCTTACCTGAAGACTTCCTTTAACTGTTTAACTTTATTGTCCGGGTATTTCTTGGCACTGCTGTCATCGAGGAATGCTCTGGCGTATGCGAGTGGTCCAGCGTTGACCTAAGATAAGATAAGTCCGTTATTTCCGAGGCTGGCAACGCTGGGGCACACTGGGGTGGTCTTGCACAGTTATTCCAATGTGGTTTTACTGCAAATGGCAAACAAACTCTTGTATCTTATTTGTCGCACAATGGGGAAATTTCAATGTCATCGTTACGCACATTACAGCGGAAAAAAGGAAGGAAATAAGAGCACTCAGATTGCACAGGTCAAACATCCATCCATCCATTCATTTTCTTCCCCTTAATCCATTTCTGGGTCGGGGGGAGGTGGCAGTCAGAGCTAAACCCAGTACACAGAGCACCAGCCCCTCACTGATCCTCCTGCAGGTGCTGAGTCCACAGGAGCTGAGATCTTTCAGCGGGGGCTTCAGGCAAAGTGGGGTTAAGTGTCTTGCCCACACATCAAACAGGATTTGTTATTTATGATAAAAGATAATACAAATTCAAAATAATAAAATAAAACTCCGGAGCTATTTGCATTTGGATCGGAGGTATTTATCTAATGTAATGCTTTCAGTTCAGTTCACACAAAATAAAAAACATGTAGCATTAATATCCATAGTTAGTGACATTGCATATTTGTAAATGAAACACACTTGAAGTAACGTTTAGCATTTTTCCTATCAACTTACCTGCCTACCTAGCTGCCAACTAATCGACCTATACCTAATAATAAAATGGTGTTTTCTTACCTGAACGCTGATGCTGCCCTGTAGTTTTAGTTGCAGCTTAATCATGTCGACGTCCGAAGCGGAGCAAAGCAGGCGCAGTTCTGCCACCTTCCCGCTCATCTCGTCGATAGCCACTTCGATGGGGCTTAGGTCGGTCTGGTGCTGGTACATCACAGCGATTCGTTTCTTCACGTACGGAAAGCAGTGGGTGGCTGAAAACGCACAGCGAAGGCATTTCAGAATGTGTGTATTCATTACGGTTGGATGATAAAAGCTAAGAATACATTCAATTAATTTCAATGTTTTTGTGTTTGGCTCTAAATCACAACAGTAGTTTACTCTGAGGACTTTACTTTTCTAAGGAACACATTTCTAAGGAACACATAACACATTTTGGTTGGGGGACACATTTTAAAAAGTAAGAGCTGGTTGGGGCCAAAAGTAGAAAAAGTGGTTTTTGTTTCTTTTTTGTAAAGACAAAACATAAAATAATTTGTCACTGGTTTGGATATTATATTCTGTACCAAATATCAAGAAAAGATGTAAGTGAAGACTGATAATTTACTATAAAACATTTATCTTTGGCCAAATTTATCTTCTACTTAACACTAGAAGTCCCAGCGTTTTTGGCCCCCAGTTTAGAAGAGGAGAAGCTAACTTGCTACTTTGGTTGCTAGTATTTGCATGTTTTGATTTGCAAATGTAGGTAATGACCAAAAACAGCAGGGGGCTGGGGTGGGCTATGTTAACTCGTGTGGCGGAGGAAGAGCTACAAATGAGTGGAGAGAGTCTATGGTCCTGTGTCTATGGTCTTGTGTCTATGGTCCTGTGTCTATGGTCCTGTGTCTATGGTCTTGTGTCTATGGTCCTGTGTCTATGGTCCTGTGTCTATGGTCCTGTGTCTATGGTCTTGTGTCTACGGTCCTGTGTCTATGGTCCTGTGTCTATGGTCTTGTGTCTATGGTCCTGTGTCTATGGTCCTGTGTCTATGGTCTTGTGTCTATGGTCCTGTGTCTATGGTCCTAGGTCTATGGTCCTGTGTCTATGGTCCTGTGTCTATGGTCCTGTGTCTATGGTCCTTTGTCTATGGTCTTGTGTCTACGGTCCTGTGTCTATGGTCCTGTGTCTATGGTCCTAGGTCTATGGTCCTGTGTCTATGGTCCTGTGTCTATGGTCTTGTGTCTATGGTCCTGTGTCTATGGTCCTGTGTCTATGGCTCTGTGTCTATGGTCCTGTGTCTATGGTCCTGTGTCTATGGTCCTGTGTCTATGGTCCTGTGTCTATGGTCCTGTGTCTATGGTCCTGTGTCTATGGTCCTGTGTCTATGGTCCTGTGTCTATGGTCCTGTGTCCATGGTCCTGTGTCTATGGTCCTGTGACATGTTTACATCCAGGGAAACAGCTTCACTTTATGCAATAATGAATGTATTTTATTTTCAGTTTAGTTTTTGGACGACACACTTTAATATAAGATCACCTTTAACGCAAAGAAAAAAACTGTGTAATACATTTTCTAACTTTGCGTTGGAGATTTGAAGTTGGCAAATGGCCCTCAATTTGTATCGCCAAAAATAAAAACACTTCTCCTGAACATTGCATATTCTGGGAAATACATCCATTTGTTTTAAAATGTGCATTTCAATATTTTCTCTAAGACTTTTCCTGAACTTAAAAAGGACATTTCCATGGCAACAGAACAGGGCGACGTCATCGTGTTTGTCGCAGCGGAACATTGCAGAGGAATCAAACCAGGCTTTGTCGGCAGAGGTCAAGAGACTGAAGGAGGAGAAGAGTGACTTGGTCAAGGCTCAAGAAGAGGAAACAAAGAGACTGAAGGAGCAGGTGACACAACTGCAAACGGAGAAGTCTGCTCTGGAAAAGGACTTTATGAATTCCACCGCTTCAATCCAGCACCAACTCGACACCACCCTCCAGGAGAAAACCAGCCTTTCTTCCCCTTAATCCATTTCTGGGTCGGGGGGAGGTGGCAGTCAGAGCTAAACCCAGTACACAGAGCACCAGCCCCTCACTGATCCTCCTGCAGGTGCTGAGTCCACAGGAGCTGAGATCTTTCAGCGGGGGCTTCAGGCAAAGTGGGGTTAAGTGTCTTGCCCACACATCAAACAGGATTTGTTATTTATGATAAAAGATAATACAAATTCAAAATAATAAAATAAAACTCCGGAGCTATTTGCATTTGGATCGGAGGTATTTATCTAATGTAATGCTTTCAGTTCAGTTCACACAAAATAAAAAACATGTAGCATTAATATCCATAGTTAGTGACATTGCATATTTGTAAATGAAACACACTTGAACCAGACTTTTCCTGAACTTAAAAAGGACATTTCCATGGCAACAGAACAGGGCGACGTCATCGTGTTTGTCGCAGCGGAACATTGCAGAGGAATCAAACCAGGCTTTGTCGGCAGAGGTCAAGAGACTGAAGGAGGAGAAGAGTGACTTGGTCAAGGCTCAAGAAGAGGAAACAAAGAGACTGAAGGAGCAGGTGACACAACTGCAAACGGAGAAGTCTGCTCTGGAAAAGGACTTTATGAATTCCACCGCTTCAATCCAGCACCAACTCGACACCACCCTCCAGGAGAAAACCAGCCTCCAACTCTCTGTGCAACAAACCACTGCAGAGCTGCAGGACCTGAAAGAGGCTCATGCCAGGTCTGAGGAAATTAACGACGAGGTCACCAACTTCTCCACGATCCTGAAGGAGAAGAACCAAGCCTTGTCCACTGAACTGCAGTCGGTACAACAGACTCTGAGGACTTTGGAGAAGCGTGCTGAAGAGGACAGGCAACAGAAGGACTCCATCATGAAAGGTATGGACAGAGATCTCTCAAAAGTTGAAGATGAAAACATGAACACATAAGAAGTAATGAACTCTCGTCTTCTAGATGCTGAACATACCCAGCACCAACTCGACACCACCCTCCAGGAGAAAACCAGCCTTCAACTCTCTCTGCAACAAACCACTGCAGAGCTGCAGTCGGCAAAGGACAAGGTGCAGGAGCTGAAAGAGGCCTGTGCAAAGTATGTGGAAAGGAATGAGCAGGTCGTCAACTTCTCTACAATTCTGAAGAAGGAGAAACAGGACATGTCCACAGCACTGGAGTCCATAAAAGTGACTCTGAATAAGGAGAAACAGGACTTGTTCACAGAACTACAGTCTGTAAATCAGACACTGAGGCGTGCTGAAGAGGACTGCCGACAGAAGGACTCCATCATGAACGGTATGGACACACATCTCTCAAAAGTTGAAGAAGAAGTAATGAACACTTAAGAAGTAATGAACTCTCGTCTTCTAGATTCTGGACATTATATTGATGAGCTGAAGACCAAGATGCAGGACCGGGAGATGCATCTGAGGAAAGGTAATTATGAGCTGGAGGAAAAACTGCTCCGGTCTCAGAAAGAGATGGAGGAGGTCAGAGAAAACTTTGTTCTGAAAAACTTTTTTTATTGCAGAAATGGAGGAGGAGCTGAACAAATGTAAGGAGGCAAAGGCAGTGGCAGTAAGGTCACTGCGAAAGGCCCTGGACGAGAACCTACGTCTTCATTATGAACTGAAGTACCCCTCCAAGCAGCAGATCCAGGACCCTCAGGAGGACCACGCCCCACACTATTCTCAAAAGACACACGTCTACAGACCGAACCAAGCTCCACTGGGCACGGCCCCCAAAAACTAAGACTAAGTTCCCGGTGAACTGGCTACAGTAGTAGCTGACCATCGTCTGTTTTATGTAACAGACGATGATTTGACGGAATGAGCTTTGTGAACGTTTTTTACGTTTTTTCAGATCCACATTTGATTCAGAGATTCTATTATTTTACACAGAGTAGAAACAAAGTGATACTTTCATATAATAAACCAATTAAATGTGAAAACTGACCAGATTTCTTTTTCTCAAGTTTAATTTTTAGAGAAAAATGGACAGAAACCATCACGTCAGTTACACTGAACAGGCTGAACTTGGCCCAGGGACCAGAGTTTGACAGGCCTGATCTAAGATAATATTGTTATGGTGTGGACTTTTTGATAACTTTTCCATGTTTTATTTTGATATTTTGGTTCTTCATAGTCTGTTTTCATGTCTGCTCTGTTAATTGCCTGTGCCGCCCTAATCTGTTTAAACTGTGTGTCCCTGTGTGTATCCAAACCCTGTGCTCCTCTTCCCTTGTTGTTGGTCCATTATAATTTTGTCCCTGTTTTGTCCTGGTTTGAGGTTTTAGTTGTGTATCCTGGATTTCATTTTGTTTATTAAATCTTATATTTTGGCAATCCTGCCTTTTGGGTCCTTCATCCTTTTCAGAACGTGACAATTATTCTTGGAGAGTGGACTCACTGGTGAGAACGGTCCGTCGTTTGCACTGCTCGTCCACTCCTCCCTGCTTCTTCCCCGACACGGTGAACGGCGTCTCAAAAACAAATCTTCGGATGTTGTGGCTTTTCTCGAAGTCGGTTTTCCGGTCCTCCAGCTCCTTGTCGTCCAGGTGCGGAGTGACGTGCGTGACTTGGATGTAGGCGTACTTCAGGTCCAGGTCCTTTGGGTTCACCTGAGAAAAAAAGAGGACAAATTATTAAAGCTGAACTATGTAACTTTAATTTAAGGCGATGTTATTGCTCAGTATTGCTCAATGTGGTCCTCCCCAAGGTTCTCGCTTTTTTCCAAACGGTTTCAATTCCCTTTGCTTATGCAGGAGGGTCTAAGGACAGTGAAGATCCAGGACATTTAAGGACTTTTATAAAAATCCATGAACACTCCGCCCCGTATGGACCAAAGGTTTTATATGTTTTCGATTGCTGCATTTCCTGTTTTTGAACTATTTATTCTCTAATCTGTGTTGGCAAATTTTATTTATTGAATTGGGATATGACATTTGATTACAACTGTTGTTATGTCTGTTCTTACAGTGAGCCGATCCGCAGATGTGACTCAGCGACTTTTACAAAGACATGACTGATGCACCTGTCTTGGCAACGCATTTTAGATAATTTAAATAAAAGTCTATAGTATTTAAACTTAATGCTAGGCCTGCTTTGCTTGACAGTACAAGAAAGAAAGCTGCTCTGAGAGTGATGTCCAGGACTGAGACAGAACATGGAGTGACGAGCTTGTGCCAAAAGTGTCTGATATTTGCTTGGACTGATCTCAAAACGACTCCATCTGTTGTTCATGATGGAATAAAAAACATGTCTCCTTTAATACTGAACACATAATACAAAGTCAATTCTAATCTAACTGACTTCCAATATACGATACGATAAGATCAAAATTATAACGTCATTGATCACACAATAAGATCGCTCAGAATTTTCCTTTTAGACGGGAAAAGTACAAAAGATGTAAGGCATAAGGTATTGTCTTTGGGCTTGTTCACACTAAAGGGCACAAAAGTGTGACAAAAGGCCAAAAATTATATTTTAATAATCCAAAAATATTTTATGTTTTTCATGTTTCCAAACACCTCCTCTGTCCATTAGAAGTTTCTAGAACAAAACTGTTTTATACATTAGACAAGTTTCCTAAAGCGGCTCTGTTTATTATATGTAACAGACGATGATTGGACGGAACGAGCTGCAGAAGTTTGTTACGTATTTTCAGATCCACATTTGATTCAGAGATTCTATTTTTTTACACAGAGTAGAAACAAAGTGATACTTTCATATAATAAACCAATTAAATGTGAAAACAGACCAGATTTCTTTTTTTCTCAAGTATAATTTTTGGAGAAAAATGGACAGAAACCATCACGTTACACATTTATCAAGGGTCATTTTATTTATTTATTTATTTATCTATTTTTTTAACGATTCCTTTTTATATCAAGTGATTTACTGATGTTGTGTTAACCATGTAAATCTTGTGGGATTTCTTCTGCCGCTTTTTCAGACTGAGGACATTTCAATTTCTCTGTAACTGGCGTCACAGTAGAACGGTCCAATCAGAGGCTGATTTGATCATTTAAAATGTCGACATAAATATATTTGTCAATCTTTCCTTTTGATTTTATCCACACTATCTTTTTGATCTGTCTGTTTGAAATCTTTTCTCAAATCTATGATAGTAATTTTAGTTTTTGAGTTATAACCTTTTAAAGTCCAGATACTTTAAGTGACACATTACTGTGAACGCACTCATGTACACTAGAGGAATTGTATGTCCAACAGCAAAAACTAGAGCATATTAAAAGTCACATTATGTATTTTCTGGCATCCTCTCCATAGAATTTGTTTTTGCTTTTCTTAGAACGTTCCATGCTACAGAGATTAACTTCAGCTTTATGCACTGCTTACTCTAATGATGCAAGTCTCTCTGCAATATCTCTATATATATAATGAAATATATTATTATCAATATAATTGAAAAAATGCATTCCTGTACACAAAGAAACACATTAACAACAAAGCATTATTCCTGCAGTTCTGTCTCTCACCTTTCCAGAGTCTTGTATAATCTTGACATTCTCTTGACCAAACTTGTCGGAGTAGAGTTTGAGCAGCCTCTGGGAAATCTCAGAAAGTGGAGTGAACTTGGGCTCTTTGTAGATGTACTCTTTCCCGTCTTCATCCTCAAAGAACCCCTGGAGAGATGTGGGAGAGCCGCATCAGAAGCCAGACTTTACAAAAATACCATATTAGACACTGTTGAAACCAATGGGAAGACCGTTATGACAGAAGGAAAAGAGCTATAGCCCCTGATGTATCTATTGAGCAGGTATTTAGAGACTGCTTGGGAGGAAACAGGGGATCCCAAGGTTAGAATACCCATATGAAAAGTAAATATTTGCGTTTTTATGACTTTGACAGATACTATGAGTCCTCAAAAGAAGCCCCAAGCCACATGCAAATACTACACAGTTCCTATTCCCATGGGACGAAATGGCAAATAAGAGTTATTCCACTTACCGCAGCCTTTGGTCGCACAAAAAACACACACAAAGGACTTGGTTAATGCGGAAAATAATAATAATAAATTCAATATGTAGTTTGTGCTGAAGTTCTGAAGACAAAAGGCTTTCTCACTATCTGTTACTATACAATACAGGTGAAACTATGATATCATTCAAAAGTCCTTTTACTTCAGTAATTAAACTTAGTAGTAGTAGCAGTAGTAGTAGAAGGGATTTCATTTCAAACACAACACACACACGACAAGACACAGGCCTAAACGAATCAACCAAATAAAAAAATTAATTTATTCTGCTTCTACTTCTTCAGACATTCATTTTCAAGCAGCGTTTTAAAATTGTTAAACAGCTTTTTAATTCATCTGTCAAGTTTGTTCTACACAGTAAGTCCTCACACACGATTTGGTTTTAAAGTGGTTCTAAATTCAGTCACATATAAGTTTTGGCTTCCTGTTAAACTGTGACTAATGGTGAGTGTCTCTGTCATCAACGTATATGACACATTACAAGCTAAGTTGCCTCATTGCCAATTGCCTCATAAATTCTAACAAAAATAGGCCTGGCATATGTCGTATCTCATAAATTAGACAGGATAGTAACAGTATTGTTCATCTTCAAGAAGAGAATCAAACATATGTCGATTGTATTTACCTGCCCAAAGAAAGCCACTCTGAAATATGTTCCCAACAGCCTTTTCCCAGAATGCATCACTTCTATGACCTTGGTGTAGGCTCGATGCAGCGTGTCGTAGAGATGAGTGAGTTTCTGCAACACGAGACACACGTTAAGAAAGATTTGGTCAATGTACACTGCAAAAAATGCTACAATATGAGGTAATAATTGCTTAATTTGAGCACATTCTGACTGTGGTAAAGATGTATAGGAGGTGGATCATAAAGATATCATTTGTCCTCCCAATTGTCAGTCATTCTGGTGATGCATTCTCGACAAATAAGACCAGAGAGTTTTGATTAAAAAGTGGAGAGGGCGGTTCTTTCCTAAATTTTGGGAAAAAACCTCCAACCATCCTTTTTCTTCCCCTTAATCCATTTCTGGGTCGAGGGGCGGCAGTCAGAGCTGCACCCAGTACACAGAGCACCAGCCCCTCACTGATCCTCCTGCTGAGTCCACAGGAGCCTTGATCTTTCAGGGGGGGGGGGGCTTCAGGCAAAGTGGGGTTAAGTGTCTTGCCCAAGAACACAACGACAACAGACATCAGTGGGAGTCGGGAGGCCAATGCTCTACTGACTGAGATATTGTCGCCCCAAAAATCCTCCAATATACCTTTAAAACAAGGTATTTCAAAAACTGTAGCTTTAAAGAACTATGCTCAAATGAAGATACATTTTTGCCAAATTTGAGCAACTTCTGACTCAGATTTTATCCCTTTTTGCAGTGTAGAGTAGTAGATTATTGACAGATGTTTTGACAAGTGAAACCTCAAAGTCTCTACGCTGTTCATAGATGGGGATTATGAGCCGGTAGACGTCGGCGATGAGTTCGTAGCGTTCTGCTTTCCACAGACCATCTGCGCACTCCTCCAGCAGCTCCATCAGCACCTCCTAAAAAACACACACAGATAGCCCATCATTTCTCCGGTTTGTGTTATTTGTCCATTAGAGCTGGAAGTGAGCACGGCGTCCCTATAAAAAAGACAGGAGTGCATTGAAATCGGAAATTGCCGTATACTCCGGGTCGGTTTATATCCATGAAGCAGATGGTGGGTAGAAACTAATGTCTGGCTGTTGACTATCTCGTAAAAAACACACACATTTTGTAAACATTGTTTTCCATTTCATACGGCCCTTTTCGCTGGCCCTAGTGACGTGGCTCAGCTGAAGTGCACATTAACAGGCAAGAATTATGAATCTCAAAATAGTTAATAGCATAAACAACCTCTCTGCTTCATCTCATTACTCTATTCTTCAGCACTTGATTATCATTTAACTGATAAGAGCAACTTCACTGTCTGAAGTGTGGACTCGATCAGCTAATCATTGACTTTCTGATGATTTAAAAGCAAATACTGATACACACACAACCTCTGTTTCGACAAACCTCATTAAAGTGAACGTCCTGCATTCCCACGTCCTCCATCATGGCCGCCTCCTCGTCGATGTTGGGGGTGATGACCCGGAAAGCAGCGCAGCCCTGTCTGAACATACCTAAAAGACACAATCACACACTTTAGAAAATGCATTATTTTATATTATTATTTCTATTATCTACAGGACTCAGGCAGTGGTCCTCGTTTTATAACCTGAGACCAGGATCTACAGCCTGTCTGTCGGGGCCAAAGTTTCTCACTTTCTCCCACTGGGTTGTTACAGTTTTTCTTTGGTGTTGCACGAGGGTCCAAGGTGATGATCCAGGACACTCGACATTCAACGGCATTTATGTTTAAACCGTTTGCTTCTCTGATCTGTGTCGGCGAAATTGACAGTTTTGTGAAGTCCTCTCATATACCGGATAACTACTGCTTTACAACCATACATTGAATTTAATCGGATTGTTTAAATTACATTCTTACGCAAATTTAGTTTCACATTAGGAACATTATTGGTATTAATTGTTGTTACAATGTAAATGTCCTTGTTGCCCGTGGTAACGCCATCATGATATAACACTGTAAAATAATGCTTGAACAAAGAAGCAGTGAAGTTGATAGTTTAATCGCTGAATGAGGATAAAGACGTTTTTCTTCTTCCCACTCCTTTTCAGGCAGAATTATACTTCCATGTTAATACCGTACATTTATTGTTCACACATTTTTTTGTTTATACTGTTTTTTTTTAATTGTGTGATTTGTCTGTTTGTTTTTTTATGTATATATTTAGTATATGATATACATTATTTAACTGCATTTAATTACCTTGCTTAATCACCTGTGCCATTGGCTGAAATAAATGAATAAATGAAATGAAAAATTAATGAATGAATTATGTATTTGTTTATTCTACCACTTTATTTCCCAGTTGTACAAACAGTTCCCAAAGTTCATCTTCTGGCTCAAAAAGGTGAAGAGAAATGAAAGGGTATATATCTTATCTCAAACGGCTGTGCGTTAACACTTGGTGAACTGTGGACCTTTGCACAGTGGAGGGCTCCTATCTGAACTGTCCTTTATTGCTCGCAGCATCACCAAGTAATGTTTTTCACATCACTACAGAACAGATAATCACTTTCTATTAGATTAATTAGATTAATCTTTAACTTGTGTCTAATGACTTCCCTTCTGAAACGTGGAGAGCAATAGATACGCTGCAAAAATTACATAATATGTGGTAATAATTGCGTGATTCTGGTGTTTTTTATCTTAATATGAATAAATTCTGACTAGACAAAACGGCCAATTGGCAATTCTTGTTTTATTTGAGAACTGCTGCTTTTTTGTCATTCAAAAAGAGACATTTATTATTTATTTATTTATTGTTTATTTGGTTAGGACAGTACATGTTTTGCATCAGATGTCCCACATTCATACTCACAAACACACAGTCATTCATTCACCCCGAAATATTGCAAATGTTATTACACAGGGAGAACATGCAAACTCCACTCAGAAAGGCCCTGTTCCTACCAGGATTCCAACCCAGAACCTTCTTGCTGAGATGGATTTGGCCCGTCCCATTGGTAAATCTCACACATGTCTCCAATTAAGATACATTTGACCCATTTTGTGACTTATTTTTCCTCACTTTTTGCTGCGTAGAAGGATATTTGCTTGTAATGATGCCCCTTACCTTTGCGCCACAAGTACTCAGACACAAGAGCAGCCACATGGACGTAGCACATAGCTGCCTGGATAGACACAAACAAACAAAAATGGTAAAAGAAAATGCATTTGGAATTGAGTTGAAAGAGAGGAGAGGATGATAATACCTCTGACAGATCCCCGTTCTTGTTGTGGATACGGGCCATGCTGTCCAGCCAGGTCTTGCGGAGCTCTGGGGTGCTGGTGTAGGATTTGGCCAAACTGTACTGAAGATCCACCAACATCTCCGGGTCGTTCTCGTGCTCCTTCATCTGCTCTGTGGCCATCAGCACTGTCCGAATGCGCTTCATTAGATCTTTGACGTCCGAGGGGAACGCTGTGTGCTGTATAATAACAAACGCATTATACATGTGGTCAGTAAGTGTGATGAAATATAAGTCAGAAATTGCTCGGATTTGGTTTAATCTTAATTTGAGCACATTTTGACTGCCTTAAAATGAGATTCATCAATGCTGGGACAAAGAAAAATCATCTTGTTCTAAATAGATTGGAGAATCCTGTTTTAAAGGAGCAGTGAGTAAAAAATCTGGCCAAAAGTGGTACTGCACTCTCTCCCACTTTCCCTGACTTATGTTGCCAGATATGCAGACGAATCCAGCTGGTACCATAATAATAATAGCTAAATAGACGAGAGTTTTGTTAATATCAAATCTATAACAAACACCATTTTCACAAAGGTCCCGATACAAATCCTAGTATTATTCCTTGCTTTGTTATTATGGATTTGAGAATCATAACGAGACCTTTTTTAGTTCTGTGGCCACATGTTACTGCACCAGGGAGATTAGCTCGAAAAAAACGGCGGAGGGCGGGACATCGAAATGAAAACAATAACAAGATTTAGGGGCTGGAAAAATAATTTTGAAATTCAAATATCTCTGAACTATAATTATCAGTTAAAGAAGTATTCGAAAAGAGTATGTTTTATTAATGCTTTTGACAGATTAGGGCCCTTTAATGATGACTTAACAAGAAAATCTTACATATTGCCACTTTAAGACAGTCAGAATGTACTCACAAAGATAAAAAGACTCGATTCAAGCATTTATTACCATAATTTCTTACTTTTAACATAATATTTACCTTGATATTCTTGTCACTATTGGCACAGTTGTTTATAATGGATAGAGACTGTTGGAAGCGGGTGCCTCCAATCCCAATCACATCTGCTATCAACTGACTCACTGCAATGACCACCTAAAAAGAAGCAGTTTTATAAATATCCTGAATACCATAAGGAGGGTTAAGTGTTTTGTGGACAGCGCCATACCTGCAGGTGCGTCCGTACAAAAGACTTGCGGCCGGTGTAGTCGAAGTTGCTTTTCATGAGGAAGTAGAGCAGATGGGCGGCGTCGCTGCGAATGGAGCTGAGCTTGGAGTTACAGCACTTTAGGATCTCGTAGCACAGAGAGGCGCACATGTCGGCGCGACCGTCGAAGAACGTACAGGGAAACTGCAATGAGAGAATTCAGGAAAAGTGAGATTGTCTGGTGCACACTGGTACTTTTGCAAATATAATCTAATGTGGTTTAACTGCAAATGGCAAATAAACGGCATCTGAATCTGATACCGCTTTACTATTTAGTCTTGGATGTGTGTGTGTGTGTGTGTGTGTGTGTGTGTGTGTGTGTGTGTGTGTGTGTGTGTTGGTTGTTATGTTTCTCCCACAGCACGAGGTCTGCGTCCCGGCTCCTCACCTTGTAGATGAAGGTCCTGAGGGAGGTGAAGACGTGCTTGAGCGCCGTCTCCGATTGTGGAATTTGCAGAAAGCACAAATGAACCTGAAACACCTTCTTCATGAGAGGGTTGTGGCCGAGGTCGGAGGTCAGCTGAGTCTGGGGGCCACAGCAACACAATGCAGGGTTTGTTTATGTACATTCAGTGGTAAAATATCTTAAAGCTACATTAACTCATTTTATTGTTGTATTCATTACAAAAATTAAAACCAATTTCATGCAGTGCCTTGGGATATACGTTTATTTTAGATCGAGTTTTTGTGCCACAAGGAAGAGAATCTGTTTCGGGTCCAGATTGTGACCAATCACAGCGCACCACTGGCCCCCACTTTCTTGAGAAAAGCCACAGGTCTCTTGTTAGCACAGACAGCTGAGGTAAACAAGCGACGGAGGCTAACCTGAAACTTTCCGAGTCTTCGTTACCGGTTCCTGCTTACTCAGAGAAACAGCCAAAAGAAAGTCTCGTTCCTCCGCGCTTCCCGGTTCTATCATTCTATGGTCACGCCACGTTCAAATGTGCAATCCATTTTGTGAGACGCTAGCTCCAATAACATAAGCACAGGCTGAGTGGGAGGGGGGTAGTGGGGGGTGATAGCTCCGTGAGTGCGGGGAGGGCGAGCAGAAAGAGCGAGGCCAGCGCTCACATTCGAAGATGTCACAAAGTGAGTTAGTGCAGCTTTAAAAATATCTTAATTCAAGCCCAATAGATATTCATAGATTTTTTTTGTTTTCATTCATTTTGTTTTTTGTTCATCGTATTATACCCTGGTCTGTGGTCATGTGACTCCACTCCGTTACCAACTGCTCTAGCGCTCCCCCTATTGAGCAGTTTTGGAACTGGGGTAAAAGGTCAAGGCCAAAATAATGTTGTTTGACCATATTGACAATTCTAACATCCAAAAAAAGGATATCTGACGTGAGTATACTTTTCAAACTCCACTCCGTTACCATCCATAACTTATATATAATTGATAAGTTAGACCAAGTTCAAATCTACCTCTGCTAGACAATGTGGCAAATACATGATAGAATATGAATGATTGTAATAATTGCTTGAATCGAGTGGTTTTTATCGCTAACATTCTGACTGTCTTAGAACAAGATTTGCCAGTGGGATAAATTCATTTAGTCTATATCAAAAACTGTAGCTTTATTTTCTCATTCTAAGCAAGACATTTCTTGCATCTTTTGAAAACAATATCATTTTGCTTTGTCCCATTGACAAATCTCAAGGCAGTCAAAATGTGCTCAACGTAAGATAGATTTTGCTAAATTTGAGAAATGTTTGACTTATTTTTCCTCACTTTTTGCAGTGTAATAGTTTGTCCGTAATTAGAAAATCCCTGTTATCCGTGAGTGTTGTGCGTGTGACGTGTGTTTTGGCTGAGTGGTTACCTTGAAGCCCATGATGAAGATGCTGAGGGTGTCCAGCACGGTGAAGCAGACTTCGGTGGACACGTTGGCCTCCAGCAGACACTGGCTGCTCACGTCAGCGTCGGCGTGAGTGTACACTGAGCAACAGATAGCAATTCATTAAGGCTTCATAAAAACATCGATCTGGTCTCTGGTTGTTTGGCTAGATAACGCTAATGACCACTTCAAAATAATTAAACAAATGAAAAGAGGCCGTCTGAGTTGCCCTGTGTGTGTGGGTGTATGAATTGTGTTATATTGACAAACTTGACTTGCTTCAAAAATATGATTCACCAAATGCTTGTGTACATAATAAACAAGAGAGCTTCAGAATTGGTTCAAAGACATTTAAAAGAAGTGAAAATGAATTTGTTGGTGGGTGTGCGTGTATAAGTGACTATGTGTGCGTCTGTGTGTCTGTACGTCTGCGCATGCGTCTATCTGTGTGTGTATGTGTGTGTGTGTGTGTACATGTATGTGAATGTGTGTGTATGAGTGTGTGTGTGTGTGTACATATGTGTCTGTACATATGTGTTGGTGGATGCGCTTGTATATGCATGACTGTGTGTGTGTGCGTGCGTATGCTCGTGTGTGTGTGTGTGAGTGTGTACATGTATGTGAATGTGTGTGTAGGTGTGTGTGTGAGTGTACATTCAGTATGTGTCTGTACATATGTGTTGATGGGTGCGCTTGTGTATGCATGACGGTGTGTGCATCCGTGTATCTGCGTGTTTGTGTGTGCTTATGCTCGTGTGTGTGTATGTGTGTGTGTGTGTGTACATAAGTGTTGGTGGGTGCGCTTGTGTATGCATGACTGTGTGTGCATCCGTGTATCTGCGTGTTTGTGTGTGCTTATGCTTGTGTGTGTGTATGTGTGCATGTGTATGTGTATGTGTGTGTGTGTGTACATAAGTGTTGGTGGGTGCGCTTGTGTATGCATGACTGTGTGTGCATCCGTGTATCCGCGTGTTTGTGTGTGCTTATGCTCGTGAGTGTGTGTGTGTGTGTACGTGTGCGATGTTGCGTACTGTTGTTGAAGGTGTGTGCGCTCTCAGGAGTCCCCAGCTGCTGTAGCCTCGCGTGCATAAGCCCCGCCCTGTTCCGAGACACAGGCAGCGTTAAAGACTTCTTATCGGGAGTCATGAGGCCTGTCCCGTCCTGGCTCCTTGGAGAAACACACAACATTACACAACATTACAAAACCTTTAATATCACCACAAATCACCATCATTTACTTTAGTCAAATAATAGATTAAATGTACACTGCAAAAAGTGATAAAACATGTGGTAATGAATGCTTGAATCAAGTGGTTTTTATCTTAACTTGAGGCCATTCTGACCGTTTTTTCAGGTATTGTTGCCTTATTTTCTCATTCAAAGAGAGACATTTCTTGTATATTTTTAAAACAATATCATTTTGCTTGTCCCATTGGCAAATTCTGTTTTTGCCAAATTTGCCAAATTTGAGCAATTTTTTTGCTGTTTTGTTTTCACTTTTTTCAGTGTAACAATTTTTTTTAAAGGCCAAGGCAGTGTGTTGTACCATGCATCATCTTACCCATGCAGGAGAGAGCCAAGGACTGAGGCATTAGTGACTTTTTACTTGCCAGAAGCATTAATAGTAAAGACAAAATGCAGGGGTTAGCAGATTTAATAAACCAGTAAACAATAAGTGTGGGTCAGGGGGATCTCCTTTGCCAATCGGGTTAAAACAATTCATTTTTGTTTACCTGGCGATGAATCTCTTGCCCATATACCTAAACTGATGAAGGCACACTCTGCAAGAAAGAAAATTGTGATTCAAAAAGACATTTTCAATCCGTTTTTGCACAGTAATAATGGAACAGGCATGGTAAGTAAGTAAGTCATGTTTATTTATATACCGCATTTTTACAGACCAAGGTCACCCAAAGATCTTTACAATGTTCAGAGTCAGATATTGTTCCAATCCTTCCACACACGGTGATGACAGAAGCGAGTCCAGAACACACTGGACCATCAGCTCCAATTAACACCATCCACTCACTCTCTCATTCACATTCATACCTATTGTGCATGTTTTTAGTGGTAGGGGAAACCGGAGCACCTGGAGGAAACCTACGCAGACACGGGGAGAACTTGCAAACTCCACTCAGAAAGGCCCTGTTCCGACCGGGATTCGGACCTTCTTGCTGAGGTAGCTGAATGTGGTTATGTGGTAATTACTTAAGTTAAAAAGCCATAAGGACACACAATTCTTCCAGTGTAATGTAACAATCTAACTCATAATGACTGGTAGACTCTGTAATTTATTGGTAACAATACAAAAAATTGAAAATAAAAACTAAAATGATGTCAAATATGCAATATGTGACGCCTTTAAAACTCACTCCAATAATGTGAAGAAGTCTGTGAGATCAGAGGGAGCCGCTTTGTTCCAGTATGAAAATAGGGCCTCTAGAGAAAAGGTTTTCAAACGATTATTAACATTTTGTATCAGAATGTGTTAGTTGAAAAAGCATCCTTACCTTCTGACATGCTCTTGAGTATATGCAGGAAGCACATGAGCAAGTTTCTGATCTCCTCTCGGTCCAGTTTATCGCAACGGAGCAAGGTGCTGCCCAGAGCGGACGCACACTGGTTCTGAGGCAAAATAAATAGTTTCTGAGAAGCCAGGAAAAAATACAACCAAAACAGCACTGCAAAAAGTGATGAAATATAAGTCTAAAAAGGCTCAAGTTTGTATCTTAATTTGAGAACATCTGTACTGCCTTAAAGCAATATTTGCGAATAGGACAAGCAAAGTTATCCTGTTTTGAAATGCAACAATGAATGTCTCCCTTGGAATGAGGAAAAAAAATGCAGCAGTTTTGGAAATGAGACAAAATTTGCTCGTCCCATTGGCAAATCTTGTTTTAAGACAGTCAGAATGTGCTTGAATTCACATAAAAACCACTCGATTCAAGCAATTATTACCTCACATTTCATCATTTTTTGCAGTGCACTAAGAAAGAAAGTAGGTCAAGTGTTGAACAGAAATGACAGCTCTGAGATTGTCACACAGTTTAAGATATTTAAAGAGCGACTAAACACCAAATCAACTTTTTTTTTACTCATAAACTGCATAAATATGTAAATTGTAGTGCTCTCTACATATCCTGGTCATTTTTTGACATTTTAGTGCAAATTAGATAAAATCTCGTGTTTGAGCCTAAAATCGTCTGTGTGGCGCCCTCTCAACCTTTTCGGTGGTACTACATTTGAATTTGGTCCTGGCCTCTCCATTGACTGTAATACTGTGTGACGTCAGTTGATGTGTGTGACGTCAGTTGGTGTGTGTGACGTCAGTTGGTGTGTGTGGCGTCAGTTGCTGTGTGTGATGTCAGTTGGTGTGTGTGACGTCAGTTGGTGTGTGTGACCTCAGTTTGTGTGTGACGTCAGTTGGTGTGTGTGACGTCAGTTTGTGTGTGTGACGTCAGTTGGTGTGTGTGACGTCAGTTGGTGTGTGTGACGTCAGTTGTGTGTGTGACGTCAGTTGGTGTGTGTGACGTCAGTTGGTGTGTGTGATGTCAGTTGGTATGTGTGATGTCAGTTGGTGTGCGACGTCAGTTGGTGTGTGTGACGTCAGTTGGTGTGTGTGACATCAGTTGGTGTGTGTGACGTCAGTTGGTGTGTGTGACGTCAGTTTGTATGTGTGACGTCAGTTGGTATGTGTGACGTCAGTTGGTGTGTGTGACGTCAGTTGGTGTGTGTGACGTCAGTTGGTGTGTGTGACGTCAGTTGTGTGTGTGATGTCAGTTGGTGCGTGTGACGTCAGTTGGTGTGTGTGACGTCAGTTGGTGTGTGTGACGTCATTTGGTGTGTGTGACGTCAGGTGTGTGTGACGTGCGTCTGTCTGAGCCAGTGATATAAACCCATCCAACTCTCTCACACGCCCCAGCAGCAGGTTGGAGTATTCTGGCGACATCTAGTGGATTAAAATTAAATTACATCAGTTGACAATCACTTCTGCTGAGATAATTCAGTGGCTTAGGTTCAGGTGTGTAGCGCTTAGTATCTTAGTGTGTAAATAAGGGTGGAATGAGACTTTCTGGTGTGTAAACTATTGCTTTAAGCAGCAATGACAACTGTCAGTTTATCTGTGTGACAAGTGAGCTGTCAATCACAGCCCAGACCACGCCCAACTCTAAGCCCCCCTTCTTGTCCCTTGGTCCTCCGGGCAACGCCCTTTTTAGAGAAAAATTTCAAATGTTCATGTGGGCGGAGTAAGGCTGGGCACAGGTGTTTAGTTGCTCTTTAAGCCGATTGAAAACACACAGATTTTTGTAGGACACATAGAGGGAAGTATTGTACAGACGCCCATAGTATTTGTCTTGTTCAAAGTTTACATGAGCATCGTACAATTCGTAGCGCACGGCAACAAGTCACGCTCTGTCTCAGGTACTTGTATGGATGTGTTTGCGTGTCCATTCAGTCCTGGGTTTTCAAAGACATTATCGGTGTCTTGCAGCGAGTCTAACAAGGACACGGACAGCAGGGAGAAGTCCATGGTGATGCGTTTAGGTGCATGTTTAGGAGCCGGGGCATCCGTGGCAGCAGGAGGGACCACGGGTACGTTAACCGAATGCCGGCGAAATTTCTCTTTTTGCTGATTCACAACGCAACGGGCGGTAGTGTGGGAGCGCTGGTGTGACGCACAAAAAGCTACTCATGAAACAGTCTAGAAATACAGATTATGTGGGACAAAATGCAGCCAGGGGTTTGCGAGCGGATACCTTCTCCAAGGAGTTGGTTCGGTCGCTGCTTTTGTCCAGGCTGTTTCCAGAGTCAGTGGAGATCAGAGAGCCTCGGGAGTCTGCATGGTGGACCGAGCTGACGTTTGGAGTGGAGCTGTGTGGAGAGGCTGGGAATAGACACGGGGAAGCAGCGATTCAGATTCATGCAGCTTCCTGAAAATGTGAGACGGGCTGTCTTCTCAGGCAGTTTTGAAATCCCAGTTATAAACAGTTCTCTTTAGCTGTGCATGCCACTAAAGGATTTTCGTCTTTACTTTCTCTAATGCACTGTGGCTACTTATGATTTTAATCCCATGTGTGACTTTAATGTCTTACTTGTGTGATTTTTTTGTATATGATTTTTTATATTTTGTGTGTTTTATTTTTTGTTTTTAATCATATTTTTAAATACTATTTTTGTTTTGTTTATGTAGAATAATAATAATAATGTATCAGTTTTATATAGCACTTTCATTCACTCCAAACACGGTGGTGATGAACTGTAGCTGCTCTGGGGCACACTGACAGAAGCGAGGCAACCAGTATGTGCCATCAGCCCCTCCCACCACCACCAACCATTCACACACCAGACTCATGCGATGGGGACAGTGTCTTGCCTAAGGACACAACGGCAGTTTGGCACTTTACAGCCGCAGCCGCCCCACTGTGGCATCAGGTGTTCCCAGAGGTTAAGTGTCTTGCCCATTGACACAACGACAGCATACATCAGTGGGAGTCGATGGTGAAAGTCTTGAGGTGGGCTCGAACCCACGACCTTCTGGCTCAAAGGCCAATGCTCTACCAACTTTGGTTGAGAGGTGTTTTTCAACCTGTGTACCATGGGCCATTAGTACACTTAGATGAGAATAATTGCTGTGTGCCGCAGGTCTTTCCTTTCTTCTGCTGTCAGACTGTACAATGAACAAATGGGACTGAAAAACACAGCTGAACTGTTTCACATGTCGTGCATTTGTGCAATAATTTGAACTAATGTCAAAATGTGCAATACAGAAGCCCAGACCCTCGTGCTGCTAAAAGGTACACATGCATACATACAATATACTTCTTGCACTATAGACTTATTGTTTGTTTATCTTGTGTTGTGTGTTCTTCCTTCCTACTGTGCTGTAACCGGTGATGCAACACTGACATTTCCCCACTGTGGGACAAATTAAGGATCTCTAAATCTTAATTTTATACTGTTAATAAAAGCTGCAGTGTCTCATGTTTGTGACAGTTTCAGCTAGTATGTGTGCCATGTGATCTGGAGTTGATAGACAGTCTAGACATGTATATCCGACACGTATATATTAAAACATTAGTAACCTGTTCCAGAGATGACCCCAAATACATCTTTGTGGAGAGCGTTTTCTATACAGCTGCCATGTTTGTGTGGTGTGGCCATAGCATTGTGCACCAGTGGGTCTTCCCTGGCATTCTGGAAAATAAACAAAAAAAACGAAAAAGAATTATAGATATGCATGCCATGAAATAATGCACAACAAAATTATGACTACAAACATATTTCAACGTTAACGAGAAAGCTGTCGTTCCACACAGTACCACTAGGGGTCAGACTTACATTGTGGTTGCTGAATGGAACCAGGTCCTTCATGTCCAGTCTGTGCACATTTTCCTGGAGCAGTCCAAACATGGGGAGATACAGAGTGGCCAGCCGGGCCTGATGGCTCTAAGAAGTGAATATTTGAATAACAAGATGAGATAAGAAATAATTGTATTCGTTCCAGAGTGGAGAAAATGTGTTGTCATAGATACGAATAACAGCACATTTTTTGTATTGTGACCACTTTCAACCAATTGGTCAAAATAATGTGAAAAGATAATAATATGTATGTTAGAAAGAGTTTTTGTGTTTGTTGATTTTCTATAGAACACACTTCGATGAGAATAATTGCTGTGTGAAGGAGAGATTCAGCAGGTCTTTCCTTTCTTCTGCTGTCAGACTGTACAATGCACAATGAGGATAAGATAATACACACTGTACACACTGTCGTCAGCAGCATCAGGAGGTATTTACAGATGTTTAAATTGTACTTTAGCAGCAGAGAATTAGACCAGATAAACAATAATAACAGCAGGTAAAGTGACTCGTGAACAAACCAGTGATTAATATTTCTCGACTTGTCAAACAAAAGGTTTATGTTAGACTAACTTTTGCGACATAGCGGTCGTCGAACGTGTGCTTGATCATCAGCGCCTTGAGGACCTGAATGGAAATCTGTCGGATCTCTCTGTACTCCTGTAGAGCCCCGCCCACCTCCCTCAGCAGCAGCCCCACCAGGAAGTGGTTTCGACAGAAGTCATCAGTCAGAGAATAATCCAGTTGCAGATCTATTGAAAACCATATTGAGTTACATGTGAGAGAGGCAGATGAAGATGCTGGAGACAAAGTGGTACTGAAGGGTATTCATTTTACCCTGGAACCTCTGTATTCTTCCTTTCCCAAAGGGCATTGGCAGGTTCAGAGGAACAAAGTGCTCATGGCTACAGACGACACGAAGAAACTCAAACTTAAACTCGTACAGTGTCTGAAAAACAGAAAAGATATCCTTGAGATCATACATTAAACTAAATCCCAATCAAAAATCTCAAAAGCAATAGACCTTGGGATCTCCTGGTACAAAACAGTTGATGTAATTGTTGATTTGTTTAAACACAAAACCTCTGTCCATGAAAGTGAAGCAGCGCTGAGGATAGAAAGGTGAAAAATTAGACGTGTGATCGTGAGGAAAAAGTATTGAAATAGAATCAAGGAACAGACTTTAATGAAAACCGCGAGGCTGTGGTTGGCGTTACGAGCCGCGTCCAGGTTGTCCTTGTACTTCTGCGTGATGTGAGGCATTAGCATGTTCACCAGCGTTTCCACCGCGTGATGGAAGGAGGCGGAAAAACGCAGGTTTCTGGACGTCTGGGACAACAGTGAAAGACAGATATTAGAAACAGATATTACAAAGCAGTGGAAGAAGGAAACATTTGAGTTACTGAGGGTGGGATATGACGATTCCACAGTATTGCGATATCTTGGTCACAATTCATGGCCCTCATTTTACATTTCTAAAATGAGGGACATACATTTTTACATTTTCACATTAACTGAAGTGCACAAACTCAGGAGGGCTGTGAAAAAACGTTATCCTTGAACATTCAGGACACAGGACCTTCATACAGGACATAGTTATTCTCTCTGCACATCACTTACATCATTCAAATAACAAAAAGATACATAATAGAGTAACATTAGCCTGGCCTTATCCATCCGTACGCTCAATCATCATTTCACTGCATGTAACGTCTGGGTCTGATCCCTGTGTTAGCGATTACAATCGGTTGAATTTCGACCGACCAATCAGAGAGCGCGGGAGGCAGGTGTTGTATTTAGATGTGGGTGACGTCAAGAGTTTGTGTCGAACGGGAAGGTTGTAGTTTGGCAATGGCAAAAAATGCGATAGTAAAGTATTCCAGAAAAAATTGTGGCGCTACTCCCCACGGGCTCCGTTAGCGGCAAAGGAGATGGCTAGGCTAAATGCTAACAACTCACTCGGGCGCATTACATACGTCACGGTAAACTCAGATCCAATGGTTTCAATCTGCAAAAGGAGTTAATCCCTCCCACCTGTTAACGGAGTCAATGGAACGCCTCCAGACCTTAGTACGAAATGTCATTTGTACTATGGTGTGGTACGACCAGGCTAGTAACATAAACCCCAGATATAAATGATTAAATATCACGATACTTTGCTCCACTGCATTGATTTAATTGTGTGCTCAAAATATCGCGATACTGAAAAGAACCGTTTTTTCCCCCCACTACATGAATTACCTTCACTTTTCCACTTTCAATGAGATAATGAGCCATGGACTTGACCAGCGCCTCGAAGAAATACCAAGAGTGCTGAAACGTGACATAATTTAGACTTTAGAGCATGAGCGACTAAAGTATTTCAATGAAAACAAACGTTACCTTCAGCAGCTTGTTACTTGTCAGAAAGTCTGTGGATGGTTTCAAAATGGCCGTCATGGCTTTAGCAAGCTCCTCATGAACTGTTTTCACATTTAAACCAGAATATGGCTCAGGTTTCAGCACAAACTATGGACAGAAATACATACCTTCAAATATATATGTTTACTTATATAATTCAGCACCGGCTTCTACCTTCACATAGGATCTGAGATAGTGCTCCAGTCCTTCTTCGTGGCACTGAGCGACGACGTGCACCATCACCCTGTGAGAGATAATGATACGAAACATGAGAGCAGAGCATTATGGGAAAGATTACATGTCTGGGCTGTTCGGCAAAAACAACAAAAAATTCGCTTAAACTACAAAAATTTACCTCACACTCAAAAGACCTCAAGCTTTAGGCCAAATTTTCAGACACAAAAGTGAAAAATACCCTCAGTTCTCAGCCAATCAGCTCCCAGCCAATCAGCTCCCAGCCAATCAGCTCCCAGCCAATCAGCTCACAGCCAATCAGCTCACAGCCAATCAGCTCCCAGCCAATCAGCTCCCAGCCAATCAGCTTTCATCCTCAAATAGTGACTCTCTGGGCTCACACTATTATGCAAAAGATAACAGGTTTTCTCATGAGACTCTTTCTGATGGGACAAACAAAATAATCTGGGACATTTAAGGACATTTATAGACATTTACTAACATTTATGGACAGTAGTCATCCCCTCCCTATGGACCAATGGCTTCTATGTGTTTGATTCTCTAAACTGTTGTTGGCGAATCCACAACTTTGTCAAGTCCCTCGAGACGACTGCTATTGTGATTTATGGCTGTGGTACAACTATAAATTGGGCAACACTTAGATTATCCCTCACTAATCAACACCTAATAAGTGCTAATTAGCGTATCCTGATGCTAACCCACATGGGAAGGTGTCAATGAATGAATGAATGAATGAATGAATGAATGTTCAGCCCTTCTAAGTTTTAGAAAATCCGATAACTCAGGCCCTGTCCCAGTACTCGCACTTCCACCCTCGCGCTCCTCATTTGCGCGTTCCCGATGATGGGTGCGAGTGCGTCCCAATTCTCCAGGGAGGTCTTTGGCCCCGCCCCCTTTGCGCCCCTGATCCACACTTCGCTGTAGTCTGCATCTAAGCTGACTCTGGCGAAGGATATTGCCCATAATCCTTTGCGGTACACACCAACATGTCTGGAAAATGCATTAAAGTGTAAGTTTTGAAATATATATGCTGTATGTGTGAAAATACATGTTGCTATGTTACTTGGATAGAAGCATAAATGACTAATTGAAGAATTACGGACATCCTATGCTAAGTCAAACCTTGAGTGCACTTCAAATTTGTTTGAAGTGCACACTTTGTAGAGGGGTGCAGGGTGCAGTGTGGGTATTGGGATTGGGCCTCATGTGCGCACACTCACAAGAAACAGGAAGAGGGTGAAGGGGGTAAACACATCCCATTGGTTCGTTGGGGATGAACGAATCCCATTGGTTAATTTTTATCAGTCCGCTCCAAAATATGTTTTATTAATTTTTGGACACTATAGGCATCGGGTCAATTCCATTACTATTTGAAATCACATGATAACTTGATACTTTTAGGGTTTAGGGACGTTTTCCCACAATATAAAAAAAAAATGCGTCTGGAAAAAATCACTGACTCCATCTTTAAGAGCAGATTAACCCTTTATTGGTTTCCTCAACCATTTGGTGGATCACTTTTTGAGTCACTACACTGCAAAAAGTGGCTCCAGAAAAACAAGAATAATAGCTACTCTTAGAGAAAATGCAACAAGATGAAAAATGTAAACAATGTAAGATAATTTAAATATTATCTAAAGTATCTTCAGGCTGCATGAGTAAAAAAATCCCCAAAAAAATATGTGATTAGATAAATACACTAAAATCAAGGGAACCACACTAGTCTACACCTTTTGCAGTGTATACAGTATCTACTTGAAGCTTGGAACCAAAGTCTATCTCATTGGGGCGTCTTTATCACTTGGTTTTAGCCACTTTTACCGTAAAACTGCACCTCAACCATTTGTAAAGGCCTATGAAACTCGGGGTTAGAAAAAAATCAAAACAAGAAACATTTACACTGATTTTTTTCATGGCGAGAACATTAAAAGGTTAACCATAAATATTACACTAACTAGCACTAGCTGTTAATTAGTGAGGGCTAAAATAAAGTGTGACCATAAATTGTATTGAATTGATTGTATTATTATGTATTATTTGTAACGTTTTCATTGCAGCTACCTTGTTACGTTGACTGCTACATCTTCATGCGTGGCTCTGGTCAGGACACTAAACAACTGGTTGATAATCGTAGGAAGGAAGTTGACCATGACGTGTCCCTCCATCGCATGAAGACTCTAGAAATATATTTGAATAATGAAATATCTGTCATTATTAAAATTGTGCTCTGATGAACGAGGGTATTTACCTTGAGGTATTTGACCAGCTCGCCCTCCAAACCTTGCTCCGATAAGTTCATCTTTTGACAGTGGTGAAAGAAGTTGTGCAAATGTTGATCCTGGGGGGATTGTTTTAGCGCAAAATTAAATGTTTGATGGTGAAATTTATCTCCATTATATTTAGAGAGAAAGAAGGAAGCAGAAGTTATACCTGAGTGTAAACGGTAGAGACGAGGTGTGTGGAGACTTTGAACAATGGTTTCCCGCTGTCGACCCATTTGATCTCCGAGTGCTTCAAACAAACAGACAGTGTGAAGCAAAAATATGGCATCAATACAACACGAGTCGTTTTTACACTTTGTAGATGGTAAAAATCGAGGGTAAAACGCTGCTTTAAAGAATGAGACTTTGATCATTTATCATTTGTTTTGACACATGTTGAAATAGCTGGAGTCGCAAACGAGTGAAACATTTTTGGTAAATTTCTGGAAAGTCTATGGTAAATTCCAATGGGAAGACGGCGTATTTCATACTGGAAACAAACTGGGAATTATATGTAATGTAAAAAAAAGTGTCATAGCATGAACATAAACAGAAGTGATTGAGGAACGACTTAGATTCAAGATTATGCTAAAATATATATTATATTAAATTCCCGGGGAGCCAACTTTAAATTCTGAAAATTTCAAGTTTATTCCCCATAAATTTCAATAAAAAATGTCCATCTTTGAATAGCAGGGTTAGGACTTTTGTGGAATAAAGGATTAGGGTTGGCGTAGAGGGGAGGAGTGAGAGGATTGGGGCATCTATCTATACTTTATAAGTAAGTAATCTTTATTTATATAGCGCCTTCCACAGACCAGAGTCAAAGCGTTTTACAATTGTGGGCGTTTGTCTCTCACTCCACAGAGATGGGAGCAGGTCGCCAGTACTGGAGGCGCGTGCCAGAACCTATTGTAGGAGAACGTGCAAACTCCGCTTAGAAAGGCCCTGTTCCGACCGTGATTCGAACCCATTGCTGAGAAGCAAGAGTGCTACTCAGCCACCGTGCTGCCAAATACATATACTGTATATACATTACTGTGAACTTACTGATCAGAACGACTTTGACCAGTTTAGTTTGGAAAAAGATAACTGGCTTTTTCCAAACATGATTTGCAGACAAAATTACACTGTTATCTTCATAATTGAGTGATGTTCAAGCCACATCCAACAGAAACCACAAATCAAAGTAATTGTACTCGTAAGTTTTGTCAACTAGTTGTAAGAAATCATTTTAAACTCTCTCCATGCATTTGATATTGTGGTAAAACTGTTTTCTATCAGAGATGGAGCATATCTTGCATGAACAGTACATGACAGTAAAAATAGACTAAAATCTGAATATTTCTGATACCTTGGTGACAGCGTCTTGGGAGCTGAGATATTCTGCAGGGAGATTGGCAGCAACAGGCAAATGCTGATCATTCATTATAATTCTACCATCTCTGAGCAAAGGCAGCCACGCAGATCCCACTGGGGCCGAAAAAACAGAGAAAAGTCAGAAGTGTGATTGCTAAACGACTCCCATGTAAATGAGAGAGTGTTTTACCTGGAGTCTCGATCAAGTCTTTCTTCTTGCTGTTACTGTCACAGCTCACATGATAAAAGGTGAAGAGGAGGTGGTGTTTCTCATGGAGTTGAGTGGGAAGCTCGATCTTTATCTAAAAAAACAGGGTGAGAAATATTTCATGAGTACAGTAGACGCTTTGTTCTAAAAAAGAAAACACCTCCAGCCGATGGGAAGGAGAGCGGAGAGTGTCTAACAACCCGGCCAGACGAGACAAAAAGTAGTAACCTTATAAAGCATACATCCATTAGGTGTTTTGACCTCAGAAGTCAATGTTCTTTTAACCTCGTCCCGTAGATTTGCTACAACTTAAATTCTTATTACCTAACTATATCTTTTATTTTGACCCTTTTTTACTCAGAAGTACCAGTTCTGGGCATAGTTAAAGTTCAGCAACACGCAGTTGTCCACCTGCTCACCAGGGGGCGGACTGTCTCACTTCCATGGATTTTCTAGGCATCAATTTCAGTATCACTACCAACCCCGAATAATGTTAAACCAAAACTGCAAAATTATAGATAAATATATATGGATACAGCACATGCCAATTAGTCGATTTGATCCCCTCCGGCTTTTCCCCGGATCGCGCACTACATATAGGCGCTCAAATCAAGCGCACCTCACAGCTGGAGACGCGCTCCTCTCAGTCAGCCCCTTCCAATCCGTTGTGGGTGGTGCCCTCTTTCTTTTTATTAATGATTGTTTGAACGTGTGTAAAAATTAATGCACATGACTCTTGCTCACTGCAAAAAGTGAAACTTATAACAAAATAAGAAAAGACACTCCTGCCTTGAGTTCATCCTTAATTCAGGTCATTACTGCAAAAGTATTGTCTGTGAAGGTCTCTGAAAAAATCTGGTTTATATATTACTTCCCTTTATGATAATTATCCCCAAATATCAGATTTTTCCTGTCATTGAAATTTAATTAGGCCCAGAGAGGGTTAATAGTTCCTGTCCATGGGGGGGCACTGTGTCTCCTGGCTGACCAATCAAAACTGCTGTGACATCACCCCCTCTACATTTACTGTGTGGTGTCTCTGTCTGCCTGAATACAACATGTATAGAAGGCTTGGCAGGGCCCACACCTCCCTCTTTCCCCACATGTCCTTGTGTGTTATCTCTATATGTATTTTGTAACTGCTTGGTGTCGTTAAATGTCCTCTTTTATATCTACTTGGCTTCATGCTTAATCAATAAAGCCACAACTACATTCACATCTAACAATAAAAAAGATAAAACAATCACAGCTCTGTTTATTCACTTAAGATGATTCCAGTATTGCATTTTAAAAGATAAATAGTTTTGACCACCGTGGCATAGGGGGGAATAGTTAAACCAATTTTTGTTTAATCATGAAGGGGGTGACTGTGGTTTGGTGGAGCCATATTTTAGCGTCGTTTTATCAGCCTGGGAATATGTGTGTTTTGAACCCTCCAACTTCTACGTTTAAGCTTGATCTGCAATTTTAATTTGACAAAAAATTGCGTCAAATCCATGCACAAAGTGACAAGAAAATGAAGAAGTTACCTCATCATAAAACTCTGGGTTCTGCTGGTGGTGGAGAACAGCAGCGTACGCCTGTTTGGTAAAAAGAGGACCTCCTGGACGGCCATAAATGCACTACAAGAAATGCACCTTATTAGATTTTCTCCAATTTTGACTTTTCCGAAAGAAACGTCAGGTTGCGTTATGTAGATTCACCTTCAGCGGCTGCGCTTCGTCCTCATCTGCGTCTTTAAATTCTATGCAGACTGCTACGTTTCTTGCCTGGACGGAAGGTAGAAGTGGCAAACACATATTACAATTGAAACCGCAGGAGACATCGTTGGCCTCGGCACAACTTTCTGCCAGACAGCCTGAACCTTTGTCCAGACCCAGAGGCCAATTAGGTTCAATAGAAAGTAGGAAAATGCTTAAAAAGTGTGCCAGCTCCCATTAAATGAAAGGAAGTCAGGGACAAAAGGGGAAAATTAGGTTGGTTTTAATGTTTTGGTCAGACGCTGCTGCTTTGCCTAAGGATAAATCCAGCTCTATTGCTTAAGCTGCAAAAAAAATACGTCACACCGAAAAAGCACGGCAACGATTAGATTTGAGCTTTTAAAAATAGATTAGACTGCCGCGATGAGATTTAAAGGTTATATTGTGGATACCTTGGCAAACGATTTCTGGCCGTCATATTTGAGATGCTTTGGATAAACATAGAGGTGGTTTTTGTAGATAGTGTAGGGTTGGGAACATTTGGCGATGCATGGGACAAATTCTTCCACTTCGAGCAAAGCACTGCTGGGTCCATTCCCTTCGAAGGTCCTGACAGGGATGTATGAAGAGGTGACGCAATCTAGAAGCAAAAACATTAAGATTATAGTCATAGTTAATGGTAAAGTACATCAAGTGAGTAGTTCTTTAGATGTTTTTACTTGATACATCGGGAGCCACGCTGTCAATCGTCACATCCAAGTTGCCTAAAAGCACTGGAAGCTTAGCCATCTTCTCGGGTCTGCGGAGTAAGCAATCCAGTTTATGTCATTCCCAAAGGCAGGCTCTCTTCTATGCAAGTGTCAAAACAACAAAACTTACTTTCTGAAGTCTGTGAGCAGTTTGAACATATCCTCATCTGACAACTTGCTGCTGTCCTGTCTATACACAGCTGAAAATCGAGCGCTTTTGTCCAAAGTTCCCGAGGCGTCTTTGAACACAGGCCTGCAACGCACACGAGAATAAGATAGAACAAGTTTGCTTTGTCAGTCCAAAAAATGTCTTCTTCTGTATTGTTTCTTCCGCACAAAAATTATTAAACAAGTTGTATGTAATCGGTATTTGACATTGATCTTTGGTGCGTTCCATTCTCTTGATTTGCCTCAAAAAAATCACAGAATGAACCAGACTTTAATCCTCAGACATGTTTTGTTACCCCTTTTTTGGTTGAATGCTTCTATGTCAGGGGTTAGGGACATTTAAGTAAAAGGTCTTTAGTTGATCAGACTTGTCCAGAGACCGGCAGCATGGATTTTAAAACTGGATTCGGGCTCATCCGGGCTTTACAATTGGTGTATTATGCAAGGATTGATTCACGTAAATAGCTAGATTCCAGAGGTTCAGATCTTTAAAACCAGGTATAGCATTACAAAGGGTCACATAATATAACACAAGAGGCCGCATTTGGCCCCTGGGCCTTGGTTTGGACATGTGGTAAAACTGTAATATACTGTATATAGATAATGCATGCAGGAGGGAATAGAAACACTGGTACTTCACCTTGCAGCCCACGCAAAAGGCATCCTGTACTGTCCCAGTCTGCTGCACGCCGTTTTGGCATTTTTCAAAACCTTCTGTGCGATCTGTGACCAAGAATTTGACAATATTAGAAAAATAATTAACAATAGAACCCCCCCCGGGCAGTCAATTTGACAACTTTTTATTTTAGAAGTGTGATTGCTCCGCTTATGTACGTTTTTGGTACATTCATAACTGAGTGACTTTTCCAGGTTTTTCATGTCGTTTATTCCAATATAACTATGTTTTTAAAATTGTCTCAATCCTTGGGCTAGAGCGAGTCTCAGCTTGGAATAAGTGCTGGTTACCATAGCAACACGCTCTTTACTAGCATCAGATAGCATTTCAGTTATCAATATCCAGTTTTAGAATGCATTAAAGATAAGAAACTGTATGAATTACTTGATTTTAATGAAAGTAAAGGAAAAAAAACAATCCTTTTTTTCAGATTTTTCCAGAATTCCATTAAATTGAGTTCATCATTATTTATTTTTATGTAATTCATTATTTGATATGGACACAACTGTTAAATTGGACAGACCAGATGCATTGCCTTTAGAGTTATAGGAAGCACATGCACATTTTCAGCACTTGAAACGTAAATGGGAGCCTTCAAAATGACTGCTCAGGAAGTTTTTCTTGTTTCAGAATCACTGCAAAAAGTGAAAACATAAAAAAATCAAACATTGCGCAAATTTAGCTAAATGTATTTTAATTGAATTTATTTTAAAAAGATACAAGAAATGTCTCCCTTGGAATGAGAAAATAAAGCAACAGTTATTGAAATTAGGTAAAGTCAGAATGTACTCAAATTAAGATAAAAACCACTTGATTCAAGCAATTATTACCTCATATTGTATATTTTTTGCAGTGTGATGTTTAAAATGGGATATAAAAACCTTTGTTGAATCTGAACTCTTCATGTAGGGTTCAGTGCAGTGGGTAATTCCTCCTTGTAAAACCTTCTCTATTCTCGCCACCAGGAAGATCTCCGGGTGAGGACAGGTGACCGAGAAGACCCCCTGCTTGGGAAACTGCAGAGCGGCTTCAGGAAGAGCGCGCGGATCGTCGTTGATCACAACATCGGGCCCGTAACCCGAGCCGGTCATGTGGCGGACTAAAGGGTGGTTCAAGTCCACGTGGAAATCCGCCGAGATCTTTCTACTGTTCTGGACGTCGAATAAGGATAGCACCACATAGAAGGGCTCCACCTTTAGAGAGAGAAAGAGAGAGAGAAAGAGAGAGAGAAATCAATCTTTCCTAATTTACTTATTCCCATTCATGCCATGTATGTCATCCATCTTTCAAAGCATTCCATTACACAGAGCCATTATGTGCATTAAAAGCTGAGAGAGACACAGAGGAGATTGACGGCAGGAAAGTAGTTCAGACTGATGGTAGTATGTGGGAGAAGGACTGTTGTTAGTACACGGCAAAATGTGATAACAAATAAGTCAAAAAATGCTCAAATTTGGCAAAATGTATCTTAATTTGACAGCCTTAAAACAAGACTTGCCAGTGGGACAAGCTAAATGACATTGGAATGTTGTTTAAGTTATAATTTTGATAAGTCATATGTGGCTAAAATATATTGTATACTGAAATAGCTGTAATGTAATTCAACTTTAGCTCAAGCCAGTCTCGGAGATAAATCCATTTGTCAGGAGGAAGCAGGCTTTGTACTGTTTGCATTTTAACAGGAGGGTTATTTAACATGGTAATACAGTTGCCTTATGTTCTCTGTTGGTTCTTCCATTCCTTTATGCATATGATGGTGCGTCTTGTTGACCAAAAGGAAGTTACAGCTGTTCCAGGGTCAGACATGCTCCGGACAGAGGCTGAGCTGCTTGTGCGCTGTTCTTCTTGGATGTCCATCCATCCATCCATCCATTTTCTTCCGCTTTATCCGTTGCCGGGTCGCGGGGGCAGCAGTCTAAGCAGAGACGCCCAGACTTCCCTATCCACACACACTTCCTCCAGCTCGTCCGGGGGGACCCCAAGGCGTTCCCAGGCCAGCTGAGAGATATAGTCCCTCCAGCGTGTCCTGGGTCTTCCGCGGGGCCTCCTCCCGGTGGGACGTGCCCGGAACACCTCCCCAGGGAGGCGTCCAGGAGGCATCCGGAACAGATGCCCGAGCCACCTCAACTGGTTCCTCTCGACGTGGAGAAGCAGCGGTTCTACTCCGAGCTCCTCCCGTGTGACTGAGCTCCTCACCCTATCTCTAAGGGAGCGCCCAGCCACTCTGCGGAGGAAGCTCATTTCGACCGCTTGTATCCGCGATCTCGTTCTTTCGGTCATTACCCAAAGCTCATGACCATAGATGAGGGAGGGAACGAAGATTGACCGGTAAATCGAGAGCTTTGCCTTTCGGCTCAGCTCCCTCTTCACCACAACGGTCCGATACAGCGACCGCATAACTGCGCACGCTGCACCGATCCGCCTGTCAATCTCACGCTCCATTCTTCCCTCACTCGTGAACAAGACCCCGAGATACTTGAACTCCTCCACTTGAGGAAGGACCTCTCCACCCACCTGCAGAGGGCAAGGCACCTTTTTCCGGTCGAGCACCATGGCCTCGGATTTGGAGGTGCTGATTCTCATCCCAGCCGCTTCACACTCGGCTGCAAACCGTCCCAGTGCATGCTGCAGGTCCTGGTTCGTTGGAGCCAACAGGACAACATCGTCCGCAAACAGCAGAGATGAAATCCTGTGGTCTCCGAACCGGACCCCCTCCGACCCCTGGCTGCGCCTAGATATTCTGTCCATAAATACAGTGAACAGAACCGGTGACAAAGGGCAGCCCTGTCGGAGGCCAACATTCACCGGGAACAGGTCTGACTTACTGCCGGCAATGCGAACACAGCTCTGGCTCTGGTCATACAGGGATCGGATGGCCCTCAGCAGAGGACCCCCGACCCCGTACTCCCGGAGAACCCCCCAAAGGACACCCCGGGGAACACAGTCGAACGCCTTCTCCAAATCCACAAAGCACATGTGGACAGGTTGGGCGAACTCCCATGAACCCTCGAGTATCCGATGGAGAGTATAGAGCTGGTCCAGTGTTCCGCGACCGGGACGAAAACCACACTGCTCCTCCTGGATCCGAGATTCGACCATCGGCCGTAGCCTCCTCTCCAGTACCCTGGAGTAGACCTTACCGGGGAGGCTGAGGAGTGTGATCCCACGATAATTGGAACATACCCTCCGGTCCCCCTTCTTGTAGAGAGGGACCACCACCCCGGTCTGCCACTCCATTGGCACTGCCCCCGATCGCCACGCGATGTTGCAGAGACGTGTCAGCCAAGACAGTCCTACAACATCCAGAGACTTTAGATAATCAGGGCGGATCTCATCCACACCCGGAGCCTTGCCACCATGGAGGCTACCAACCACCTTGGTGACCTCAGCCAGGGAGATGGATGTACCCGCCCCAACATCCTCAGCCCTGCCTCTGTAACAGAGGACGTGACGGGGGGATTGAGGAGAACCTCAAAGTATTCCTTCCACCGCCCGACAATATCCCCAGTCGATGTCAGCAGCTCTCCACCCGCACCGTACATGGTGCTGGCAAAGAACTGCTTCCCCCTCCTGAGGCGCCGGATGGTTTGCCAGAATCTCTTCGAGGCCGACCGATAGTCATGCTCCATGGACTCTCCGAACTCCTCCCAGTCCCGGGTTTTTGCCTCTGCAACAGCCCGGGCCGCGGCACGCTTGGCCTGCCGGTACTGGACAGCTGCCTCAGGAGTCCCCCGAACCATCATGGCTCGATAGGACTCCTTCTTCAGCCTGACAGCATCCCTTACTGCCGGTGTCCACCACCGGGTTCGGGGGTTGCCGCCGGGACCAGCACCAGAGACCTTGCGACCACAGCTACGAGCCGCCGCATCGGCGATTGAGGCAGAGAACATGGTCCACTCGGACTCCATATCCCCCTCCTCCGCCGGGACCTGGGAGAAACTCTCCCGGAGGTGTGAGTTGAAAGTCCGTCTGACAGGGGGCTCAGCGAGACGTTCCCAGCAGACCCTCACTATACGCTTGGGTCTGCCAGGTCTGACCGGCTTCTTCCCCTGCCAGCGGATCCAACTCACGACCAGGTGATGATCGGTTGACAGCTCCGCCCCTCTCTTTACCCGAGTGTCCGAGACACGCGGTCGAAGGTCAGATGATACGACAACAAAGTCGATCATCGACCTCCGGCCTAGGGTGTCCTGGTGCCACGTGCACTGGTGGACACCCTTGTGCTCGAACATGGTGTTCGTGATGGACAAACCGTGACTGGCACAGAAGTCCAACAACTGAGCACCGCTCGGGTTCAGATCAGGGGGGCCGCTCTTCCCGATCACCCCTCTCCAAGTGTCACTAGCGTTTCCCACATGGGCGTTGAAGTCCCCCAGGAGAATAACGGAGTCCCCGGGCGGTGCACCGTCCAGTACCCCTCCCAAGGACTCCAAGAAGGCCGGGTACTCTACACTGCTGTTAGGCCCGTAGGCCGTCACAACAATGAGAGACTTGTCCCCCACCCGGAGGCGGAGGGACGCGACCCTCTCATTCACCGGGGAGAACTCCAACACGTGGCGGCTGAGATGGGGGGCAATGAGAATGGCCACCCCAGCTCGCTGCCTCTCCCCGCGGGAAACTCCAGAAAAGTGGAGCGTCCAACCCCTCTCAAGGAGTTGGGTTCCAGAGCCCAAGCTGTGTGTGGAGGTGAGGCCGACTATCTCTAGTCGGTATCGCTCAACCTCCCCCACAAGCTCGGGCTCCTTCCCCCCCAGTGAGGTGACGTTCCACGTCCCAAGAGCCAGATGTTGTGTGTGCGGACTGGGTCGCCGAGGTCTCCGCCTTCGACTGCCGCCCAGTCCTCTCAGCACCGCTTCACCCACGGACCCCTCTGCAGGTGGTGGGCCCACAGGAGGGACTGCCCACGTCATCCCTTCGGGCTGAGCCCGGCCGGGCCCCGTGGGCTAAGGCCCGGCCACCAGGCGCTCGCATACGGGCCCCGACCCCAGGCCTGGCTCCAGGGTGGGGCCCCGGCTGCGCCATGCCGGGCGACGTCACTGTTTTCATATTAGTGTTGTCCATGGTGTCTTCTGGACTGCTCTTTGTCTGACTCGTCACCTGAGACCTGTCTGCCATGGGAGGCCCTACCAGGGGCATGAAGCCCCAGACAGCTTAGCTCCCAGGATCATCCGAGTACTCAAACTCCCCCACCACGTTAAGGTGGCAGTCCAGGGGGGAGTCTTCTTCTTCTTCTTCTTGGATGTCAACCAAGTAATAAAGAATGCCAGAACAATGCCTGATGGTGTGTGCGATCCAGGTTCAAATGTAGCTAATCTCAACATTAACACTAAATTATCTTGTTTTAAAAGGATACAAGAAATGTCTCTCTTTCAATGAGAAAATAGTCAACAGTTCTCAAAATAAGACAAAATGGCTTTGTCCCATTGGCATATCTTGATTTAAGACAGTCGGAATGAACTCAAAGCAAGCATCATTCAGAAGCAACCCAGATTTTATAACAGACACAAAAAACAAATGGGGAACAATAAAACCTTATAGGAATAAAAACAATAAAGCACATGCACATACATATCCACACATTTTGTTTTATATTTGCTGCTACTGGACACCTGAATTTCTCTCTACGGAGATCAATAATGTTTCTATCTACAGTATATATCTATAAACATACATACATCTGTAATAATAATAATACAAAAAATGAAGTTAAAACCCCTTGATTTAAGCAATTATTACCTCACATTTTTTGCAGTGTGCAGTTTGCAATACCAGCCAATAATACAAATCTGTATAATCTCCTCGGCTTTGGAACGACCTGCCCGAGGAGATAAGGCTAGCACCATCAGTATCCTCTTTTAAAACACTTCTTAAAACCCACTTTTATCAAACAGCTTTTAACTGCTAGTTTTAAACTTCACATGCTGTATTTTAATGTCTGCTTTGTCTTTGTTGTGTCTCTTTTGTGTTTTGCTCTGTTTGCTTTGTGTTTCTGTATCTAATTATTTTGACCTTGTATTTTTACTGTTTTTATTGTTTATCATGCTGACTGTGCAGCGCTTTGGAAACATTGTTTTTAAAAGTGCTATACAAATAAAGATTATTATTATTATTATTATAGGGCCACCCATTTGAACTGTGCGGCCTCAAACCACAGCGCTTCCCTCTGTAGATCTGTTAGTTGCTTTTACAAATGAGGTGAGACGTACATTAGTGGTGGGTCCTTCTTCGTTTTCAGCCACGCAGCCCTGCAGGTTGAACAAGAGGCTGTGGCAGCTGACCAAAACTCTTTTCCCAAACTTTTCCTCAAATTGCCGAATGTCTGGCTCAATCCCGGAGACGTCTAGTTTCTGAAATGAGACGGTAGTTCACAGAAATAACACGGGAGACAGGGACTTAAGCACGTCGATCTTATATACGGACAATACCTGTGTGTCAGGATCCAGCGTGAAGAGTTTGAGGCGAGTTTCACTTTTCATCTTGGACTCGATATCTCTGGCAGTCTGTGAAAACATTTGGATAGAATTAGTATTTGCGTTTATATTTCAACTGGATTAGAAAGAGTGTCGTCTTTGGCTTTAGTGCAAACTTTTACAACTGTGGATATGGCCTCAGGCTGTGCACTGCAAACACTGATAAAAAATGAGGAAACAAGTTAATTTATTTTTGATTTTTTTTTTTTTGACTGTCTTATTTCAAGAATTGTTACGTTTTTTACGTTAATTCCAAGGGAGACATTTTTGTGTCTATTTACAACAATAACAAGATCATTTTGCTTTGTCCCTTTCGCAAATCTTGTTTTAAGGCAGTCAAAATGTGCTCAAATTGAGAAACATTTCACCAGATTTGAGCAATCATCTGACTTATTTTGCATTACTTTTCATCGCAGAGGTATTAAAAAACTAAAATTAAAACACCCATAGTGTTAGCTGAATGTGGAAGAAGCAAGCCCCGGCGATCCAAGATGGCGTCCTATTCAAATGAATGGCTGAAAGATTAGCAGAACTCGCTCCTATTTGGGCATCGTCTGATGCTTTGCGCCAAATACGCATGAGTGGCTCTCATGCACGTGCACAGAGCGGCTCGGCCGTGCTTTGACCAATCAGAGCTGCTGATCAGAGCGGAGCCAGAGCGGGAAGAAAACGAGCAGAGTTTGTTGCATTAAAGTGTGGATTTAAAGAGCTAAAGGACACTAAAATCCCCACAAAATCCGACCTTTACGAAAGCCGTAGGTTCTCTGTCAGGTGTGTTAGTTTGCATAGAGTTCTGTGGGACATTTTTCTGAGTACCATGGGCGCCCCCTGTGCCCATGGGTGGGACAGCTTTAAGCTAGTGATACCCTTTCTAGATATTATAATAGATTCATGAGAAGAAGCCCATTTGAACATAAAGTAGCTGGAGCAGATTTCCTTGTATGGGCATTTGTTTAGACGGCGTTAGCATTTGCATCATTGATAAAAAATTTAATAAAATCATAAATGAAATTCCAGCTTGCAAAAACAATCTGAATTGTCCAATTGTCCAATTACATGTAATAAATGATTATCATTGTCTGTAGAAAAATATATATATCTGTGAAACAGATATAAAAATAAAAAGGTAGATATTTGGATTAGAAGCAACACTGTTGTTGCTTCACCCATCGCTGTGCATTTGCCAAAGGGACAAAGCAAAATGATCTTGTTTTAAAAAAATACAAGAAATGTCTCTCTTGGAATGAGAAAATAAACACTTTGTTGTTGTTCGCACTTCATTATCCCCGTAGGGAGATTCGTTCTCTGCATTTGACCCATCCTGATGCCACAAAGGCTTACATCAGAAGCAGTGGTCGCCGTAGTAACAGCGCCTGGGAACCCATCTCCGGTTGTCTATGCTCGGTTTGGCCAGGACTACCAAAGCTGGAGGATTGTACCTATTAAGCACATTTTTGGTAGTATGGGACACCAGAGCACCCGGTGAAAAACCTACACAGCCACAGGGAGAACATGCAAACTCCTCTCAGAAAGGCGCTGTTCCGACCAGGATTCAAACCCAGGAGAGTGCTATCTACTCAGTCACCGTGCCTTTGTCGTACTGGTAAATCTTGTTTTAACACACCCAGAATGTGCTCAAAATTAATAAAATAAAAAACACTCAATTCAAGCATGTATTACCCCATATTTTATCCTTTTTTTTGCCGTGGGGCATAGAGGCACTTGTAGCAGATTGATATATGCTTTGCTGTTGCTGTTGCTGCGGCTGCTCTCTACTTCCAGAGTCTAAGCACACTTAACCTGGTGTTTCTTGCTTTTGCACCAGAAGTGAAGCACAGGCACTTGTTCGAGCTGCCTCCAGCTGTTTAGGTTTTTCTGCTCACACATTTGAAACCGAGCACATCTGCCTGGACCACAAGGCCCCAAAACAACTAATCCAGGTGGGCCCTTGTGTGGTCGCAAATATATAATTCCTTTTTTCAGACATGTCACTGCGAATGGAGAAAGCAGATTACCTGAAAGCTGTCCTGAAAACTTCCGGACGAGAGGTCTGCCTTTCCGTGTTCTTCGTCGGCTGCAAGGATCAACAAGAGGTTTAGCTGATTCAATTACAGCAGCCGCGTCTGATATCTCTGCTTTGTGAAAGGTGAGGATGTGCCCTTGAAATGAATGATTAGATGGAAGATTGAGATTAAGAGATTAAGAGATTGTTGTGTTATGTTCATATGTTTGTATGGGGCTCCACTTCAAGTCATATCGCTTATTTCCTGTGTTTTTATGTTATTTATTTAATGTTTTTTTGTTTGTTTTGTTAATATGCTGCCCCTGATGGGATAAATAAAGTAGTCTGAATCTGAATCCTTAAAATCTCAGTGTTGCATCACAAATTACTGTCATATCCATAGACTGTATATATTAACGGTCGTAGTCACGCCTATCTCCGCCGTTCTAACTAATGGGCCCAAAACTGGGCTTTCATGGAGCGATTCAAAATGGCCACGGGGGCTGGAAAATGTGAAACAACGCATCTGTGCATGCGTCAGTGCCTTAAAAAATTAACAGCGACTAAACTAGAGTGGTCCAAAAAAATTCGCCCTCTCAGCATTGACACACATGTGTAACGGAGCTTTGGGCCAAGAGCCAACTTTTGGACCATCCTGTAAAGACGTTTTCGAGAGGTCACCTAATGCTATATGTTAGCATTGGCTAATTCTTATTCCGGGTCCACCCCCACAGGCCCGGGGTGGTATTGCAGCATGTCAACGCACGTCATTTTGGCTACTTTTGAGCCGGGACCCGCCCCCACTGGTCATAACCTGTCATGTTGTGTGTGTGCTTTTTTTTCTTGTTTCCAGATTTGCTTCTTGTCCCTGATTCCTGCCCCATCCTTAATGTGTCTCACCGGTGTCCTTGTGTTTTTAGTTTGTGTGCTCCCTGCCTCATGTGCCAGATTCTCTTGTTTCATCGTGTTCTTGAATCTAGCATTTGTTTTGTGATGTTTTCCTTTTTCTGCTAACCGACTTTGGGTCCGTTTCTGAGCCACTTTTGTACGCCCTGACAGTTACAGACAGCGGGAATGAGGAGCACAAGATGAGTGAACAATAACTCTAAAGTAGTAGTATACAACCTCTAGTTTTAGCATAATAAGGAGCAAATCTAAGAACATCAACTTTAGCATAATGAAGAAGATAAGATAAACTTTATATTTATTAATTTTTTTACCTTTATTCAACCAAGAAAAATCCCATTGAGATTAAGAACCTCTTTTTCAAGGGAGTCCTGGCCAAGAGGCAGCAAAATATTAACAAAATTATTGATCTCACAATGGAGAAATGTACATGTGGCATAGATAGAAGCAAGAATTAGGTACAAAATGTCTGACTTTCACATAATAACAGAGTAAGTACGTATAAATCTCCAGCTTTGGCATGATGGGTACAGGTGAAGATTGTGTGGGGCAAAGTGGCAGTGACACATGTGGTTGTATATTGTGCACTCTGACATGATTAAAGACGGATAGTTATTGGATTGTCAGATGAACAAAAGGCCCTTCTCACCGTCGTGTATGTCTCCATTCCTCTTTTCCTGCATGGCCTGTTCAAAACTGCTGTGGAGGATTTTGTTAAGAGTGCTGATCCACTCCTCCATCTCCCCCTCGCTGTCTGCGGCCAGCAAGAACGTGCTTTTGTCTTGCATCTTCAGCTCGAAGGCAAAACGTCGGACTTTGCTGTTCTACAAGAGCATCAAAAATCAAAATGAGCAAAAAACAGTCTATTTTTCAATGACATTGTCTGTACATATCCAAAATAGATTTTATTTCTTAAAGATCACCCTAACCCTAAGTAAGTAAGTAATCTTTATTTATATACCGCCTTTCACAGACCAGAGTCACAAAGCGGTTTACAATTGTTATTTTTTGGGCATTTGTCTCTCACTCCACACTGAGATGGGAGCGGGGCCAGCACAGAAGGTGCATGCCAGAACTATTGTGCATGTTTTTAGTGGTAGGGGAAACCAGAGAACCCGGAGGAAACCAACGCAGACAGGGGGAGAACATGCAAACTCAGCTCAGAAAGGCACATGTCCAACCAGGATTTGAACCCAGGACTTTCTTGCTGAGAGGCGAGAGTGCTATCCACTCAGGAACCGTGCCGCCCAACCCTAACCCTACAAATCAAAATACAACATGCTATCTTTATCTTACGAGAGAACACTTTTGAATACTTGTATAAAAAGCTCTGCATGTCACTGTTTGTAAGTAAGTAGTAGTAGTAAGTAATATAGTATAAAGTATTTATATAGCGCATTTTACAGACCAAGGTCAGACCCAAAGCACTTCCCAATGTTCAGAGTCAGATATTGTTCCAATCCTTCCACACACGGTGATGACAGAAGCGAGTCCAGAACACACTGGACCATCAGCTCCAACACCATCCATTCACTCTCTCATTTACATTCAGACCTATTGTGCATGTTTTTAGTGGTAGGGGAAACCGGAGCACCTGGAGGAAACCTACGCAGACACGGGAAGAACATGCAAACTCCACTCAGAAAGGGCCTGTTCCGACCGGGATTCGAACCCAGGACCTTCTTGCTGAGAAGCGAGACTGCTATCCACTCAGCCACCGTGCCGCCAAGGTTTGACGCTTTGGGCTTAGAGTTAATTGTTTGAGTTCACTTTTTGGTCTAGAATGGGTGAAGATATGACACGGGCCATACATGTGAAAACTAGTGATACTACCAAACAGTTTTGAGACTGAGGAACTAGTTAGATATTATTACAGTTACATATTTAGCAGTTTCACGGTTATGTATTTCAGCCTTAAATTCAGATTTACATGATCCATATCAGTTGTATAAATGTATATATAGTCTAGTCCACCTCTGCTGCTGTGACCTAAAGTGCTGTTGCATTTCAATACGACTACTATCGATATACATTTTATAATTATTCATTTATTTCTTTTGTTTGTGTGGATGGATGTGTTTCTGCTGCTACTGGACACCTGAATCTCTCCTACGGGGATCAATAAAGTATCTATCTATCTATCTATTTATTTCGAGTGTACATTAAACATTATTATCAGATGTCACAACATAGAATTATTCAAACTCGAAAAGAAGTGGGAGAAAGGAAAAAACATATAAATTCCAACCTCTTTATATTCCTGTATATAGGTACATACTGTATTAGCTGTGTAGATTAGATGTCAAGGATAACCGGTACATACTTCAATTATGTCTATGGCAATATGCTAGCTGCTCAATAAACAGTATTGTGCATGAAAATACATTATTCTCAACTAAACTAAAATGAAAATATTAATGTATAATGTTCAGCCAGCCAAACTAACTCAACCAAAAGTAAAAAATCTTCCATACACAATGTTCTTGTATGAGCGAGGTGTTGCTTTTACCCTCCACATTTTCCATTTACCTGAACAACCCCCATGCAGGAGTCCAGGAAGATGGTTCCTTTGGGCTCCTTGGACGTGTTCTCATCTTTGTAGAAGTTGAGATTATAAGAGCCATCTCCCAGCTGAGCCAGATGGAAGTACCTCCTCTTAAAAGACTGCAGGGTAGAAACAGACAGTGTAAACATCCCAATGGCCTATTTCACTCTAAAAATACCATAACAGGGCATAGGAAGGCCCATGGGTGCTCTCAAAAGTCAATGCCTATTTTCCATATGGCTTCAGAGACCCAAACAAATGGATGCTATTAGCTAAAGTCACTCAACAAGGTAATTTCAAGTGTTCAGCTGGGTGTGAGAAATCCAGTGTTTGTAACATTAGGCCAAGGACAAAATAATATTTTTGCCTTGCCTTTGTTCATAAGATAAGATAAAATAATTGCTAAATTATAATTGCTTTTATAGAGGATTGTAATGTGCAAGGCTAGTGTATTTGTAAAGCACAGTTCATACACAAGTGCTAAGTGCATAACATAACAAGATAAAAAGGCATTAAAATCAGTAAAAATAGTAAAAATACAATCCTTCAGTTGTACGCAAAGCTAAACAGAACCTGGATTTGAACATTGTCAGAGAAGATGCCTATATTTTCAAGAGGACTTCCAGATTTTGCATCAATTTTGCCTCTATGTGAAAGGTTCTGACTCTGGGTACCAGCAGGAGGCTAGTCCCTGTGCTCCTCAGAGTCCCAGCAGGAGACCAATCCCTGTGCTCCCCAGAGTCCCAGCAGGACTCCAATCCCTGTGCTCTTCAGCGTCCGAGTTGGTTCATATGGCACTAATGCTTAGCGTACATCGGACTGGCAACTGATTATATCCGTCGTCTATGAGTTGCTGCCCCGCACACATCAACAATCTGGCGAAAACGGCCAACTCCTAGTATCAGGCCAGTCTAGGGAATAACAGCGCGTTCATCGACAGCCACTGGCCTCAACTACAGCGTGTTTTCTGACATAAACTGTAGAGGGCGCAATACGTCACATGATAACACTCTCAACACGTGTTGTTGGAGCGCGCACATCGGGTGATATCTCCGGATCTGAGTACAATTAGTTGCCAAAAAGTAGAACACGGGCAACTGACTGAATCCGGAGATCGACAGTTTATCTCCAGTTGTAAGAGCGCTCACATCGACCGATTTCGGCATCATCTCCTCTCAGTTGCCAAAAGCCGCCTTGCAACTAGTTGTCTCCAGTTACTCTGTCCATGTACGCTAGGCTTAACATGTATCGGATGTACTTGGAGGCCATAGAGAGACTTGTCTATTCTCAGAGCAAACAGTTTCTAGTTTCTCCCTAGAATTGTGGAGACCTACCCTCATAGTGACGCTGATAGCACTGTTCATGTTGCCTTTGTACAGCCAGCCATGTTTTGATACTCCTCCTTTCTGGGATCCGAGGGAGGCCGTGTCCTGCGAGAAAGGGGTGCGAACAGACCCAAATTAATTACATAAGACAGCATTCTTCAGCTAAGTTTATGGCAAAAACATGTGCAAAAGTGAAGACACAGAACAAGTTGGACTAAAACGTTTCAGGAAGATTCAACGCAGGACTTTTCTATTCTCGTGGGATTTTTCACAAAGACAACCTGTCCATTAAAGGTAGCCTGGAGCTGGTAATTACAGAAAAGGATGCGCCCTTAAAATGTGGCTAATGTCATGAAGTAGACAGCCCACCAACACTTTGCAAACAGAACATGAAATTAGGCAATGGTTTCTTGTGGAATAATAGGTAACGGTAATTGCAATAGTGGGAGATAAAGTCATTAGAAGAATAGGTTTTCTTTATAATCAAGTTTTATAGTCTCTCTTTCTACAGCACCAGCACAGCAAGAATACAGCCATTTAGAGGATATTTTAGCGAAAACGTTTGCCTTACCTCGCCTTTTTCTACGTCTTCATCGACTTCAAACACATGGGGGGCCAGTTGTTCAGGTCTGGGCACCTTACTGAAAGAAATTAGAATATTGTAATAATGCATCGTGTTTATACACTTCTTCTTGGGATCTTGGGACACACAAAGACGGTTCCCTTGTCATTACTCATTCACTCGTTACATTGTGGTGATAAAACCCTACTGCAGTCACAGCTGCCCTGGAGCAGACTGAAGGAGGTGAGGATGCCAAAATGTGCCCCTACGATCACAAGCAATCATTCACACACAGCCCAGACTCACGCTGTGCAATGAGGGTGAAGTGTCTTGTCTAAAAACACAACAGTAATGACACATGTTTGGTACTTCGCAGCCACAGCCGCCCCACTATGGCACCTGGTTTTCAGAGGTCTCCCATGTAAGTATGTAAGTATGTATTCATTATTAAAATAGTTAATTTTACAGACCAAGGTCACCCACAGCTCTTTACAATAGTTCAGATATTTTTCCATTCTCTCTACACGTGGCGATGACGGAAACGAGACGCCGAACACATGTTTTTAGTGGTAGGGCAAACCGGAGCACCCGGAGGAAACTTACGAAGTCACGAGGAGAAAAGGCTTACTCCACTAAGAAGGGCTCTGTTCCAAACGGGATTCAAACCCATGCAGGACCTTCTTGCTGAGAACCCACTCAGCCACCATGTGCAGTAATATTACTATTGATTGAGAATTCTGTATTTGGATGTGATTACTGACATCTTGCTTTAGTCTCGTCAGCTGCTATTCTTCCTGGTGTTGATATGATGGAAATAGAATAGAACGTTCATGGTCTGTTCCACTCCAAATCATACATTTGTCAATAAGACAGCTAACACGCAGATATGATTTATTATTGGGCATTTTCTGCAGTAGTGATGAACGATTTCTTTCCAACTCTGCTTAAAGGTGCAGTTAGCGATGTTGTTAGCTTAGCCGTAGCGCCAACTGAAAACCACTCCCCCCTCCCCTCCCTCTCCACCAAACCAAACATCCAGCATTTTCTGTTCAACCATTTTAGGTTTTAGAAAATAATCCAATAACTCAGGTGCACTCGCGAGAAACAGGAAGAGGGTGAAGGGGTTAAATGCATCCCATTGGTTTATTTTTATCGGTCCGCTCCAAAATATTTTTTATAAATTTTTTGAGACTATAGACATCTGGTCAATTCCATTACTATTTGAAAACACATGATAACTTGACTACTTTAATGGTTTGAGGGACGTTTTCTCACAATATAAAAAAAAAAAAAATGCATCTGGAAAAACTTACTGACTGCATCTTTAAATGGTGAGATGTAAAAGCTCGTCATTTGTCTGCCTAAATAAACCAAAATTAATGATATATATTTTAGCATATGCACAGCCTCCTGTCGATATGTTTTTGCAAGCTCGTCTCGTTTTACAAGACGAAAAAACCAGCCGAGCAGTTCCTATAAGCACGGGCTCATTCCCCGGAGCCTGGGACCCAACCTTTTAACCTTTACAAGACCTGGCTCTGCTCTGAGGGATCGTTTCCATAAACAGAGATTCAAGGCCAAGACCAAAGCTCAGTTAACCTTTAAACATGACGAGTAGCATCTGCCAAACACATTCTCAGCTGTACGCAAAACCCGCCTCTCCAAGGACGCTCAAACGCAATGCATTGTAGGGCTTTTCCTCATGTTTTAATTATTGCAATCAACAGAGAGCTGAAAATAGGCCCGTGCTTATCCTCTGCAGAATAACATAGGAAGTGGATCTATTGTTGCAGAGCAGAAACTTGAAGAGCACGTTTCCTCGTTTCTGGGTTCAAGCTAAAACATTCATTTGGAAGTAAACAATGGTCGTGTCATGGGGTTCGAGAAAGAGAGAAATTGGCCATAAGCTGAATTCTGAGGAGAACGTTGAGCAAAAGGGCAGCGCTGTCTGAAGCTAAAGTATTGGAATCCAGTAGCACAGAAACACATGTGAATAATAATAGTTGTAAACGGTTGAATAGATTTGTAAATTACTCCTGCGCCATTGTTTGTATTCTCAAACTAACTAGCTTGGTTTTATTTTGACATTTGTTTTCTTGTAATTTTGGCTTCATCAATTTTGTTTTCACCGTATACTTTTTAATTATAAGATTATTAAGTCATTTTGGGTCCTTCCTTAGGCCTGTCATAATAAAATTTCTGATGGATATATATTGTTAGACTGAGAGATGAATTGAGATATACAATAATATTCAATAATTTCAATGCAGCAAAAATTGTATAATATCATTAAAGTGAATGTCCATTACTATTAAAATTGAGATGCAAGCAACACTTTTTACGGCGAGACTGGTCAGACCCGCCCATGCTCACTCCTGCAGCCTCCTGATTGGATGAAACTAATTGAAATTTTTGATGCCCCTCGACATTGGTTTAACAGAAAATCTAAAAGGTGATAGTGATAGTGATAGTTATGCTAATGAGAGACTTGTTTGGAAAAAGACAAGCTATACATGACATTACAGAGAAATTATCTTTAAAATCAAATACACACAAGATCACCAGAATGAGCAGTTATCAGCCCTAACACTTATTCGCCTCATTTTGTGGACTACGGAAAAGAAAATAGTGAGAATCTTCTCACTGTTGCAAACATAATGTAAAGAGAATACATATAGAGCTTAAAACCTTGTATTTTAACTAGTTTTGGAGTGTATTTTTTACTTGAGTGTCTAGAAAGGTGCCTCAGAAATAACATGTCTATTATTATTTTAAATTGTCGTGGTAATTATTGTGACTAAATATATCTATAGGTGGGGGTGACAGTGGCTCATTTGGTAGAGCATCGGCCTAAAGGTCGTGGGTTCGAGCCCATCATAAGACCTACTTCATGACTCCCACTGATGGCTGCTGTTGTTGTGTCCTTGGGCATGACACTTAACCCCACTTTGCCTGAAGCACCCGCTGTGGACTCAGCACCTACAGGAGGATCAGTGAGGGTCTGGTGCTCTGTGTACTGGGTGCAGCTCTGACTGACACCCCCCCCGACCCAGAAATGGATTAAGGGGAAGAAAATTTATGGAATATATCTATAATGCATAGGTTAATAATAAAAAATCCAACCCATTGCCATTAAGCTCTGACATATTTTTAATTATCAGCTCAACTTTCTTGTAAATTCAACAGGGAACAATGAGCAAATTCTCAGGGAAGAACAAGTTGGGGTAATGACTTGCAGCCTCAGGATTCTTAATCATTGTTTGAACGGAAAAAAAAAACACAAAACCACATGATACAAGTTGTGCAGCTTTTACAAATGTTTAGCTGATGTTGTTTCTCTGTTTTGGTCTGGGTGATTTTCAGGCTCTCTTCCCTACAATAACCCTGCCTTCCAGACTTAACATTTCAGAGCAAAGACGGCTGAAATAGGCACCTGGTAATACTTCAAATACATCCAGGACGCACCCAAACACACAACTACACACAGACACACACACACGCTCACACACACACACACACACACACACACACACACACACTCACTTCTGGAGCTGGCGGAAGTCCCCGGAATACTCCTCGTACTTGTAGTTGACCACATGCCAGTCCGACTTGTAGGTTTTGATGCACTGCAGAAAAAAGAAATAAAAAAACACTTACAATTTAAAAAAGACACTTGCTTTTTGGGGTCTTCGGTGTAAAACTATGCAACAAATAGCAACAATTTTGACTTGCTTAAAAAAATGTCTTATACTAAAACACATTTTCTTCAGGAGTTTGAATTTGTATTATTAATGTATTTCGAAATGGGAGGGGGACATGGAAGTATGATTATCTAAGAAATATGAGCAAATGCAAATGCAGTCAATTTTACAAAGTCTATCCCCACACCGTAATCTGCTTTTGACAGAAAATGTGCAAATATAGTGTGGTTAATATCTAGGATAAGATAAGATCCGTTATTCCATCCACAGTGGGGAAATTTCAATGTTGCAGCGCACATACAGGACAGTAGAAAGAGCACACAGGGAACACAGAAAAATATAAACTGTCAGTGGCTGCTATGTTTCTAAGTTAGATGTAAATGCTTCAATATCAATCTTTTAAAACAGCTCTATAGTTATGTGTGTGAATGTAATCATTGGGTCGATTTAAAGGGGCATTATGCAACTTTTGATGTGGGGAAAAAGTTTCTGGTTTTGCATTTTTGACTCTGCATGGACACAATGGCTGTATCAGTGCCTTCACTTTCCAACAAAGTGTTCTCTAAGATCATGTTTTTGGAATGTTTTCTCTGCTGTTAGTCCCTGCATCAGAAAAACTACAAAACAACAAATCTGGCCAAACGTGGTACTGCACTCTCCCTGACTCAGGTTGCCAGATATGCAGACAAATCCAGCTGGGACCATAATATCTGAATAAAGAGTTTTGTCAACAACAAATCGGACGTCAAGCATTTCAACCAGCGAAAACAAATGCAACGAAATTTTGGTTCAACATTTTTTTCAACGTGGAATTTTTGGGCGCTGAATTTTAAAACATTGAATATTTTGACACTGAATTTTAAAACAACGATTTTTTTTATAGTGAATTTTAAAACATTGAATTTATTTACACTGAATACTTTTGTTATAGTTTATATAATTCAAAAGCAAAAAAAGTGTTGATAATAAACCACAAAATAACCTTCATAGGCTCACTACAAAGTCGAACATGCAAAAATGCACTTTTTTCACATAAAAAAATTGCATAACTTTAAATGAAATAGCAACTGACATGAAGCATATATGAACTAAATGCTTACAGTACATGTTCGACCATATGATGTCATGTATACGGTAATTTAGGTACAAAAGGACAATGTCAGACTAAACCCTAATCTAAACCTTCCATCTTTAACTCTGACATGGGGTTTTAATGTAGGCTACGCTAAAACCCTTGTGCCTTTCTTCAATCCTAATAATGTGTTTTGAAATGTCATAGAATACAGATGTTGAAATAAAAGAGTGGAAAAATGTTTGACGCAATCCAAAGATCCCAGCTGTATTAGGGGCCCCAGCTGCTGCACACACACAGCTATGATGTCATTTCTGGCCATAGCTATGGGGGACAATCTCCCATCATGCTTTGTCAAACCCCACCCAGGATAGCCCTCTGAAAAAACACAGAATCTGTCCACAAAGTCCGGTTCACGTACAGGCCAGCTTGATCAAATCGTCACATGCATATTGTGTTTTCCACCTTGTCGGTAGCTTACTGGGGAAAATCAATAACCACTTTGTTTGCATTGAAATTAATTGTGACGTGTTATTGGAAAGCCTGGGGTCTCGCTTGCCCGGCTGAAACTGCAACATTTTTGGCGCTTTTGAAAACAGCTGAGTTTGTAGTGAAAAGAACGTCGTGAGAGGATATAAAGGCTTAAAGGGAGAAGCAGAAAGGTCTCGGCGGGCGTGAGTCCAGGTAGCGGCCGGTTTTACCTCTTGCACAAAGAGAGCGTGAGCTTCTTTCTCTGCGGACTCTGGCACGGTCGAGAAGACGGTCCGGCCCTGGCGCCTGAGGGTGGATATCTGGGGACAGACGGAGAAAACAACAGCCATGATACATTCAATATGTTTTTTCCAATGTTTAATGTCAGGTTTCATTGTTGTTTTTTCATGAGTTCAGACTGCATGGTATTTGGGGTGGAAGAAGACAGAAAAGAGACCCAGGAATCTATCAATTTGGAAAGAAGATTAAGCACTTACTATAATTCTGTATTCAGTCACAAACAAAAACACATGTGATACTCCCATATACTCCTGCTATAAGACCAGACATGTCCAAAATGTGGCCCACGGGTCAAATGCGGCCCACTGTCTCATTTCTTGTGGCCCTATCCTACTGCTAACACAAAGTAGACAATTTATAGGCAGTTTCACAGCAGTTTGCCATCCAGCCAACTTCAGCCCCACTAATAAAGTCATGCTGGACCTCATTGTAAAGCTCTGCACCTTTGGAATCCAGTCGTCAATGTAGATTGTATAAGTAGATGTGGTGTGAATCAATATGGACAAGAATTTTAAAGTTCAGAACAGCCTAGATCCAGTCAAAACAGTTTCACAATCCATACTGTCGTTCCCTGGACAAGTCGGGTGAACTAAATTGGCACTCTCAGTAAAAAGTTTGGGCACCCCTGTATTAGACCATCACTGTCTTCCTATTGGACAGCTGTGATGGTCAAATATCCCATTCAAAAGAGTTATTTCCTAATTTATCTTTAATTTATTCTTTATTTATATACTGTAGCGCATTGTACAGACCAAGGCAAAACAAAGCGCTTAGCAATGTTCAGAGTTCAGATATTTTCCCATTCATTCCACACAAGGTAATGACGGAAGACCTATAATACATGTTTTTAGTGGTAAATGGAGCGCCTGAAGAAATCCAACACAGACACAGGGAGAACATGCAAACTCCACACAGAAAGGCCTGGAGGTGGAATCGAACCCTGGGACCTCCTTGCTGTGAAACACAATCTCTAACTGCTACGCCACTGGCCGCCCATTTCACGTTTTTCTATAATTTGTTTCTATAACCTGTAACAAATATTACAGGTCAGGATCTGTGAAGAGGCGAGTCTACAATAAAAATCCCCATATCCCCAAATAAATAATCAACTATATATGTGTGAAATACCACAGTCTGAAGTGATAATATCTCATTGGAGACATGGTTAGGGCAGTTCTTCTCACAAAAGTTCCACAATAAACTTTAGAGACGACATAGGAATTACAATATTTATGTTTCCAACTCACTCTGCTTGTATCTTGTGGATGGGATGGAGAAATAGATCGCATAACTAACACAAACTAAACATAGAATGCAAAAGGGCGTATCTTTTATTCCATTTTATTCTGCTGAAAGAGCAAACGCTGCCTTAGGGTCTCGAGTCAGTGGAGCTCGGCATCTCTTTCAAGTCACTGGACGTGTGAGCCACCATCGCTCCCATTTCTGCTTTTCTACTCACTCCACAAGGAGAAGTTGGAAACACTGGCATGAACTGGTGACCCACTTTTGCCACAAATCCACTATTCCCTCCATGGCAATTGATCCTCTGCTCTCTTTTGAGCGTTTTTACAGCAGCAATAGCTATCGCAGACATGTCAGGAGCCCAGGCAAGCTCATTTATAGTCCTGCAGTATCTCTATGTAGGTCAAACAGTACTAAGAGTTTGATAAATCACTGTAATTTGTGATGTCTTGAGCCGGGTGATGGAAAATATATTATGGATTCACTGGAGTGTGTAATGCACTGGGCCTTTAGTCCTTTTGTCACCAATTTCTCCTGTACCTTCTCTGCTCTAAAACATATTATACGATTTGACATAAGCACACAGCCATCTATTAAATGGCTTTGAAACTGCAGGTTGCCAATTAGCTCCTGTCATAATTATAGAACCTAGAAGCACACTCTTCCCATATCAAGAATATAGTTATTTTGAGCAGTGAGAGGCAGGATCTTTGCTTAACCATAGCTAAATTAGAAAGCCATGCCTGATTTTTACTATTGCTGCAGATTATATGATTTAATTTGTGCAAATTACGAGTCTAAAATCTCCAACTTTAGCATAATGAAGAAGAATTAAGTATGAAATCTCTGACTTAAGCAAGAATTTAGTACAAATCTCAGATGCAACAGCACAAAACTAATCAATAACTTATTGGCCATTTGCAGTAAAACCACACTGGAAGAACTGTGCAAGACTACCCCACAGTGTACCTTTTATTTATTTGTATTATTTTTTTTGCTTCTTGCTCGGCACAAGCTTGTGATCAGCCTGTCCAGTGATTACATATGTGATTCTGTGCAGGCACGTGCAAATGCTACACCCATAACGTCTGGCTGCCATTCCCCTTTTCTTCCTTTCTCTGATGTAAAACATATGGCGACTGAGAGCGATGGACAGGACAGACTTGAGCCGGCTGGGAGCGCACAAACGTGGGGCAGTTATAGTAATGAAAACCCCCCCATCTATCATCTCCTCTGATTGTGAAATGAGGAGAATATATGCAAGGATTTCCCACCACTTTCTCATACCATTCAGCTACTACACCTTTGTCATCCTTTACCGAAGGAATTCCAAACATTAGCGGAGGGAAGGGAGTTGGATCATGTCTTCTCGCTGATGCAATGTTGATACAGACTTTGAACTTCAATGAAAACACTCACACATCACAGACACTTAAAAGCAAAATCTAATCATACAGAATTTGCTTCAAGAGAATGAATATTAAGTTGGACGACAAAACCAAATGATTGAATGTGTCGATTTTGTGATTGAGATGAGGTTTTCTGTCAATAACAAGCCTCACCCATTTCACATTCTTCTCAAAATCTTGCTGTTTCCAAGAATACTTTTGTCTGACACCAAATGGGGTATTGTTATGCCAAAAAACTGAAATGTGTAGGAGGGGTAAGAGAGATAGCAAAACAGAAGTGCTGTGAAACTGACAGTGAGCAGTGACAGAAAGTGTAACAATCTCGCAGCAAGGTGAAGACATGTTTTGATTGTTGAGAGAAAGGTGTGGATTGAATGGCATTTTTGATTCCACTCCAAGCTTAAGTTGTACGAGTAGACGGTGAAATAACAAAGTCCGGGGTATATACATATGTTATATACATCTTATACATTTATCAACACTCATGGACATTGGTCGTCTGCCCCTTATGGGCCAATATCAATGTGTTTTCTATTTTATTTCTTGTTTTTGACCTGTTTGATCCGTGTTGACGATTTCAACGTTTTTTATTTATTAGTTTTATTTATTGATTTATTTGCTAGGGACAAGTGTACACAATCAACATGTGAAACACTATAACATTTATAGCCATGAGTAATTTGCAATGTCTGTCACGAGGAGGACTTTTAACACAATTAAAAACACATTTTACATTATAATATATACATTACACAGAGGCAGGTCTCCTCCAAGTCATTAATGATGAATGTTTTTTGTTTTTTTAGATTCCTTCAGTTTGTGTTATAAACCAGCCCAGTCAGAGTTCAGTTTGAGCTGAGGGCTTAAAGAGTTCCAGAGCTTTGCCCCATGGACCGAGAAGACCGACTGTCCCGATGTGGTTCTCCTGAGGGGCACTATCTTTTGGTTTTGAAAAGTCCTATGAGATAACTTCTGTTGGGATTCAGGCAGTTCAATTGAATATACCAGTTCCAGTCATTATTGGTCGTTCTCTTACGTACCTCAAAGTCGTCTTGTGGAAACTGTAGCATGTCGCGCAGAGCATCACTGATGATCTGAGTCTTTCTTTGGAGAATAACGTTTTCATAGTCCAGCGGCTCAATTATCTTTGGCTTGACCTAAAACAGGAAACAAAAATGGAAGTTGAAAGGATTTTATAAGCAATGGCTATAATCAATTTCATTTAGTTTCGTTAATGCACCATTGTTGTAACTGCTGTTTCAAACGTATGGCTACAAAGTATTATTAAAAAGATACATTTGCATTTGTAACAGATGGATAAATGATAAAAACCAACAACACTAACAGAATGGTACCTTTTTACCTTTCATACATTACTCTGGGGCTGGTGCTATGTGGATTGGGTGGCATCTCTGGCCTCCCCCCCCGACCCAGAAATGGATTAAGGGGAAGAAAATGGATGGATGGATGGACATTACTCTCTTTCATTCACCTAGCTTTTATTTACCATCTTGTTTTCCCTTATATGGGCATAAGTTATTTATATACAAATGTTGAGGGGACTTGGGAAAATTAGCCAGACACTCAAAGAAACAATGGAAATATTCTGTATCACTGCTAAAAGTGATTGAAAATAAGTCCAAAATGTTTCTTAATTTAAGCACATTTTGACTGTCTTAAAACAAGATTTGACAATGGGACGAAGTAAAATGATCTTGTTTAAAGATATACGAGAAATGTCTCCCTTGGAATGAGAACATACAGCAACAGACGAAATGGCTTTGTCCCATTGGAGAATCTTATTTTAACACAGCCAGAATGAACTCAAAATAAGGTAAAAAACCACTCGATTCAAGCATTTATCACCTCATAATTAATCATTTTTTGCAGTGTTGTTGTTATTTCCAAGTAAAATATATAAAAACTAAAAAGCTAAGGCCGCCAATGTCCTGCCCTTTTATTGTGCATCAAAAAGTTGCGTTGTTTAGACTGCTACAGACATGATTTGACATGAGATTTGCGATGTGGTTAAACAGCTCACATTTCAATTGTTGCTCAAATGCTAAAGCTCCTGGATTTGGCAACACAAAATCAACAAAATTGCAAATACGTAGAATGATATTTCAATAAAATAAAATCCCGCGTTCATGTGTTTTTCAAATCTGACGTATAAATGCGGTCTGGACAACAAAATGCAATTGTCCCAACAAACAATGAAAGGCAGCAGCAGCCAAAGTGGTACTGAGACAAATGATTGTGGTCAGCACGGGACGGCAACGCTGAGTGCCCCATTCACTGTGAGAGCCACTTACGTTACAAAACACAAACCAGCCATAACCCTTTTTGTGCGTTTGATTATTTAAACAATGGATTTGGACACATACACTTTGAATGTGCCTGAGTTAGATGATAACTTCTTAGTAAATAGTGCCATGTTACAGAGAAAGAGGAGCTAAGGTCGTGATCCCGGCTGTACTACTGCTGTACATTCCTCCAAAAGGCCTGTAATTATCCTTACTGATACAATGGACGGGTATGTTAAGCAAAATGAGCATGAAAATAAAGAAAAATCTATACAAAGTGTGGACAGGCAACTCCATTTGGCCTAAGTTCAATACTAACACTACTATTTTATCTCAATTAAACAAGATTGCACCATAGAGCTGTTAGCCCTAAATTATCCAAGCCTCATGACAATGTAATGAAAATATCCAGCTATAATTTCCCTGGTCTTTTCATTGTGGAGATCATCTGATAAGCAAAAAGGCAAGTCCTATTTCCAACTGGACTCGAGCCATGGAGACAAGAACAACACACAGCTGTGAACGGTGAGTTTTCTCAGTCCGGCGAATGAATAAAATACTGTATAAATGTAATGTTATATAGTCAAACTGAGTCTTCCCAAGCAATTAAACTGGCTTGGAGACTGAGCACAGGAACAGTTAATGACAATCCAAGCCACAAGTGCTCCATTTCCTAAAAAAAGATCAACATCCAAGCCTCAGGAGAGCTGGACCCTCAAGCTGCTATTTCCCTTTTCCGTCCTGCTTGAAAAAAAGAGGCATCGCTTCAAAGCCGAGAGCCAATCTAAGATAAAAAAGTTGCTTGGATAGAGCCTTTTCTATTAGCAAGATATACCCACAGACAGCTACGGGGGTTTTCTGTTGGATTAAGACAAATTGTTGTACAAAATGTGCAGATAGAGTGAATTATGAATGAAGGATGAACTCACCACCTGTACTTGTGATGCTGCCTCTGCCTCTGCTTCTATCTCAGCTAAACTCTTAAATTGTTGTGGAGATTCAATGACCATCTCCCTCTTGGGGGCTTTCCCGGCTCGGCCCTGCATGGCGGCCCCTGCGCAGTGCTGCTACTTGACTGCCAACAAAAGGGGGTGTCCTCAGTGAAAAGGCATGATATAGAAAGTTGTCCGAGCCGAGCGTGGCGCGTGAGTAAGTTTTCTAACATCCACTGATTCTCTCTGTCTTCACTCACATGGGTCAGCCCCCTCTCATCTGAAGTGCCCCTCCCACTCCCACTGCAACTCAGCTGAGCAGCGCTGAGTCTGTGGACCATGCCCCTGTGATAACATACAAGCATGTGGTCCAAGACTGCATACGGGAGGGCCTCAAGTTTATTTTGTGAATTTATACTGAATTAAAACAATGGCAAAATCTACCCAGATATGCAAGTAAATGGAATATGTCTAAAAGGTCTGTCACATTCAAAAATAACAACAACAAATTAAAATAATGATAAATATTGAAACTATTTTGTCCCAATAACAAAAGTATTTCCACGATACAATTTGAAAGGCTCTGATTCGTCATCACACAGGCATGACTCTTAAGATCTAAAAGTGTTATTAATGTAAACAGGATAGTTCCAGGGAGATTTTATAAAATTGTCTTTGGTGGTAGTAGAAACCGAAACACCCAGAAGAAACCAACACAGACACAGGAAGAACATGCAAACTGCACAATGGACGTTAGACCTTCTAGCTGAGAGGCAATAGTGCAAATGAAGCAAAATGTCTATATACTTCATGAAAAATCACTAGAAAATTACAAAAAAGTCCAACCTATAAATAAAGTTGCCGCAAATTTGCTATTTTTAACTGTTCAATAAGTTTTGGTACTTATTTTGAATCATTGGCAATAGTGAATAGTGATAAGTTAAATGCTTTTATAAACACATTTCAATCTCAAAACAGCACCAATGCAACTTCTTGTTCATTTCAGCCACAGTGACTATGGAAAAACATTGAACCCATTATAGTTCCTGAATCAATTGGCCTGTCTCCAACAATCATAATCCTGGAACTGACCAAACCGACAAAAACTGTTCATTTCACAAGCGATAAAGGCCGTAGGAATCTCCTGCTACATCAAGACGTTTTTACATAATCTCTACACCTGCCAAGTTTGTATAAAAGCAAAACCAACAGATCAGAGGTCACCACAATCCTGCGTCCATTGATAAAAGCTGAGTCTTTCATGTTCTCCTGTGTTTTATCCATAGCAGCAGGCTCACTCAGCAGGGTCTGTAAAAACCCATTTCCCCTTCTCCGGATAGCACACTCACATACTTTTCACCCTTTAGTTTCCCCCTCTCGCTCCGACCAATGAGCTCTGGAGACGCTGGACTTTAATCTCAAACGCAGAGGCGCCTGGATTCAGCTGTTTTCCATCGCATTTGGAATGATGGCATTTTCTTTTTTTTGTACGAGGAATAAATGCCTCCAAATGGGTATTTCTTAGCAATCCAATAGTATGCATCTAATTACCCGAATGCAAAGAGCGAGCGTGATGGTGGATGACATGTCACGGAGAAGGACTTCAAAGACACCACTCCAATTTCAGGACCATCTCGGCGAACAAAGTGGCCCAAATGTAACGAGAGCGAGAGAGTGCCCTGTGTGAGTTTTAGCTTTTGACTCAGAGCTCTTCTGATGTAGCGCGGGGCCTGCATAATCTGCATAACTTGCTTTAACAGTGAGGGCTTCAAAGAGAATGGGAGAAAATGCATCATTCAGAAATATAAAAAGTACAGGAAACAGGTCAACAAAGTGCTGTAGTATTACTATAATGACTCAGTAAACCAAAAATAAAATTATGTGTTGTTTTCGCAAAAGATGAAGAGAGTTTGCAATATTCTCAACAGTTAAATCAATAACTGTGAGTTTTTATGTGTGATATATTGATACTGTAAGTTTATAAGAAGTGTACCATAACCACCAGATATGGAGAATGGTCCACCAGGGCATACACTTTTTCCGTTCATATATAAGACTGGCAATGATTTAACAAATAAATAATGTGATCAATAAAAAAATGCTAAATCCTCACAACAAAGTTACACGTATCCCGTTAAAACAGTTCAAACACAAGAGACAAAACAGAAAACACATTGGTATTGGTCCATAAGGGGCAGATAACCGATGTAAACAAGTGGATTAAGATTCTTCGTCCCACAGAAGGGAATTTTCAGTGTTGCATGATCAGTAAAAGAACAGTAGGAATGAGGAGCACGCAACAAACCAAAAGTGAATATTAAGCAAAGCTCTAAACTCTATTCTTTAGAGATGAATCAAAATAAGATCCGGAGCCTATGTTAGGGTTACATTTAAGCCGGTATATGTTATTGTCCCTGTGGGGAAATATGCCCTCTGCATTTCCAGCATCTTGACGTTGATGCGCGGCATGGTCAGGACCAGAGCTGGATTTTAACTATGGTGCATGTTTTGGGTGAAGGGAGAAACTGGAGTAACTGGAGGAAATCCCCCCAGACATGGGGTGAAACATGCAAACTCCATTGATCAAGGCCTGACACAGGAACGGGCATTAAATCATCTTCCTGTGAAGCCTGAGTGTGCTTATTGTTGCCAGTGATAATCCAGTCTATTTCTACGTTTATTCCCTTAGTTCATGTCTACAATCCTCATCATAGAAAAACAAATGCCTATAAATACAAGAAAACACTAAGCATCGCTCGCATTATAATTAGCTGTTTTATCAAACTCTGTCTGACCATCTGTTTGTACAGATTCTTGCCAACGAGCCGAATAATACCAACTCATTATTTCTGAATAACATCCAATCTGTGCATGAGCAGAAATCATGGACTTGTATTTGCATTAAGCTTCACAAAATATGGT